AACCAAATAACTTAGACTGCGTTAATAGCGAGAGACGTTTCTTATTTTTTTTTGTCAACCTTTAAAAAGGCAAAACGAAAACAAAAATCACATTCAATAAAATGTTTTTGTTTTTTCTATAACAGAAAATGTTTTCAATTTTTGTGAAGAAAAGAAAAAACATCAAAATGATGTTTTTTATGTTTTCGTCACTGTGGCGCAGAAATATTTTCACTAATATTACTGCACAAGCACTATTCATTTCAAATAAAATTCATATTATTTGTGCTATATAGTTGCATATTAAATGTTAATAAAAATATATTTTTAATATAGAATAAATTAAATATTGTATATTATTTTTTATTTGATAAAACTATATTTTAATATTTAATGTATTAAATAATAATATAAATTATTTTTTGTGACAAAATAATTTTTGATATAGAATATAATGTTATTAAATTATTAAGCAGTAGATATTTTATATTATTATATATCATATCTATATTATATTATATGTAAATATTAAATTATAATTAATTTACAATATTATAACACAATATATATTTTATTATATATAAGATATATTATTTAATATTTTTTATTCATAATAAATTGTCATATGCTAAATATATTATATATTCCATAATAAACATATACATCATGCATATACATGTATTTATATGCATAATTCGAGGAAATATTTTTGTCTTGGTATATCTAATTTTGTATTTATGATAAATTGGGTATTTTTAAAATTTATAATTTTAAATTTTATTTTCTAGATTTATGTCTTTTTGATATTAATGGAAGCAAGTGTCGTGCCTGAGTGATTGAGTTATTTCCTGTGTTCGAAAGTTCGTGTTCACGTCATTTACCCTCCTCTCTGATCACTAACTCCTAAAATTATTGCCATGAAAAAAATAAAATAGAAATGAAAAAAATAAAAAAATTATTATGTACATTTTGTAACAAATATGTTATATTATTAAGCACAGTTATTATTTTATATTTTTAAATTTATAATAATAAAGAATGTTAATAAATATCATTTTTATTTTTTATTTTTACTCAAAAAAATAAAATTATGTTTCTATTTTCTAAGAACTGTAAAAGTTAAAAACCAAAACGTTAGTTAACGCACTCGTAGTGTAACGTGTTTTGCACCATATTTCATAATGTCTTTTTTGAAATTATTTTTCATGATTCCCACCCATCAAAGCTTTTCTTTGTTTGAAATCTTTAATCACAAGTGGCCTCTAGCTACGAACTGCATTACAATTCTTAGGTTTTTGTGCACTCTCTTTCTAAGCGGGTGTATACACACGCACACTTTTAACATACTCATTCAAGTCCAAAATTCACGTAAGATGAACGTCAAACGAGTGACTTACACGATCACCCTTTCGCGAATGCATGTTATCAATCTTTATATAAAAGTCATTCAACATCTATCTGAATCAACGACCACACACCACCTTACCTCTTAGGGAGTGTCACCTAATTTTATGCCCTCAAAATCATCCCATTGACTACTACGTACCCTCTGTGTGTAACCATAATTCATACTTTATTTTTATAAAAATCCCAACACCACAAGTTACGTACACACACATATCTTTGTACGTGTAAATTCATGCAATAAACATTAATTTGGGCCAGGTGTAATTTGTAGTTGGTGAGACACACTTGACCTCCCGTGACCATAATGGGTCATTCTTTTACTGTTTTCTTGAATGAGTTATGAAGAACATACCAACGACGTGGATATGATTCTTAATAAGTAGTAGTTAATACAAATTATATGAATCTTATTAAAATAAAATATGAATCTTAAAAATATAAAGGGTAATTTCACTCTTTCCAATAAAGACACGGAAGATTAGGTGCGAAAAAAAATAATTATGTTTGAATTTTTTAATAACTCCCTTAATTATATTTTGTACATAATATCCCTTAAATTATCACATTTAATTACAAAATGCCTCAATGTTTGGACTATATTTCATTAAATAACTAATAATGTCATTTCTTATTGAATTACACTCAACTTCAAGGGGTTAGCCTAGTTGACAAAGACTTGGGTCTTGACGCCTCATTAAATATCATGTTACAAGATCGATTCCTGTTAGGTGCAAACAATTCTTTGGAAGGGTTAAATTAATTGTTTAAATAAAAATTCTAAGTAGAAAATTTTAAAACAATTTAATAAATTTCTTAATTTTTCATGAATATATTATATTAAAAATAAGGTATTTTTTATTTAAATAATTTATTAATTTTTCATCAATATATTGTATGAAAAATAAGGTATTTTCTATGGTAAAAATGTTTAAACCTTGTATAATAAATTTTATTATAATAAATAAAATTTTAGCAATAAATCAATCATTTAAAAAAATGGTATTTACAAATCTATTTATTTATTTTTTCATTTTTATGATAAATTGATACTAATAATAAAATTAAGTTAAATATAATAATTAATATTTAGATAAGAGAAAAGATAATAAAAATAATTTGATAAAAAATTTAACGAGAAAGGATAAAATAGTCTTTTTGTAATGGATTGTCCTTAATTGCAGCAAACTAATAGTTCAGGAGGACAATTTTTAGTTCATGGTGATTATTTGTAAAAAAACAATAGTTTAAAGGGGTTTTTTTTTTGCACTTCACACTAACATTTATAAGTCTTTTTAATTGACCAAAATGATCATTAGCGAAAAATAAATAAAAGCCAAACTTTACCACCACCACCGTCCACAAGCACCCCTAAATTAAGACTACCACCATCCACAAGCACCCCCATAGCCATCCCTTGCAGTCGTTACCACCATCACCACCAAGAAAGTTGTCGTTGCTGAACCCCCGGATCTGGTTTTGGCATCGATATCATTGCCGAAGACAAAACCGTTTTCACTGTCAGAGATCCCATTGTCTTTCTTGTTGAAGTCTCTATATCGCGTCGCCGGACAAATCTAGCCTGGGATTGCCAAATATGTTATTGTAGGAGCCTTAACATCGTGTCATAGGAAAAATCTAGCATGGGATGGTGCAATCTATTCTGTTTCTCGTCGAAGCCTCAACATTAATTGCATAGCAGTTGGAAATGTCTCTAGCCATCACCATTATCTAGTCCGGTGGTAGCCTTTGTCAGAGCTTCCACTAGTCGTCGCAGATATTGGGAAATTACGGTTCAATCACAAGCTTTGGTTTAGTGGTGTTAGCATCGATGTGGTGGTGGTGGTAGTGGTGGTGATGTTGAAGTCTGATGTATATGGCATTGGCGGCCACAATGATGGAGTTTGGCTTTTTCTTTTTTTTCTATTTTTTGCTAATGGTCATTTTGGTCAATTAAAAGGACTTATAAAGGTTAATATAGTAATTTAATGATTTAAATGAGTTAATTCATAAATCAAAGGACAATTATATACTCTTATCATGGTTGGGGGTGGTATTGTTCAAGTTTGCAAATCTGGGGGAGATTGGATCACACCTTCCCTAAGTTGTATCTACATGTCCTTATTGCAAACTTGGGGGTGTGAGTGCAAATTATCCAAAAATAAAACACGGAGATGAAAGAGTTGCAATACTTACATAATTATATAACATATTATATGTGATTCTTTTTTTCTTTTCTTTTCTTTTTTATATTTTAATTTTACTCATTTTCTTTATAATATCAAGAATGTAATTCTTAATTTGTTTAAAAATTAGGGTATTCGACTTGTTTTTCTTTTTTGAGCTCTATATCAATTTTCTATTAGCACATTCAAAATTACACAACATGTTTAATTAAAATTTCATATATTAAGATTATTTCAAACATGAATACAATAAATTCAGTTAAACGGATTTAATCTGGTTATAAGCATGTTAATTACATTGGATAATGGAGTAAATAAAGAAGATAAGATAACTAACGACCATTTAGGAGGAAATTAAAATTATAAAAAAGTAGATTTAGGTTGTACTCTATATAATACACCTCTTAAAAAGAGGTAGAATTATTTGCGTTTGGAAGTGTCCGATTCCAATAAAAAGTAAAATTGGTGTAAATGGGTGGGTATGTAATACTGCACAATAGTTTAAGGTCAGTGGGCAAGTACTCATCCATTACAATTGGTATCTAAGTCAGATCTAATTCTTGATCTGTGTCACCGTCAAATGCCTAGTTAGATGGAGTCTGGGTCACTCCGAGTTGGCAGGGTGACCAGTCGCAACAAGAGCATTATGAGTTCTGGGTGGGAAAAAATATTAGAGGTGTCCTACAATGAATCTGGATGAGAAGTAAAATAGATAGAAAAATAAAATTGATATAAATTGATAGATATGCGGCATTGCCTGATATAACAAATAATTAGAGTTAACAATTGTAGACAGGGCAAAGATAGACATATCAATTGGAGTTGACAAAATTATCATTCAACCACAATTAAGTCAACTATAAATTTACTTATTTTTGTTTATATTTATTTTTCATATACTTATTTTTGTTTAGAATTATATTACAATTTTTTAAGTATATTCCATAAAAGATATTGAGTGAGCTAAAAATTCCATTCATTTGTTATTGACCCATTTTGGATTTATTTATTTCTTTTTTAAATTGAATCACTGTGATTTGTAACACGTGAATCACCGTCCATCCATTCATAAAACACCAACTTTCTAAACTTATTTTAATCAAATGATACATGAGGTGAAGGCATTGGATAACTTTCTTGTAAACTCTTTCCGTCACTTTCCACGAAAATGAACCCACACAACCGCCACAAGAAACCAAAAGCCAAGAAATGGTTTCCTCACGCTCCAATCGCGCGTGCATTCCAAATAAAAAAGATTACTACTAAAAAAACACTGGAATTCATTCACATTTTCCATTACAGTACATTCTCTGATTCCCCAAATATTCTTAAGATTTACAGAAGATTTTTTTCACTGCCTCATCATCGTACACTCCGCCACTTCAATTTAACCCCCACGCCCCCCATTTACTGTCTCACAATGTCACACACACGTATATAAATATAGATGTAGACACACGTAATGTATCGTTGGTGGTGGTGGTGTTGTCCCACTAGTCTAATCTATGCCCCCATTGACGGCGATGAAAGGTGAAGCACAAAACCTGTTTCCAAACACAACCCTGAAGATGAGGCATAATAAGCTCAACGGCTCTCCTCGTAACGGCGTTAAAGGATCAATGAACGGAGTCGGATACACCACCACCAACAACAACAAGAACAAGATGGGGAATAGAATGGGTGGTCTGTTAGCCAATGCTTCGTTCATGAGTTGGAGGCCCAGGGATTTATCCGCTGTGTTGAAGTACCATCCCATACCATGTGTCTTCGCTGCATCACTCCTCTTCTTCATGTTCGTGGAGTACACCCTCCGCATGATCCCACCTTCATCCCCACCGTTCGATCTGGGCTTTGTGATTACGACACCACTTCATCGTCTTCTTGCTTCCAGACCCGCTCTCAATACTCTGCTAGCCGGACTTAATACAGTATGTCTTATATATGTGTGTATTGATTTGATGTTTAATCAAACATGCAATTACATATTAGTGAGAGAGACGTGTTGGATCTGAGTTTGATTTTTGTTAATTTTGATTAGTGGGGTTAATTATTGAATTTCTGTTTTTTTTGGGTTGTAATTAATTAATTTAAAATTGTGAATAGGTGTTTGTGGGAATGCAAACGACCTATATAGTGTGGACGTGGGTGGTGGAAGGGAGGCCAAGAGCAACCATATCGGCGCTGTTCATGTTCACCTGCAGAGGCATTCTTGGTTATACGACACAGCTTCCTGTGCCTCAGGTGGTTTTTTAATCACTTTCTCTCTCCTAAATTCAATTTCAGTATATATATGTATATATATTCATATATATAATTTTTTTATACCTCATGCCCTTTGATTTTAGTATTGTTGAAAGTTCTCCTCTTTGATTTTAGTATTGTTCTGTCAAAAAAAATTTTAAAAAGAATTTAGTATTCTTGAAATTTCTCCTCTTTGATTTAGTATCGTTGAAAGTTCTCTCCTTTTGATTACTTTGAAAATGTTAATTAAGGTGATTGATATCTAATTAATTTACTTTAACAAATTAATTAGCCAGATCCACTCCTATTGAGATGGGTTTAGGGTGGTTTGATTGGAAACAGAGTGAGCGGGTAAAAACCCACACGAGTGTGGAGCGGGTTTGGGGTACTCCTGTCCCACTGTTATATTGAATAATTACTTAAGCACTCCTATATATTGCTAAGGATGTGTTAAAATGCCTTTTCATGGGTTAAAATACTAAAGGCCTAATGTCTAACATTTCATTAATAAATACCTTTATTACTGTTTCATAAATAAATAAATGTTAAACGGGTCCGGGTCTGAACGGGTCTTTTTGTAAACAACTTTAAATGGGCCTAGCCAGAATTAAATCAAGGACAATAATGTCATTTCACATTAAAAGTGGAGTACATTTGTCATTTTTTTTTTTTTTTTTTTTTAAATAATAATTCTTGCTGAGCCTAACCTCGTTAATTTGTTGTTATTGCCATTTATTTCTTTCATGGTACTCACGTTTAGATATTCCAATGACTTGCTTCAACTTTTGGAACAACTCTCTAATAAAGACTTTGGTCTACTTTTTTGTTAGAACTGTGTTCATCCCAATTTGATTTTGTCCAATTTGTAAAATTAAGCGAGATGATTGCATTTTCCCCAAACATCTAGTTTTTCAGATAATTGCTTACTACATATAGAACCAGGGAGTTAAAGGGGATATATATATATATGTGTGTGTGTATGTGTGTATGTTTGAAAATCAAAAGAAAACAATGCTTTCAATGCATAGTTCTTTAAACTTTTTAAGTTGCAATTCGATTGGAACAATCAAATTTTTTATTGGAGAAGTATTTTATTATTATTATTATTTTATGTTTAAGCTATCTCCTACCTCGGTTGTGCTTTAAATGCAGATTTTCTTTGAACATTTTAAGTTGGGACCGAAAAAGGAACAATTAATTTGTGATTGAAGAAGGTTTCTTTTATTACTTTTCATCTAAAACATCTGCTACCTCCTTAACTCGGTGGTTGTTTAGAATGAATATAGGGACCAAAAGTCAATATTGTGAATGCAACACACAGTTGCATTCTCTCGTAATCAAACCGAAAAAACATAACACCTTCCCTCCTCTACTTGTCACATACATTACTGTCTGAAAATTGAAATGAACTTCATTAATGACACTATGATGGATGAAAATTGAACCCTCAGCTGATTGACAGGGATTCTTGGGTTCGGGGGCGGACTTTCCGGTTGGGAATGTCTCCTTTTTCCTGTTCTATTCTGGCCATGTTGCTGCATCGGTGATTGCATCGCTAGACATGAAGCGGATGCAGAGGTGGGAATTGGCGGGGACATTCGACACGCTCAACATTTTACAATTCGTGAGGCTGCTGAGCACAAGGGGCCACTACACAATTGACTTGGTGGTCGGCGTGGGAGCTGGAATTCTGTTCGATTATTTAGCTGGAGAATATGTGAAGAGCAAGAAAAAAGCAGAGGCAAAGAGTACTACTAGTCCTACTGGTAATGGTAATGGTAATGGCAATTGCAGCCTCTGATATCCCTTATGTTTTCATGTACAGTTAAGTTGTATCAAGTAGAGTGCCTTGAGTCTGTTTAGTTACTGTCATGTTAAGTGTATGAAAGTCTTATCAAACCCATCTCCCATGGTTTTTCTTCTTCCACATTTCCTCTTGAACAAGCCCATTAGCGCCTGTTTTGTTCCGTTCTCTGAAAATTAAAAATTATAAAATTGTGCAAAATTTGTTTGGATGGCAATTCTTGACACTGTACCAAAGGTTGTAACCTAATGGTACTTCCTCGTTTTCTACGGTAGAAGGTTGAGGGTTCAAGTCCCCGTAGGAGTAAGTGTGTGTGTGTTTCTTTTCTAAAAAGACCAATACCTGGATGGCCCTTGAAGCTGCTAGGGTTTGATGCAGGGCATAGCACTAGAGACTTTTGCAGTGTTCTAAACATGGATAAGAGACTATGCATGTGCTACTTTTGATTTTAGTTCTTCAGAATTGCCATTTTCTACTTTCTAAAGTTTAAAGTTATAGCAAATTAACTAGTAGCCATAATTAGGATTAAAAAAACAAAAGTGAGAGAAAAAGGGCATATCTTTCATTCAAGATATCTAGATGGTGGTTACCACCAGTTCCTGTATTTTTTTTTATTCACAATTTAAAGGAATGCGCATATGACCGCAGGGTCATATGCATCCAACGAAAACCAATTGAAACGGATACCACTTGTTGAGAGGTGTTGAAAGTTAGATGATTCTTTTATTTGAAATGAAGACCACTTGTTGAAAGGTGTTGAAAGTCAGACGATTCTTCTATTTGGTGGGGTGCTGATTCTAACTCCAAAATTGTGATTTTACAGCAGCATCAGAAGCTGCAAAAATATCTGACTGAACTTTATTTTGGATCTCCTTTACCATTTTCTTATCTTTCAAATGCCCTAATTGGCATGCTTTAGAATATCTTTCCCTACATATTCAATATCCGCTAAACTATCAAATCATTGGTGGAAAAGAATCCAACCAAATCAAGGCAAAGTTTGTATTCAAACAAAAAAAAACAAGATCGGACTAGAAAACTTATCTCTGTACAAGCACCTTTAAGCATATAAGATTCACTGTAAATCACAAGCAAAGTGACGATGAAAAACTGATATCATATCTGCAACTATAAGTACGATAAAATTGTACAACAGCTAGCAAGCAAGCAACTCCGGCAATCTTCCGGGATAACAAGGCACTGCCTTACTAACACTGTAAATAAGATGATGACTATGTCTGTTCACCAAGAATTTCACATAGAAGGTTGAAGGATAAGGATGTGGTGAAGTTATTCCTCTGAATCTACGTAAATTGGGCATGATCCATCATCTACATTAGCCAGTGGGTTGTATAAAGGCGAGCTTGGATCGGTGCATCCAACCACAAAATCAAGATTGCAGCGATCGCCCTGCATCACTTAAAAATTAGATCCGCCACTACATCTTTGAGAAATAATTTATGAGACAACACGAGTGAAGATTTCACTTACTCCTTCAAGAGTTAAATTGCCCATTATAGCACATCTATCGACGACAATGTTTGTGTCTGGATAGATTGCTTTCTCACATGCACCGTCCTTACTCAATTCCTTAGCCAGACCCTGCATTAAGACTCATAGTCAGTAGTAATTTGTGTAGAAATGAAGAAAAACCAACACGAGTTTTCTTTCCTTTAACCTCATTGATGAAGTCAATTGGTTTGTTCTGCAAAGGCTTTGGTACTTGAAACTGCAGTCTATAGGGACCATCCCACTCACCGCCATTTGTGAATGAAAAGATCAAATTCAGAGCTGCAACACGATGGTAGGTAGATCATGAGGAGAAGAGGATAACATTTCCGGGCAAGTTTTGAGTTTGTGAAATGTTAAATACCATGCTTGGGAATACAGATCTGGATTGTATAAATGGGTGGATCAGCTTTGCCTCGTTTTTTCATGAGCATTGCCCTAGGCTCGCCGCCACACATGATGGGCTGATTAAAACCTCCTGCAGAACGCAAGGTTAACAAGTCACTAGTGACATTCCATCATTTGTGCAGCACTTAAAAGCAGACATTCTATCATGCATAGTTGCGTTTTTTTTTTCAAAATTCCAAGCTCCGACATCAATTACATATCTTTTTTCTCAACAGAAATTTCATTATTTTGTACTTGAATAATTTGGTCTTGTTTTGTAATGACATTATGTGTATCTGCAAATACCATTGAAAGCAATTCCGAAATCTTCATTTGGAAGAAGTTTGGCTGCAGCTGGATTATAGAAAAGCTTCAGCCTCTCTCCCTGTCAAGTTCGAAACTGAATTAATAATGCAAAAGGTCAAACCGAGAGAAAATGGTAGAGTTCTTAAAATCAGCTGCAATTCCAAACTAACATACAGAAGTAGGAGGAAGACCATTCATAGTTTTCCAGTACACAGGAGCTCTTCCTAGGTCAAACTCAGCCCATGTAGGAAGTGAAAACCTAAAAAAATTAAAAAAAAAAATGATACTTCAATTTTGCAATAAAAGAAGTTTGCTTTGAGAAGGAAATGAAAGTAACTAGCAGAGAGTAGGGAGACATACTCTTTGATTTCCTGCATGGGAGATGTTGCAACAGCAGCAGCAGCCGCGGCCTTTACTTTTCCGGTAACCTTAATCGATTTCCTCTTTTTCGAAGAATATCTTGGCAGTTGAGCACCCATATAATTACTAGCTGTATCAGAATATATAAATTTGTTATACACAATTGTTTAAATTTGAAATTAACCTTTAGCTACCTTCTTCATTTGATGTTCTGAACAAAAAACTCTTTTATGTAAGGGTAATTGTGGCAGGTGGGTTGTAAGCAGCTATACATGCATCAGATTTAATTGAAATTGTTGTCCTACATAACTACCTATGCATGAGTAGTGGTTTCAATATAGCTACAGATAAATCAGATTTAATGAAGAAAAAAAAACACAGATTGTTGAAATTAGATAAGATAATTGGTTGGTATATAAGACTATTGCATTGAGATTGATTATAATGCACTATAATTTCCTCTTAAACTACTGACTATCAACCACATCCAAAAATCATTTGTGAGTCCATAAACAAACTTTTATATATTCAACTTATAATTTTCATATGCATATAACTTTTATTATTATTTTTTTTTTGGGAGGGGACATGTAACACACAATTTATGAATCGGATTGTGTGGTTTGATCCATAAACAAACTTCCATATATATATATATATATATTCATGTTAAAACTTCCATATCACATATGCATAAAACTATTATTTATTTATTTATTTATTTTTGGGGGAGGGGATACTTAACCCCAAATCTAAACTTGAAAGCATATAATCTGCAATCTTTAAAGCAAAGGAACAAATTTACTTTTTGTAGTTACAAATAATCAACCCATATGAAACTTAATTCAAACATATGCTATTAATCTATTAGTTTCTAGAATTCATCAGTTAATATCCCATGAAAATTTGCAAGAGAAAGACCCAAAGACACATACTGTATGTAATTGAAGAAGAGGAACTGGAATTGGCACCGGACACAGAAGTAGCAGCACACAGTACTTGCGTGGATGAAGCAAAAAGTGAAGCAGTTGTCGCGGTCGCCATTATCACACACTTTCAAATATAATGTGTGTGTTGATGCAGGGAAGAGAGAGAGTGCTGAACCCAATTCACTGCCTGGGCAAGATAGTTTAATTTAAGACGGCTGGGAGAGGTTTAGAGAGAGAATGATAGCATGTTTTAGAGAGAGAAACACAACCACAAACACAAATCTTGCAGAAATATCTCTACCATATATGTAAATCTACAAATACGACAAACCCGAAAATTAACTTTGCATTTTCGTGACACCCAAAATATCCTGGTCACAATTTGCCACTCGTAATACCTTATCATGACCACCACGCCACGTACTCTCTCTATCTCTCTCTTATTCTTTACTAAATTTGGGTTTGAAAAAATATCCACCAGACAATGAATATTACCAGAAATACACACGAAATACATATATGTATTTTATATATCACCTAGTCCTCTTATTCTTCAAATCAAGATGGCTCTGATAACACCACAATCCAATGCCAAACCCTTCTCATTCTCATCGCATTCCACAGTCCCTCGCCGTAGTTTACCCTCCACACACCATAACAACAATGTAACAAATAATAGTATTGGTAATAGTAGATTGTACTGTGACTTCAAAGGTTTTGGCCGTTTGAACAGAACAAAAATTTACAGTACAAGATCAGATGAGTCGAGTTGTGGAAGAATTATTCTCTCTGATGTGGTTGTGAAGAGAAAGAGGAACGTGTTTTGGGGTCGGAAATGGACTTCGCTGGATGCGGGTATAGCTGGGGTGGTTGTGGTGATGCATTTACTGTGTGTTTTTGCACCATTTGTGTTCAATTGGGGAGCTTTTTGGGTGGCTGTGGGGTTGTATGCAGTGACTGGGCTTCTGGGTATTACTCTGTCTTTTCATAGGAATCTTTCTCACAGGAGTTTCAAGCTTCCCATATGGCTTGAGTACCTGTTTGCATATTGTGGTGTTCAGGCACTTCAGGTCAGTGTTGGTATTTTTAATTGTAATTAATTGGGTTGGTTCAGTTTTTGTTTCAATCTTGTTGTGATTGATGATGATGTGATTTTGGTCTAGGGTTTTTGAATTTTAGGTATTTTTGATTTTGTGTTGGAATGCAGGGGAATCCAATAGATTGGGTGAGTACACATAGGTACCACCATCAATTCTGTGATTCTGAGAAAGACCCACATAGCCCAATTGAAGGATTTTGGTATAGTCACACGAGTTGGCTCTTTGATAAAAGCTCTGTGGTTGAAAGGGTATGCATTCATACTCTTTCTCTGTCTCTCTCTCTCACACACACACTAACACACATGGTAATTGATGTTTTGCCTAACTATTGCAATGGAATAATACTTGCAGTGTGGAGAGCCCAATAATGTTGGGGACTTAGAGAAGCAGCCTTTCTATAGATTTCTTCAAAGCACCTACATTATACATCCAATTCTGTTTGGAGCTGTGTTATATTCATTGGGAGGATTTCCCTTCATCGTGTGGGGAATGGTAAGGAACAGAATTCTTTTTAGTACCTTGCAAAGCTTTTTCTTATTAAAATGATTTTTTTCTTATTCAATTGATTTTTCTTTCCCGAAAGTTCAAGCCAACGCACACCACCTACACAATGCCACTTCCGGGAGAGAGTACAATTTAATATATTTGGTTGAAAGTTGAAATGATAAACGTCTCTAGGAAGATTTTCTACCCAATTAGCAGCGTCTCCATTTTGTTTTTTTCCTACGAGAACTTGAACCCTTGGCGTTCCCATTTGTGAATCACTTCAAACCATTCAATTAGTGGGTGAAAGTTGTGGTTATGATGATACGAATGTAAGATTTCGAATCGTGTTCTTGCTGGGTGGATTATGACATTTTGTCTGCCTTAGGACAATGGATTGTGACATTTTTATCTGCAAGATTAGGAATCTCCAGCAAGTGTATGCTACTAGTGCCAAATGAGTTGAGCAACTAGAGATTACATGGGTTCCACATGATGTCATCTCATCAACATTTATTGATCATTTTTCCTTCTATTTGATTTATTTATTTATTTTTAATTCTGAAAAGCATTTTCCTCCTCCTATAAATGAATGCTTATATGAACACTTTTAACATGTTGTATGTAGGGAGTGAGAATTGTATGGGTGTATCACATCACTTGGTTAGTGAATTCAGCTTGCCATGTCTGGGGAAGACAGGCATGGAACACTGGCGATCTATCTCGGAACAATTGGTATTGTGTACTTAATTTCGACATGCTTGTTTTTCGTTGTTATTCAATCTGTTGGGATTTGGGAGTTATACAAATTCTCTGGATTTGAATTGCATGATCAGGTGGGTGGCAGTGCTTGCATTTGGAGAGGGTTGGCATAACAATCACCATGCTTTTGAATACTCTGCTAGACATGGACTCGAATGGTGGCAACTTGACATGACTTGGTATGTGGTGAGGTTGCTTCAAGCTATTGGATTGGCCACTGATGTCAAGGTTCCAACACAGAGTCAGAAGCAAAGGATGTCTCTCAACAATGGAGGCATTGCCTTTTAGATTTTCTTTGTTTTTGATGGCATATTAGCCTAGGCTCTGTTTTTTCTGTACTGTTAAAGACTCTTAAAAACTTGATTGAATATGGCGAGCGACTCTTTACTCTTGCTGAAGCTATAATTAATGCATAAATGATACAAATTTTATCCTTCTCTTGTACTATTAGACTTTTACAAAGATAAACTCTTGGCTACATTCTCATAAAAGGAAAACCACAAAGAAAATGGTTGCTAGTGGACAAGAAGGAAAACAATAAATCTTTCAACTACTCAGGATGTTTTTTTTTTTTTTCCCCCCTTCATTTTCCTGGCAACCAAACGAAAAAGAGAAAGGGAAAGAAGTGTTAAGTGAAAGCCAAGCATCAGACTTGCCTATAGACAAATACATTTCTTCAGTTCACCATCTTTACTTTTCGTTGCTTCATCCAGGACAGAGCCAAGATTTTAAGTTGGGGTGGGGTGCATGGCGTAATACACACACACAGTAGTGTTCAATTACTCTCTCGAGTAAGAAATTTTATACTCACTTTTAATTGTAACCTTATGATCTAATCCTACGGCAATTAGTTAATTGACTTTTATTTTCTTCATTTTAAGAAACTTACATTTTCTTTCCAAACCATTGAAGAAAAATTACAGAATTAGACCATTTATTAAAAGAAACAAAAATAAAATAATTTGACTATTTTTTTGTCTGGGTTTCTCTGTCCAGTAAAAAAACACTTCTTCGTCACTACCGGTTGAATAAACTGAAACCAAATAAAATTAATCAAAAGAGATAAATAAAATGGCCATTAAATAAAAATTACTTGAGAAGTATTGATTATAATTAAAACTCAAATTTCAATATTGATCCATATTTTATACTCGGCTTAATAAAATATTTTGAATTTGTTCAATATCTAATTTAGAATTCGAAGACTACTATTGGCTTTATAAATTTTTTAGAAAAATCCTACAAAATAACTCTTAATATATTATTATATATCTATCTAAATGTTCTTGGTGTTTTTTTAATTTTTTGGTAAATTAAATGTTTAAAATGTTGATCGGTAAAAGCATGCCTAAATATGTATAATATAATTGCAAATCCCAAGTTTTTCAATAATTTATCAATAGAATTGATAAAGTGTGGAAAAAAACTAAAAATGACGGACTTTTAATTTTAGATTAAATTTACTTCGTCTAAGTGGCTGCTTGCGAATTTGGCAAAAAATAGCCAAATTATTTTATTCTTGTTTTCTTTAATAAATTGTCTAATTCTGTCATTTTTCTTTAATGATATTTAATGGTGTGGAAAGAAAATGGAAGTTTATTAAAATAAAGAAAATAAAAGTCAATTAACTAATTGCAGTAAGATTAGATCGTAAGAGCTACAATTAAAAGTGAGTATAAAATTTCTTGCTCCCAGGGAGCAATTGAACATTACTATATATGAGTCCTGATCTCTTGCTCCTTATGGAGTAAGAAAATTAATCCACACTTTCTATATACACTGTTAGATTAAATCTAACACTTTCTATATACACTGTTAGATTAAATCTAACGGTTATTTTTCAAACCCACATAGTCTTCCCTTGTAGCACAAAACCACTCTCACCCTATATTTAGTTTCTATATTTAATTTTACTATTACCACAGGTCATTACCAAAATAAAAATAGAAACCTTTGAAAACAAAATGATCGATGTTTCTTTGAAAGAGAATTGATAGGTATTAGCTAATGACAAATGATTACTTTCCATAGATAAGGTTGTGAGAAGAGCTTCACCTATTTTTTTGAAGTTACCTTGTTATTTCTGAGGTAGATTCTACAGTCCCACCATAGTCAATACATCATTATCATCTAATAATCAAACTTACAAATTCACAGATTCAATAATGAATTTCACCAAATGCCCAATTTAAAATTGAAATAGAAAGAATTTTTGTTCAAACTTTAAATGAAATTTTTTTACATTGCAATTCCAATGAATCAATTCGATATTCCAAAATGTTACATCACAGTATATTTGTTGGTAAATTTTACTTATACTAAAATTGAAAGATAAGGGTTGAAAGATACTAGTATTATTTTTCTTTCAAAGAAACATCTTTCAAATTTTTAGTAAAATATACCGGTTTTATTTTTATTTCAAGGATTTCTATTTTTATTTTGGTAATTACCTTTTATTGTTACAATAAGTGGTAATGGTAAAATTAAATAAAGAAATTAAAAATAGGGTGAGAGTGGTTTTGTATTAAAAGGAAAGGTTATAGTGAGTTTACAAAATGACCGTTAGATTTAATCTAATGGTCTATATAAAAATTTAACGATTTATATAAAAAGTGTTGATTGATTTTCTTGCTCCATAGGGAGCAAGAGATCATTACTCTAAGTTTCATATATTTATAATTAGGTGTATCCTCATAAGGGGTCAATGTAGGTTACCCAATTTTAAACAATCACTGCAGAAGCTTCATTCATGGACAGTAAGGACATCACATTAAGGATAGTTTTTTTTACACAAATTAATAATCCTAAATTGGTTACAACTCTCTTACTCTTTAAATTAAAATTATTCGCTACACTTACAAAACAAAGTAAGCTAATCTAACAGCAGAGTCCTAATATATAATGCAAACTTCCCAAAACAATTTTTTTTTTTTTTTAAATAACTATATAAAGAGACAAATACCAAATACGTATCTGGACATATATATTTATTCATAAATCCAATTATATATATTGTTTTATTACTATTATTATTATTATTATTATTATTTTATTAAATTCATAAGGGTAATTTAATTGTATATATTATTTTACTAATATTATTATTATTTAATTGTATATATTATTATTATTATCTTACTATTAAATTCATAAGGGTAATTTTGACATGTAAAATCATTTTTCTTTCACTATCTTGCTATCCAAACTAATTAAATAATATTTTATTACAAATTTCTTGTTAACCAAATGCATAATAAAAAATTAATTTTCTTTTCTTTCACTTCACTTTTTTTATTTTTTTTATTTTCCATCATCAATTTCTAACTAACCAAACAGACCCTAAGGTAATCACGATTTAATAAGAAATAATGTGTTGCTTGTTTGCTTGTTTTTTTATTTTTAACTGCGAGAGGTAAAACAATTTACTCATATACATTGCCTTGAGGTTTGAACTCATGATTGACCTCTTTCGAAAATATTATTATGATAGTCATGTTGAGTTGATATTTTTAAATTTGTAAAAAGTTAAATAAATTATTTAATACATATTTTAAACTTTTAATCATCTATAGTTAAATATGGAAAACGAAAGGGCCTTAACCTTATGGTATAACCTTCCCATTCTCCTTTTGAGAAGTAAATTATTACCATAAATCTATTGATTTTTTATTCCTAATGTTAAAAATTTAGTTAAATAAACTATTTATATATATAAATAATTGACATAAAGAATCAAAAATCCGCTGTAGCCACTTTATATGTCTAAAGTGAAAGATTCGGCTCCCTAATGGGATTCCCGGGTTCGAGTCCCGGCAGCGGAAGTTCTTTTTGCAAAACAATTGTTTCTTTTTCCAAACAGCAGACGCATATGGTGGATTGTGACATTTTTATCTGCAAGATTAGGAATCTCCAGCAAGTGTATGCTACTAGTGCCAAATGAGTTGAGCAACTAAAGATTACATGGGTTCCACGTGATGTCATCTCATCAACATTTATTGATCATTTTTCCTTCTATTTGATTTATTTATTTATTTTTAATTCTGAAAAGCATTTTCCTCCTCCTATAAATGAATGCTTATATGAACACTTTTAACATGTTGTATGTAGGGAGTGAGAATTGTATGGGTGTATCACATCACTTGGCTAGTGAATTCAGCTTGCCATGTCTGGGGAAGACAGGCATGGAACACTGGCGATCTATCTCGGAACAATTGGTATTGTGTACTTAATTTCGACATGCTTGTTTTTCGTTGTTATTCAATCTGTTGGGATTTGGGAGTTATACAAATTCTCTGGATTTGCATTGCATGATCAGGTGGGTGGCAGTGCTTGCATTTGGAGAGGGTTGGCATAACAATCACCATGCTTTTGAATACTCTGCTAGACATGGACTCGAATGGTGGCAACTTGACATGACTTGGTATGTGGTGAGGTTGCTTCAAGCTATTGGATTGGCCACTGATGTCAAGGTTCCAACACAGAGTCAGAAGCAAAGGATGTCTCTCAACAATGGAGGCATTGCCTTTTAGATTTTCTTTGTTTTTGATGGCATATTAGCCTAGGCTCTGTTTTTTCTGTACTGTTAAAGACTCTTAAAAACTTGATTGAATATGGCGAGCGACTCTTTACTCTTGCTGAAGCTATAATTAATGCATAAATGATACAAATTTTATCCTTCTCTTGTACTATTCAACTTTTACAAAGATAAACTCTTGGCTACATTCTCATAAAAGGAAAACCACAAAGAAAATGGTTGCTAGTGGACAAGAAGGAAAACAATAAATCTTTCAACTACTCGGGATGTTTTTTTTTTTTTTTTTTTCCCTTCATTTTCTGGCAATCAAATGAGAAAGAGAAAAGGAAAGAAGTGTTAAGTGAAAGCCAAGCATCAGACTTGCCTACAGACAAATACATTTCTTCAGTTCACCATCTTTACTTTTCGTTGCTTCATCCAAGACGGAGCCAAGATTTTAAGTTAGGAAGGGGTGCATGGTGTAATATATATATATATATATATATATATATATATATATATATAAACATAACAAATACAACTATAAAATACAAAAGGAGAAAGAATAAAATTATTTAAATATACACGTTAAAAAGAAAAATTTTGTGGGTGTCACTTATTAGAAGATGACGTGACATGTTGACAAGTCAATACAACCCTAGTCAAATCCTTCGTGACAATTTAAAAAGTCAAAAGCCTCGAAAGATCAAATTTCAAACACTCTAAGCCCTAGCATCACTCCGAACCCATCAAGTCTCGAAAGATCAAATTTCGAGCACTCTAAGCCCTGGCATAGCTCCAGGCCCATCAAGCCTCGAAAGATCAAATTTCGACCACTCTAAGCTCTGGCATCGCTCCAGGCCCATCAAGTATCGAAAGATCAAATTTCAAGCACTCTAAGCCCCGGCATCGCTCCAAGCCCATCAAGCCTTGAAAAACCAAACTTCGAACACTCTAAGCTCTAGCACCGCTCCAGGCCCACCAAGTCTCGAAAGATCAAACTTCGAGCATACAAAACCCTAGAATCGCTCTAGGCCAAATAAGCCTCAAGAAATCGATCCTCGAGCATCCCAAGCCCTGGCACTACACCAGGCCCACCAAACCTCGAGAGACCAACTCTCGAATACCTCGAATCCTGGTGTTATGCTAGACAATACTGCTTTGAAAGGCTGGAACTCCTTAGCATGTGATGAAGGTAGGATCTTCATGTTATAGGAATCCATGTTTGGGAAACTTAGGAGGATCTTGAATTGGTGGATGAGAAATCAAGAGGTGCCTTCGCTCTCGAGGCCCATCGTCTTGTTAATTGTATATATATAAGTTTCATATACTTATAATTAGGTGTATCCTCGTAAGGGGTCAATGTAGGTTACCCAATTTTAAACAATCACTGCAGAAGCTTCATTCATGGACAGTAAAGACATCACATTAAGGTCATGGGTTGATGCAGAAATCCATGAAGTCAAGTTGTCGCCATTAAAGCATTTGGGTTTTTTCCTTCAAGTTCTCGAAATTCTGGTATCTCTGTTGACTCCATAAATGTACGTGTGTACATGTTGTGTATCATGTCAAATGGCAAGACTATGAACTATTGACTTATTGGAGAAGCTTCTTTTCAAAACAATTGATTTTTTTGCTGAAGTTTACTCTTAAAAAAAAAAAAAATGTCTATCAAAAGCAAGGCAATTGTGTAATACTAATAACATTTTGCCTTGCATTATTAAAAAATAATAATAAATAAATAAATAAAAATAAATTATATATTGAGTTTAAAAAAAAAAAAAGCCCCACTTTAAACCATACACCAGATTATAATCTAACAATACTTTCGTACATTTGATTTTCATTTCCCTCTTTGTTTATATATGCAATGCATTTTATTACCACCATCCACACGATCAAGTTGAAGAATGGATGAAGAAATCCTAGTCCAGGAAAATTTTCCTTCATTTTCATGGAAAATCACCCTCCTCATAAATTCTGGTTCGGGTGGGAAAATATCAACTATTTGACGTCCATATATATATACAAACGCACACGTACATATTTATTGGCTATGTGGTCTTCAATGGATGCAAGTAGTCAAAAAAATAGGCGTGACGTTCATTTTAACCATCAATTTAGGAGGTGTTCTAGTTCAACAAATCTAATACTGCTCACCGTTTTAGTGTTAAGGGGAAGATTAATCAGTTGGGACGGTGGGCTACAGTTGACATTGATTTTTTTTTTGTTGGTATTAATTACCCACCATATATTCTGCAATATAGTGATCTTATTTGGCCATTGAAAAAAAGGAAATCAGATGATATAGAGACTTTTAGTGGATGGTTCATACGTTTGGTGGAATGTGGGGGGTCCACGCCAACTTCAAATTGTGGCCACTAATGAAAGAGGACCCGGAGGCAGTCAAGCTGGCCTGATTATATCCGGAGTCCTCCGCTCCTAATTAATTGCATTCATACCCCTTAGGTTATGAATTAATATCATTTATATGCGGGTGAACCGTTTATTTAGACAAAGATAGCATGATTTTTCAAATAATATATTTACTCTTAATTATTTAATTTAATTAATTCACAAAATATTACACCTTTTTAATTGACGAAACTACCCTTCCTCTCTATTTACCTAAATCTCTACACTTTTTTTTTTTCCCTTTGGGTTGCTTTTTGTTTAGCCACCGGCTCCCTCTCTCTCACATTCCCCTCTCTCCGTTGTTTATCTTCTCTCTCTTTTCCGGTAACTCATCCACAATACATGCTTCTGATATGCCTGCGACCACTCTATCTCGATCATTACACTGACATCACCCAAATTGGTCCAAAGGTGTTATCTTTTGCTTCAATATTACCACTTGCTTCTTGTCACTAAAAAGCCCTAATTTAATGGTGACGTGATCACGACCAGCGACACCAAGGATGTCGGCAGCGTCTTACGCGGAGCACGGATACACACCTCTAAAATTGACAAAAAATTATTTGTAGTTAGGTGGAGATGAACTAACATGGTTTGAACAGACGAGCACCGGAAAGTAGCAAAGCCGGTGGCTAGCGAATTGGCGGCGAGATTACCTGACTAGGTGAGCACATCTATGGTGGATGTGTAAGGCTTCCTCACATGAGTGTCATCGGAAATACCGACCCAATACTAAAATGTTACACCCGAACACAGCTCTTTCGTACCTCTACTTTACTGCTGCTTTGACAAGTTCATATGGGTTGGGCTAGAAGCCCAATTGAGAGGGGTGGCTAGGGAAAGTCCCCAAAATTAAGGGGGAAAACGTGGTGGCGTGGTGGTGGGGGGTTTATTTTGTCCTGTTGTGGCAATGGCTAGGTTTTGCCATGGTTGTTTTCAAATTTTTTTCCACTATTATGGTGGTGGTGTAGTTGTGGTGGTTATGGTGATGTATAGGTTATCTGGTATTTCAATTTTATTTTTTTCTATTGTGGTGGTAGTGTTGTTTCGGTGTGGTGTGGGTGGCGGTGGTGGTTCTTGTGTAGTGGCGGTGGTGGTTCTATTGTGGTGGCGTAAATTAATATTAAAAATAGAAAGATTAATGCAATTACCCAAATAATGGGTCATTTAGTTATATTAAAATTAGTTAGAAAGGGCATTCAAGCCATCTCATGATAAAAAAGTAATTGTTGACTTATCAAAGGGCATTTAAGTCTTTTTATAGGTTGGGAGGGGGTATAGCTGCAAGATTTTAAAAGTTTTGGGGGTGTTATTGTCCAAAAAATGTTGACCAGCTACTGAGTGACATTGACAAATACCTTAACGGACGTCAATGCAATTAACCCTATATAATTTGTATAGGCACCACCAAACGTGGTCATAAACTAAATATGATACTTTTATGAACACATATAGTCACGGTGCTTCAAAATTCTTAAACTATTTGGGGAATTCAACCTTTTATGATAATGTGTTTTTAAATTTTTTTAATTGTATTTATAAGAGTGAATTTTTAAATTTATCTTTATTAAAAGATAAAGGAGTACTTCGTTATTACTCAGGGTTTAAAAAAAAATTTGCAAAAATAGGATTTAAACCTATGACCTCAAGGTTATGGGCCTTACAAGCTACCAAACTGCTTCACTCCACGCTTTGAGAGAACAATCCCCCACTCACATAAATGTAGGGTTGCAACTATGGTAGGTTGAGCAGTATAGCTCAAGTCCAACCCAACATATGAAATATGCAGCCTTAACTCAATCACCTGCTTAATCCGAGTCCAACTCATCCTTTTATTTTTTAACTCGGGTGAGATGTTAGGTTACAAAGTTGGGTTAATACGGAGTTTAGGAAGGATGATATTTACCAAACTTAACTTTAAGAATATAGTTTCTTTAATGATATATATATATTTTTTTTAGTGGTAGAGAATGAATTTTCAAATATATTCTTCTACACTGGAATTATTTTTATAACTTTAAGACAAGGAGGGTAAATTAAGAATAAAAATAATAATACATTGAATTTTGAATTGAAATAACCAAAAAAGAAAATGTTAACAATTTTGTAGGACGGAGAGTATTAGAAATCGGAAAGACTCCACCTCAAATCAAAACCAATTCTAATTAAGTTCAGAGTGGGATTGAGTGAGAGCCTGATATTGCAATTGAGGGGCCTAGTGGCCGATCTACCAAGGACGGAAAGCAAGCATACCTATAAAATCTAAAAGTCAGAAAATGAATGTGAATTACCACAGCGACAAACTAAGCTTTACAATACAGAGTAAGATGATTACCATGATTCTCTATAAAGGAGGTAGCTTCTCAGACAAATCCCAGTGAAAATCAGCGTCTTGATCTTGGCTTAAAAGTCAGTCTTAGCTCTATTAATAGCAGATTGGACCCTTAAGAGCGGAGGGGGCATCTCTCCATTTGAGACTTTGGGTTTTGTAAGTCCAGATTCAAATTTAATTGTAAAAATTAGTTGTCTAATTACCCAAAAAGTCAGGTTGGAATCATTGACTTCGAACTGCCCAATTCAAGTTACACCTTTACATAAATGTAATCGGATGTATTCCGAGTACAAAACAAGTGTGTGTATATATATATATATATATTATCGACAGGGAGGAAAAAGATGGAGTAGTCTAATCTCGACTCACACACGACTCAAATAATGCCTCTACCAACTGTCCTGCCACGCTCACCCAGAACAGTACTTACCATGTAAATACGAAAATCCACTGTATAGTGTACATTTACGTATGAAAACCGGCATAAGAGCTCCATACGTTGGGGGTCGGGGGTCTTGGATCCAGACAGTACTTGAAGACTTTGTTTGTTTGTGTGTGAGAGAGAGCGTTGTTCAAGATATCTATATACAGCCACGTGTCTTGGCCGAGTCTCCACCGTGTGCATTTTTTCTCTCTCTCCTCTCTGTATTTCCTTCAACGTTTTCATCACATTTTCACTCTTTTAAGATTCGTACTAGATTTCACTGCCCCGCACACACAAACATATTGTATATTATATTATTAGCAATTGAAAGCTACCAATTTCAGAAATTGAGAAAAAATGAAAAGTGGCGTTGTAGTTGTTGATGACGAGTTCGCATACGAAGAAGAGACCCATCTTACTGTTCACAAGACCTCTCTCTTCTTCCCCGGCGATGGCTTCACCGCCTACAACCCGAAAGGCGACCTCATCTTCCGAGTCGACTCGTACGGCACCAAGCCCGAACTCGTTCTCATGGATCCCTCCGGCCACTGCCTCCTCACTGTTCGACGAAAGGTAAAATAAATATAATATATTTAAAATTTTAGTTCAAATTAGATGTTGATTTTGTGCTGAGTCTGATAACAAGTGCACAGTTGTGAGCACTGAATCGTTATTTTCAATTTATTATCCAAATTTTTTGAATTTAAATTCAAATTCGGTGCTCCAAACATTGTATAATTGAATTTGGAGTATCAACGTATTTAAATTTAGTATTGAATTTGATAGAGACCGAGTTTGCATCAACGGTGGGAAGGGTTTTTGGGGGAGAGATCGGAGGGCCAGAAACCGATCTTCAGTGTGCGGAGGTCGTCGATCATTGGACGGTCGAGCGTGACGGTGCAAATGTACGACAATCCAGGCGAGGAGTACCAGATCGAGGGATCGTTTGGGCAGCGATGTTGCACGATATACAATGCGGCGAAGGAAACGGTGAGTGAGATCAGACGGAAAGTGGATGCGTCGACAAACGTAGTGCTTGGGAAGGACGTTTTCTCACTCTGCATTAAACCCGGCTTTGATAGTGCGTTTGCCATGGGATTAGTGCTGGTTCTTGATCAAATTAACGGTGATGATGATGGCGATGATGGTGGGCCCGAAGTCTACCCCACCAATGAAGATTCACCTTTCTCTTCTTAGATTTCTTCTCATTTTCATTCCATTTTCATTACAATCTGGGATTTTTTTTGGTCATTATTTTAGTGCCAAAAAAAGAGAAATAAAACGTATACAATAAAAATCTAAGAATTTCAAAAAAAAAAAAAATTTGTAATGATTTGGATCTTTATTAGTAATGTTAATATTGTTTTTAGAAAATTTGAAAGGAAAAAATATTTATAATATTCTTGTGTCTATTCTGTGGGTATGATTATCCAGTAAGTCTATGAGACTGACTTGACTGAATGCATGGTTGAGGTTGTGAAGATTGCATTATTCTTTAATTTGACTTTTATTTCTGACCACTTGGGCAATGCATGGAAAGTATAAATTTGTTTTATACTGTAGACGACTTCATATATATATATATATATATATATATATATATATAGTTTGAGCTGGCCAGAGATTGAAATTTCAAAGTTTGGTGAAATTATTGTTGACATATTATTAGCAGGGATATGTTTCTTCACCTCCAGCATTGAATGTCTGTGTTTTATTTATGCATATCGTTCTTCGTCTTACCTAAAAAAAGAAAATATATATACACACACGTTTTCATTAATGTTTAGATCTGTCATATCTCCTTAGATGCACTAGAGAAAAACTGGTGCGAGGCTGAAATGATTTAGGCCCAGCATTTCTGCCAGAATGCTGGGCTTGAATAGCCACAATTCTTGGGATTACACGAAGGCAAAGTTAATTTTATATTTGGGCTTAAGTTTTAAAAAGCGCACTAGGGATTAGGGTTTGGATATCCCTAATCCTAATCCTAATCCCTAGTGCGAGTCCCTTTTTTTCATGTTTGCAAACCCAGGTTTTTAAGGGGCCATTGTGCCATTGTCCCTTGGTAAGGTTCCATGCAGAGGCAAGTATGAATTTTGAAGGAGTATTATTATAAAGGGGTTCATAGGAGCTAAAAAACACTGTTTGGTTTACGGTCCAAGTGGTAGTGCTATTTGAAGGCCCTATTAAAAGCTATTAGCCTTAGTTGTGAACGAATTGAATTGTTCGTGGATAATTTAAACCTGACTTGTGATAGTTCATTAGGTAAATGAGCTGAAACTCGGTTTTTTGAGCATTAAAGACACATTATATTCAATTCTTATATTTAGAAGCCTAGCAACTTAAGCCCAAATTCAAATATATTTCATTGGCCCAATTAATCTTTAAAAGTGCATCCAACAAAATAAAGTCAACTCATGACTTTATCTCATAGCAAGCTAAACGATTACATTAAAAACCCAAACTAACAATGCTACTTAGGGTCAAACTCTTCGGTTGAAGAATTGGGCCTGTAAATCATTATTCAAACAAAACCACACTCCATGCCACCAATCTCTTGTAATTTACAAAACCACACTCCATGCCACCAATCTCTTGTAATTTTGTTATGTTATATTTGAGAATGTCGGATCGGAGAAAGTTTAGTTCAAATTTTGCACTAAATTTTCTCTAATTTCAAATTCAAGACACTGATCTATGGACACCAAACATATCATGAAATTATATGTCAATGTGTGAGATCTAAAATTGTGTGAGATCTAAAATTGACAAATTAGATGATGAATAGCGAAGGAGACGGGCTATTTCTTGTCTATGATTTGGTCTTGGACTTGATAATATATAGGTACAAACCATGGTTTGTAATGTCGGTTAAGGTCGCGGTGTAATCGATTCCGACAAAATTAGTATAAACTAGTCAATACGAATCGTGTATCAAACTTGAAAAACGATCGTGCATCAAACGATATTTCGAACCATAATACAAACACGAGCTCGAATTGAGTCAAAACTTATTAACAAACTACCAAGTCGATGAGCAACGGTCAAAGTTTAAATACCTTTTTAACCTGTCCAAGAATTTGAAAGAGACTAGATTCACTCCAAATAAAAAAATTTCATCCTTTGAAACTAATATCATTGTCCATCTAGAATTTTTCTGAAAGAGTAAAATAAAGAAATACAAAACATTGAATTAATCAACTACGAAAAAGTGAAAAATAAATAAATAAATAATAATAAAACATTTAAAAAAAATAAAAAACATTTCAATAATAAAGGAATATTTAAGTAGTGCAATATCAATCAATAGAAAATGCTAGTTTATACAATAAATGCAAGATAAGGTGTGATGGGATAAGATAGGATAGATAGGGACTTTATATAATAAATAATTTATCATGACCTTATCTCATGGCAAGTTAGACGATTACATTAAAAACCCAAACTAACAATGCTACTTACGCTCAAACAGAACCACACTCCATGCCTCCCTCTTGTAATATTGTTATGTTATGTTTGAGAGTATTGAATTAAAAAAAATTTAGTTCAAATTTTGTACTAAATTTTTTCTAATTTCAAATTCAAGACACTAATTTATTGACGCCAAACATAACATTATGAAATTATATGTCAATGTGTGAGTTCCAAAACTGACGAATTAGATGAGGAATGGGCGAGCTTGGAAGCAGCGAAGGAGACGGGGTCTATTTCTTGTCTTTGATTTGGTCTTGGACTTGATATATATATATATACAAACTATGGTTCACAGTATCGTGTAACGGATTCACTGAACTGACTGATACGAGTCGCGTATCAAATTTGAAAAATAATCACGTATTGACATCGTGTATCAGACGATACTGCAAATCATGATACAAGCACCAGTTCGAGTCGAGTTGAGTCCAAACAATTTAGCACGAGTCGAGTTTAAATACGTTTTTAAACTGTCCAAGAATCTGAAAGAGACCAGATTCACTCCAAATAAAAAATTTCATCCTTTGAAACTAATGTCAATGTTTATCTAGAATTTTTCTATAAAAAAGAGTAAAATAAAGAAATATAACAACAGCATTGAATTAATCAACTCTGAAATGGTGAAAAATAAAAAAATAACAATAAAGGAATATTTAAGTACAATATCAATCAATAGAAAATGTTAGTTTATACAACAAAGGCAAGATAAGGTGTGATGGGATAGGATAGGATAGAGACTTTGATATGAACCCTAGGCACTAAGAACAAACAATCCAATCCAAACCTAAGCCCACCCGCCACTAGAATTCATACTTTGTCGTAGGGCTGAACAATAATGACATTCTATCTCAGCAGCTCCACACCTAATTATAACAATAGACAACTTAGAAAAAGATTAAAAAAAGACCATAAAGCATTCTTAAAGTGGACATATGATCATTGCAGGCCACAAAGAAAATACAATAATATCTTGTGTGTGTTGCGTGTGTGTGTACAGTGAGAGCAACTAGTGAATGGAATGATCTTAACTGGAATCCTCCTATCTTCGGGATTATCATGTGTGTGAAGATTGTTTGTTGTGATGTATCAACTCGTACTCAGTACAGATTTTAAGGAATGTCATTTTTGACGGCTGACCAGCAACCACGTGTTTGATTTTTACTTGGTGAGAGAATTTTATAGTTCGACGAAAGACCTAGCAGACAGTTTTGTGCTACGCATGATGATTTTTTTTTTTACTTTTTTCCGAGCTACCAATCACAAATATTTATTTTATGAAACTATCTCACCTTATCACATCAAATAAAGTTATAAATTTAATGAATAAATTATTTCTCGTGATCAAGTGGGATATTCTCTACCTTTCAAAGTAAATAATCAAGGTTCAAAGGAGCAAAAATAAATGTGAGAATAAATAAATCATACATTAAATATCATTTGGTGGCTATGAATTTGTTAACTAGATCCAACATTTTAGACATAACATTAGGTTGCAAATTTGCAATTGATTTTTGACCATTTCCTTGTATAGACTTGTAACAACCAAGTATTGGAATTTCAAAATTAAAAGCACCCATGGTTTACTCTTTTAAAAATTAATTTTGTTTTCAGATTAATAGAGAAAAATATAAACCTATCCTACCCTCAAATTTGGTAATAAATCTACTATGATTTCGCACAAGCGGGAGATAAAATCATCGACAGCCATAAATAGGGCGTCAAGCCATTAAAGAAGGTACGACGTAAAAACTATTATTAATCATGCCTTCGTTTAGACCTCCGTGACTAATTTGATCGTTGGAGAGCTCTTGGCATGCACCACACCGGTGCCGTGGTAGGCACCACACCGGTGCCGTCAAGGTTCATCTGGTGCCGGTGCCGGTGCCGGTGCCGGTGCCGTCAAGGTTCATCGATCTTCTCCTCTCTTCCTTGCAAGAAAACGGTATCATGCATACCGGACTACGCGAAATTCAGCCTCAACACAGATAATATAAAAATAAAGTATTTGGTTTGATAATTTTAAAAAAATTGTATTCTTAAAAAGATATATTTTTGGCCAACTATGTTTATAATTCTCTAAAAATTATTTTCTATTTTTTAAATCAGAAATGTCTTCAGATCCTCTAGAATTTTAAGCTCACGTTAGTAATATCTACCCAACTACCAGATCAATACAAATATACAATGGTATCTGATTAAGTTGTAAAAAAAAAAAAAAAAATTGACTATAAGTTAAAAAAATATCTGATTTGTAATTCAACGTTTCAAACATCTAATTGACTAAACATGCCAAAACTTTTCTTTTACTTCTTTCGGTACACAAACTTCAATTGTCATTTTTCCACCACAACTTTTCTTTGAAACTAAAGAGGAAAATAGATATTTTGATAAAGATATTTTATACAGTATTAATTGAAAGAGAGAAGGTAAATGAAGAAAATGAAAATCATGATATCGTCATATACCAACATCTTCCCTAATATTTAAAATATAAAAAAACAAAAACAAAAACAAAAACAAAAACAAAAACAACATGGGACACCAACCATTTCCGACTTTGAGGAGAGTCAACCTCACCTGGGCATGGAGAGGAGGTTTCTAACTTCGAACCCGTGAATGGAGAGCAATTTTACCGTTGCACCCCACCCTAATCTGATCAACAATGCAAAAGAAACATGGAACAATATTTTCTGTGACAAAAAACTAGCTCATTACATGTGACACCAGCCATTTCCGAGTTCGAAGAGAGTCGGACCTCACCTGGGCATGGAGAGGAGGTTTCTGTCTTCGAACCCGTGAATGGAGAGCAATCTTACTGTTACACCCCACCCTAATCTGATCAATGCAAAAGAAACACGAACAATATTTTCTGTGTTATTATTATTGATAGAAAGTTACAGTCACAAAGTTATTTCTACTATATCCAACAAAAAAACAAGAAACTGGATCAAAGTACTGTTACTCATAGGCTAACATCAGCTGATACATATTACCATTACAATACACAGATTACACACAGAGTTGAGAGACTAAAAAGCCGCAGTTAAAGATGAGCCATGAGAAGCTCCTTCAAAGAACTTTGATTGTGATGCGTTTATGTGGTCAATCCTGTGTTCGCATTCTTCTTCTTCCTCCTCCTCTTCTTCATCGGCATCCCAAAGAAACCTAGCATACGAAGCTAGAACATAACTGCATCCATATAAATACCATAGACATTAATTTCAAATTTCAACAATAATTCATATTGCAGAAAACCCAGTTATTATAATAAAAAAAACACCACAAAACCCAACTCCTCACACGATTTATAAGGTATTACAATTAGGACTGTTTTGTTATGCTTCCACAACTGTTCACAATAAGGGCTTAAGAGGACAATATTGAGACTGTAACTAATAGAAACAACAGCCTAATTGAAGTCCAAAGTATTTTTTTTTTTCACAAAGGAGGTATTTCTACACCTTACCGGTGGAACTAATCCACCCCTAAGGCACCCGTAACACCCCACAGGAGTCTAGGGCTCAAGCCTAACTACAACATAACCCATGTAGGTACCTCCACGAAAATTGTTTACCCAGGGAGACTTGAGGCACCATTGCCCAAAGTTCAGCTACTCCAAGAGTTAACCCAAACCTTTTTTTTTCCTAAATTACTCCAGGTGTTAACCCGAACTTTCAATCAATTAAAATTAAAAGCCTGTTTTGATCTTGTTCTACTCCCAGCACAATGCAATGTAGTAATGCTTAATTTGTATGCTCACCAATCGTCGGGATTAGTTTTAACAGCCTGATCATAGTAAGCTTCGGCACGAGGAGCATCCTTTTTGGTCTGCCATATCAGATCAGCATAGAGTGACAAAACATTCCCATCGCTCGGATTAGCCAAAATTGCTCTTCCACAGTACTCTTCCGCTTTTGCAAGATCTCCTCGGACCTGATATCATCAATCTCTAAGAAAAATTCAAAGAATCGAGAGAAAAACAGGATCAATCAATATGCATAAACATTAAGGTTATCTAAATCCCCTCATAGTTAGCAAAATTATAAAATTGCTCTAAAATGAATGACGCAACTCTTCCGCTTTTTCTTTTTTGGAAGTTAAAGCAAGGGCACACACCAGCAGCAACATGTCAAGATCATACCAACCGGATAAATGGGCAGGTTGGTATGATCTGATGATCACCCTATGAACCAGCAACTACTCTCATCGCAACTTTATGGTATATATATAAACACATACTGTACATACATAGTAATACATATATATATATATATGAGATATCATTGATGCATTTGATGTAGGCTTGGTTTACTGGAGATACAAATCTCCAGTGTCCAATATCACTGTAGAAATTAACACAATTTCACATAAAAGATGTAAACAAAATTGAATAAGAGAAGGGACAAAATTGGGTATGCGTTTGCTAACTCTGAAAAATAAATGAGGGATTGGAATAAGAGAAAAAATGGTGAAAAGGGTTTAAATTTGATTAACTATACCTACCTCTTTCAAGAATTTAGCATAGTTTCCAAGTAAAAGACCATTGCCAGGGTTTGCCTCTATCATTTTCTGGTAATATGTGTCCGTACTGTCATGTCCGTGCCCATTATTAGAATCATATGAATCTCCAAACCCATCACCGCCGTCTGATCCTCTCCCTCCACCACCACCACCCGGACCTCCGCCGATCCCACCGCCCACAAGCAGTTTATGCAACACCCGATCTTTCCCTCCCACGGCAACGCATCCCACATCATCCACCTCCATCACAGCCCCACCCAACCCGGAGCTCGACAACAACCTCTGCAGTGTGGGCACCACCTCACCCTCACCCGCTTCATTCTGTCTAACCTTCGCCGGCGATGAACGGGTAAGGCGGGTCGGAGCCGGAGGTTTGGTTCTCGTCCACACCGGCGGGTCAACGAGATCGGTATCGGATAGGGGTCGGGCCGCGTTCTTAAACGGGTCCTGTACAGCAGATAGCGGACCAAACGACGTCGTGAGAACCACCGTCTTTGCTCGTGAAAGTTTAGGGACGTGATCGGTCTCCGGTGACGAATCTCTCGAATTGGGTGTCCATGAATTCAGAATCGGAGCCGAAGAGCTCCTCAACAGCATCTTTAGAGAGAGAGAGAGAGTGTGTGGGTTTTTAGAGAGAGAGAGAGACCTTCGTTAGAGAAGAGAGCTGAGTACGCTTTTATACAGCTGTGAAGAAGATGGAAGGGAGTGAATCCGAGCCGTTGGATTAGCATCTAAGTGGTAGACCATGGTGGACACAGTGGTGACCACGTGGGATATTGATTCGTGTCATTTCCGCATACGCGGTTGAGGAAGGTACTCTTATGAGGAAGACCCACTTTGACTGTAGTCACGTGAGGGCAGGGGCCATTTGTCACCGTCTGATTACTCTACAGTAACGTAAGTTGGACGGTTCTAGAAAGCTGCGTGAATGACAGCTGGTGGGGTTGTTGTCATCCTAGCTTTCTCTCCTCATTCCAAATGCATTCCGACACGCGGTGGTTAAACATCTACACTCCATTCTGAGATCCGCCCCCATCTCCTATTAGGCTACTAGTCTACTTCTCCTCGCTCCGTCTACATAATCAACAGTAAAGTTAAAAAAAAAAAAAAACAACCTTAATATTTTAATTTTGAACAAATAAGACTCTTATTATTTATTTTTAGTATATGATTTTGTTAAATTTGAAAAAATAATAATAATAAGTAAAGAAGGGTTTGTGTTGTGTATATAAGTTAAGTTTAAAAATTGAGCTAAAAATGGCTTAAAGTCACTGTTAAGATATAAAATTTCAAAAACACTCATCTCTTCCTATAATACCCTTATAAGAGAAAAATGAAAAAAAAAAAAAAAAAAAAACCCTTAATATTTACGTTTTTTTTTTATAGATAACACCCATAGTCTTTATTTTGAATATTTAAGTCCATTAAATTTGAAAAAATTTGCCAAAAAATAGCTTGATATCATTCTTTCATTAAAATTTTATTCATGTGCACACATGACATTTTTAAAATATAAAATTTTAAAAATACCCTTTTCTCTTCCAACAATGTCTTTGCATATATATATACATACACACACGTCACATTTAATTAGTTTTTTTTATCTATTTTTTATTCAGTTGTAGAGGGATACTTTACTCTTTTCAGCATTTAAGTCATTATTTGCACCAAAATTTAACGTTAAGGAAATCTAGAATATATAGGGGGTTATATACTCTATCTGCATACCATAAAGATTGATAGGGAAAAATATAAACCTACCCCACCCTCGATAAGATTGATTAGATTTCATTATCAAGAATAATGAAATCAAATCTGACGTAGTTCAACAAGTAAGAATAATCCTACTATAAATAGAGGAGGTCAAAAGGATTAAATCATATTCCGACAAATCTGGTAATAAATCTCCTATGATTTCGCACAAGCGGAAGATAAGGTCAACGATCGATATCAGCGGAACGATTTTGATTCCAATCGACAGCCATAAATAGGGCATCAAGCCATTAAAAAAGGTACGACGTAAAAACTATTATTAATCCCTGCCTTCTTTTTAGACCTCCGTGACTAATTTAATCGTCGGAGAGCTCTTGGCAGGCACCACACCAGTGCCGTCAAATTCATCGATCTTCTCCTCTCTTCCTTGCAGGAAAACGGTATCGTATCGGATTGCGCGAATTTCAGCCTCAACAGTTGGCGCCGTCTGTGGGAATCACGATTCCCTTGAATCAATTAATTACTCGTTGGGTATATACGTTTGCAGTCCGGTATGGTTACTAAAGGAACACCGTCACAGGAATCTGGTCAAAGGGTAGAGTCGGGTGAAAACCTGGACGTCCCAAACGACCAGGCACGGCTTGCAGCGTTGGAACTACAGGTTCAAACTCTGAGTCAGGGTATGAACCAGTTGATCTAGCAAAATGCAACGCTCTTGCAACACCTTGTTCCACCGGCTCAACAAAACTTTCCAGGACAAGATCTCTCAAGTCCAAACGGAGGTAATGAAAATCTTGAAGAGAGGGATAATCATTCCCCCCAAAATGAGACTGAAGTGGAACAAAGCCAGGTGGGAACCCGACATAGAGAGGTGGTTCACCTATCTCTCCTATGGAGTTCCCGACCTCCTGAAAGCATAGCCTTCTGTCTCAAGGAAAAGACAAAAAAAGTTACCCATCTAGACTTGCAGATCAAGGATCTCAAGGGGAAAATGGAAGATGTAATGCAGGCTATGAAAGGGAAAGATCCTGCCGCCGTAGATGACCTGGTACAAAGGACTAACTTGCCTTTCAGCCCCGCCGTTATGAAATGTCCACTACCTAGCAAGTTCAGGATGTCTTTGTTCGAAAGCTTCGATGGGACCAAAGATCCCTTCGATCACCTGGAAACTTTTCAAGCTCTTATACAGTTACACGTTGTGCCAGATGAAATCATGTGCCGAGCTTTTCCCACTACACTTAAGGGATCAGCGAGAGTTTGGTTCAACAAGTTGAAGCCAGGAACCATCAACACCTTCGAAGAATTGAATAAGCAGTTTGTGAGCCACTTCATTGTAGGTCAGAGGCATAGGAGGCCGGCTACCTACCTATTTACCGTGGAACAACAAAAGGAAGAGTCGATTCGGGAATACATCACCCGATTCAACGCAGAGATGTTGCAAGTAGAAGAGGCGGACGACAAGGTAGCTTTAACCGCTTTCATAGGAGGACTCCAAACCTCCAGATTCTTGTTCTCCTTATCAAAAGAACCTCCCACCAGCATGATAGAGTTACTAGTCAGAGCGCAAAAACACATCAACGCTGAAGACACCATGAGTGCACGGAAGGAATGAGAGGACAAGAAGAGGCCAGCCCCTCTCGCAAGGGATTAAAATAATACCAAATATAAGAAATCGTTCTTTAGCCAGAGTGACAGCACATATCATGAGAATGACTCAGATGAGTATACCGACTAGAAATTGTCTCGCGGCTGGAATTAGCCTTATCAAGTCATTCACAATAAAGACTGGGAGCATCTTAGTTAATCATTTTAAATGGAGGGTAGCTCCATCATGTGTTATTTTGTTTTTAATAATGATGGTCTTTAATAAAATTCCTTTTAGTTTATACGTGCAGTATCCCCGTACTAGAAGGGATAATAAATGAGTGTCCTGTATTACAAGGACCCGGGCTGAATGAATCCCGTAATCCGTATCCCGTACTATAAGGGATAGTAAATGAGTGTCATGTATTACAAGGACCCGAGCTGAATGAATCCCGTAATCCGTATTCCCGTACTATAAGGGATAGTAAATGAGTGTCCTGTATTACAAAGACCTGGATTGAATGAATCCCGTAATCCGTATCCCGTACTATAAGGGATAGTAAATGAGTGTCCTGTATTACAAGGACCCGGGCTGAATGAATCCCGTAATCCGTATCCCTGTACTAAAAGGAGATAGTAAATGAGTGTTTTGTATTACAAGGACCCGGGCTGAATGAATCCCGTAATCCGTATCCCCGTACTATAAGGGAATAGTAAATGAGTGTCATGTATTACAAGAACCCGGATTGAATGAATCCCGTCATCCATATCCCTGGACTATAGGGGATAAGTATCTTATATTATCAGGACCTGGGTTGAATGAATCCCGTAATCCATATTCCTGTAATAAAAGAATAATAAATGAATGTCCTAGACTACAATGACATGGGTTGGATGAATCCCATAATTAATATCCCCTTACAATAAGGGATAGTAAATAAAAATTCTTTATTAAAGAGGTGAGCTGAGTAAAACTCGTAAAGTTCAATTCCCTTACTAAAGGGACGAAACTCGTATAATTTATTCCCTTATAAAAAGAAAAGTATTGTTCCCTCGGGTGAAGAAAAAAAAAAAAAAAACCATGAGTTACTATTCACATGAATAGTGCCTGCGGGTACTGTTCACCGGGGTTGGAAAAATAAAAAAATAAAAAAATATTATTATTACTATTCATAAACAGTACCCGCGGATACTGTTCCCTCGGGTGCCCCAAAAAAAAAAAAAAAATTATTCAGGAACAGTACCCCGAGGGTACTGTTCCCTCGGGTGCAAAAAAAAAAATTCCCTAAGTTACTATTTATGTGAATAATACCCGCGGGTACTGTTCACAGGGGTATTAAAAAAAAAAAAAAAAAAAAAAAAAAAAAAGAGAAAGAAAAAGAAAAAAAAAAAAGGATTATTATTATTTATTACATTCCCAAAGCTAGACGTGCAAGCTTGGGAATGGGGAGCAACTCATAGGGAAAAATATAAACCTACCCTACCCTCGATAAGATTGATTAGATTTCATTATCAAGAATAATGAAATCAAATCTGACATGGTTCAACAAGTAAGAATAATCTTACTATACCTAGAGGAGGTCAAAAGGATTAAATCATATCCCGACAAATTTAGTAATAAATCTCCTATGATTTCTCACAAGCGGAAGATAAGGTCAACCATCGATATCAGCGGAACGATTTTGATTCCAATCGACAGTCATAAATAGGGCATCAAGCCATTAAAGAAGGTACGACGTAAAAACTATTATTAATACCTGCCTTCTTTTTAGACCTCCGTGACTAATTTGATCGTCGGAGAGCTCTTGACAGGCACTACACCAGTGCCGTCAAGGTTCATCGATCTTCTCCTCTCTTCCTTGCAGGAAAACGGTATCGTATCGGACTGCGCGAATTTCAGCCTAAACAAAGATTTTTTTTTATCTGCAATCCTATATTATATATATAAAGAGAGAAAATTTAGATATTTCACATTTTCTTAATTTTTTTATTTAGTTATAAATGAATACTTTACTCTTTTCAGTATTCAGTCCTTATTTGCTGTAAATATAAATATTATAACTTTTTAAAATGTATAAAAAAATTATATACTTTATATGCATATCATGAAAATGTTATGTAATATTTATGCAATATGCAACAACAAAGTTTCAATATCCAATATAATATACAATATCATGTTATAATACTACAAGGTGGGGGAGGGAGGTGGGAAGAATCCTTAATGAGTTTGTAGTCTTCACTGACATTTCCAATGAATTTGACAGGTGATATTTATTACCTCCTCCACCTGTCGATTATCTTTTGTTTTCCCACACTTGCCCTTTTTCATGCCTGTCCTATTTGGGGCAGATCGGGTCGGGTGAAACCACGCAAGGTAAGAAATTTTTACCAGTACAATGCATATCCCAATATCAAGTATCGAAAATGATGGGAGAATCGAACTCAAAATTCCAAGCTGTGTAGTCGTTAACCAACTCTTCTGCCTTCTTGAATTATTTGACAAGAACTTTAACAATTTATTTAAAGTTGAAAATGACTAAATAATAGACAAACATGAGAAACATTTGGAAAATTCAGTCAACATTTATATATATATATATAGAATTGAGGGAAGCAGTAGTAGTTAGAGCATGAGTATCATTTTGTTGTTTTCGTCACAAATAAAAAGCTATGATATTTTCCTCAGCTGCGTCCCACTAATCGAATTATTGCACTTCGGCTTCACCAATTCATTTCTGTGTATTAAGGTTGACAAGAGCTACCTTTAATAATGTTACCACATTCGAGCCTATGTAGTACAGTATGATGACATACCCACATACCCTACTACATATCAATTTCATCTATCAATTCCATAATTTCACAGTGAAAACTCTTGCCTTAAAATTTGAAGGTCTGGAGTTTAAATCCCCTCCAGACTACCCAAGAAAAATTTCCCCATAATTGTCTCTACATATGGGACTGCATATTTCCGGTAATTTCATTATCTATCATCATCATCTCTCTCTCACACACTAAAAGGACATCATCTAAACCTATTACAAACATCGTTGCCACACCTGCAAAAATTTGTCACTGACAATGGCTTTCCAACGTCAATCAATCCTACACTCTCTTACAGCATCCCCTAGTTCCACGACAATGGCAACTATATTGTTCCGGCGAACAATACCGTGAACCATCTTCTGACGGGGCCATGTGATCTGATCTACACCATCCAAAAAAGTATAGAAAGAACCCTCTACTGTAGAGAATCCCCACTCCAACACCGTCACCTATATCATGCCTATCACCTCCCCATACTGTTCCATACCATGCAATCAACATTCTACAAGCTCCATAAAATGATTTCTTTATTTCAAACTTCGTGAAGATTTCAAGAGTGATCTTCTGAGGAAACAAAATAAACACATAAAGTCTACATTCATTACAATTCTAACAGGCCAATGCTACATACAATGCACAAAAATGTTATAATGGCGGGAGCCTCGTGCACTGTGTTTGCCCTTCTTTATTTTTTATTTTTTATTTTTCGTGTATCTATATTCTTCAGCTACTCGTTTCAGGTCCTGTTACTATATACAGCCAAATGCTTAATAAGGTCATCTTCTAAACCGAGATCCCTTGTTTGGTTTGCCAGTATTTTTCCCATCCCATGCCGAAGCCCAAAAGAACAGGGACATCCAGAAAAGAACTGCAAAGAAGATCTGCAGAGTATCTTGCAATCTACCCAAAGTTGCTGCAGGACCTGTTGAGGAAATGACAAACGGAGACTAGTGAAAACTCTCAAGTTTAAAGAACTTCAATAGCAGTGGATGCAGGCAAGATTAAAGGAAAGAACTCTAGCCCCATCATATGAAAATATCCAACAAGTTTAAAACCAATCGCATAAAGTACTCCAATAATATGCAACTTATTTGGGAAATTATATCACTATTAGACAAAAAAAAGATCTTCAATCTGTCATTTAAAAATCAGGGTGAAAATCCTATTAAAAGATGGAGCTCTATTAAAATTCCGCAAGTTTTAGTTACTGAGATCAGATACTAGTACTAGATCACTCAAAATGGTAAACATTAAGCAAAATAACTAGTAAGTCAAAAGTTGAACCTTTATGAAAATAATATGTAGTCCTACGAAAAATTGCATGTACCATTAAGCAATTTTTAGCAAGTGAAGGTAAACCATGGAAACGAAAATATAGCAGCTGCCCACTTCAGGTAAGGAACTATACATATTCATCATGCGATGAAACATCAAATTTTTTTACCTCTCCCTCTAATGATTGGCATCTCAAACAGATGCTACAAAGAGAAGTTAAGTAATATTATCAGTATTCCCATCTAAAAAAGAATCTGCTATACCAGACCCTAAAAAAAAAATTAACAATTCAAACAGTAAGGTAAGAGAAGTTGGAAGAACAACTCCCTGCAAACTATGACACTGAGATTGACATGGTCCATCTCTAAAGAAAGTTTTTAGGTGGTTTATGATGGGTTTCCTGTGGCTAACGGCTGGAAAACAATGTGCTTTACGTTAGTTTTATGAAAAGTAAACTCTTAAAGTAACTTTGATCCTTTAGTTTCCTTTAGTTTTATAGAGTTGCTAAGGCTTAACCTTTGATGGAGGAAAGGATTGGGCCTATTAAACTAGGACGTCACGGTTGGAAAAGAGTAATTATTAAGATCAGTTAGCAAGTTTATAGAATACAGAAAACTAAAGAAAAAAAGAAGAGTAATTAAGAGGCTATATACGGTATGCCAAACCTATATTTTGTTTAGGCTAAACACCTAGGGTTAGAATTGCGTCACTCAATCCAACATAGCTTCAGTAAAACATTACAAAACATAAATTAGACTAAACCAGCAACATATTGACTTAAGAAAGATGTAAATACGAATTAGCACAACCTAAAACTTCCAAGAGATCTTTTCTTAAAAATTTGAACTACTCTCCTCAAATTTGATTTCTTTGAGCTTGCTCTTTATGCAGCCTCTTATGCGCTGCATTGTATCATTCTGACTATTTTAACACCAACTATTTAGAAGTTAATCTTCAAGGACATGTGTAAAATCCTGAGAAATGACATCATCCTAGATTGTTTAATTATGGACACGTGTAAAATCCTTAGAAATGACATTGTCCTGTACTGTTTAATTTGTTTATAAAGAACATAAAATAAGTCCTTTCATCAACATTTGTAAGGTCATGCTACGAAATTCAAAATGTTTGTGATATCTTGCTATTATTTGTACTGATGGATCCGTACTGGAGAATAGGTTTGTACCTTTAAATGCCACCAAATAACAATGGAAATATTACTTGCCATGGAATTTCAAGACCAGCTATATGTCAGTATACCAATCAGCCAGCTGCTCAACAAATTCTAATCTGATATTCCATTCAGTTCAAAGTTTTCATCCAAAAAGTGTGCGATTTTAGAACTTTCTCTACTGAGTTGTGTCTATGCCCTCTCTGCATTCATCGCCCCGTCTAGCTAATTCAGATCACACTTGCTGATGACACACAATAATGTAATACGATTTTCTAATTGTCAAGTCTAAAGGGCAAAATGATACATTTAATTATGTTGGAGTTAGCAATTATGTTACTCATGTAATTCCCGGTGTTGGAGTGATTACCTAATTCAAGGAGTAAGGTGATATGAGAGAAAGAAAAAGCATCTTATAAGTGACACTTAAACATTAATTGGCTTGACCATTGACATATTTGGGAATCTAAACTCAAGTAATCAGATGAAGATTGAGTGCTTTAAAATTTTCACAAGAAACACGTTCCTATATGACATGGAACTGGATACATATATCAAGTACAGGTGCATGTCTGAGTATCTAACCTCGGATTCTAAAGCTTGGGGTACAGGATCTTGGCTTGTAAAGTGTCTCAAAGTCAGCACGGTATGTGCAGACACTCTACAATATGTTTGGTAACAGTGTAATACATGATGTTATTCTTCTTAAATGATATGCTAAAATATAATTTAAATTTCCTATGATGTGAAAAAACAGAGTTCCCATCTATCTTAGAAGTGAGGAACACTTGTATTCTATAAAATTTGAAAATTTTCCCATCATACATATAGAATAGGAGTGTCTATCTAATATAGGTTGTGTATATTTCATATGGTCATACGCATACTCATATGTCACACATGGTTGACCTGTTATATGTCTATCTATCTATATATATTAACAGTTACCTTATATGGATTGTAAACATGAAGGAAGTTCCATTAAGGAAGAAAGTAAGTGTACATATGCTTAAAATAAGTTTTTCAAGTAAGTTGACTTAGTGGGCCGTTAATGAAACTACTGAAAGAGAATATTTGGCCATAACAGCAGCCATTATGCCCATTACAACAGCTCACCTTGTGAGAGCAAACGTGATTTTTACATTCTTCATATTAACATACACATACTCCACAATCCAGTACATAAATCCCACACACATTAGTGGGGTAGAAAAGACAGAATGGCATAGAGATAGAAGGGAAATGATAAGGGGAAGAGGAAGAGAAAAAGAGAGACTCAGGATTCTTGAGATTTTTGGTTTCCAAGTCTTGTAGTGCAGCAAAAGTTGTTTATAAAACAAACCCAACATCAAGTATGGACCCTTATACATTTGAAATTTCAAAAAAAATAAATAAAAATCATTAATTTTCAATCTCAAATGTATTAATATCTTACCTCTAAAATTGTTTGGTTGCTTGGAAAATGGAATAAAACAAAAACAAAATAAAAAGAAATTAAGGATAAGAAGTTCATGTTGTTACTAGTATTAAAAAATAATAATAATAAAATAAAAAGAAAAGAAAGAAAGAAAAGAGTAAGTAGACTGATCCTTTCCAACATAATTATCGCTGGAACGCCAGTACTACTAAGAACTACTCTGCATTCTATTGCATTACTGATGGCCACATGCCTTGTCCTTTTCTATAGAACTTTGCAGTTTTAAGGTGTCAAAGCACATGTTACAGGGGTATGAAGGAAGTGAATTGGGCTCTTTGTGCAGAATATGATTATGCACTGAGTATGAATAACATATCTTGTGAATTGTCATGAGAGCCATGTTCTGTAACTTGTATAAGATAGCCGCCTACTGCTTTGCTAAAGATCCGGATCAAGCTCACTTATAAGTTTGGACATTAGGATATAAATAAAAAAATTAAAGCACCCCCAATCATGGTTTAACTAATTTCCCATGCCTAGTAAAATTAAACCTAATAACCTTCGAATTTTCATCACAAAATACAAATTTACAATACATGATTGTAGCATACTATGTAGTAAAAATTCTGTCACACAAAAGAGTGCCAATTCTAAAGCCCCCACACTCTAAATAGCATTTCTAACTATGCAACAATTATTCAAGGACTAACTTGTGGCTCAAGCGGGAACACCCCAACCGCTAGGATTGCATTTTAGATGCTTTCAATAAAGCACTTTAGATGCTTTCAAGTGTCGCCTTGACACCACAAACATGTGCCAATACTTAAAACAGTTGACTATGTTTCCAATTTGCTGAAGTAGATAGTAGTTGCTTTGTATGTGTTTGGGTTGATAGCAGTTTCTGCTCTTATTGTATTGTTAGACTTGTGATCTACTGTTGGTTTTGTTGTATTTGTTTGGATTGGTCCCTGAACCTTTGGTGGTTATGGGGTTTTCACCTCTGTATTGTTGTTTTCTTGAGGTATGCCTCAAGTAGATTGAATTTTTTTTTTTTTTTTGTTGAGTAAAATGTATCCCACCAACCTTTAAAAAAAATAATAAAAAAGGAAAAAAACAGTTGACTAATATGAACACAGTTATAATATGTTTTGACAACACCTTCCAAAAAGAAAAAATATTTGCAAAATTAGTACAAATATACAATAAGCAAGCTTAAAATCACCAAAAATTACCGATTATTTCAGTATGAAGACACAATTAATCCACACCACAAATTACACCCTATTGATTTCATTTGTATAAATTATACCCAATTGATATACATACATAGCGAGTTTTAGAACAAAAATTTCCACGAATGACCGATTATTTCACTATGAATACACAATTAATTTCCACAAATGACCGATTATTTCACTATGAATACACAATTAATTTCCAGTCATCCACACCACAAATTATACCCAATTGATTTTATTTGTATAAATTATACCTAAGTGGTATACATACAAGGTGAGTTTGAGATAGATGTAGTTAGCCAGTAAGTTTTAACAAAATTAACAGCGATAAAGGATGAATAAAAAGCTTAAAACACGCAAGTGAACCAAATTAATATCCATACTGAAACTATCAAGCGCAAAACTAGTAAAACGGTACCTGGGGACGGAGTTGGGTCTTTTCCGGTGGGTGGGTCAGGAAGCGGCGGCGGTGGGGGACCGGGACTAGTGGCGCGGCAACGGCCAGACCATGCGTTGAGATTTGAGGGGAAGATTGGAAACGACCGGTGGAAATGAAGCGTAGAAGAAATGAAGTAATCGGTGGCTAAAGGAGCCGTGTTTGGCAACGCCTGTTGTATTCTTGACGAAGGGAAACAGAGAGCCATTTGAAAAAAAGGAGTTTGTATTCTTGACGAAGGGAAACAGAGAGCCATTTGAAAAAAAGGAGTTGTGTGGCTCAAGTTGTCATCGTGTTTGGTTAGCTGTTTTATAAGGGCTTCCTACCTCCAAGTTCCACAACACACACAAATGCAACCTGGTCCTGTTTTGTTCCATTTATCAAGTTGTAACAGCAACTCCAATTTGGACCTCTCAAACTCAAAATATGAAAATTGGGTAAAAGATAACCTCTACAATGGGCTCTTATTTGAATTCTCAAAATTTGAGATTTTCAAATTTCTTCTCATTTATGGCCGGCTGCCAAATTTTTTTGGCAAGTCTCTCATTTTCTAAAACAATGCCGTTTCTCACCGATCATCACCCACTCGCATCTTTATATGTATATTATATATTTAATATCGAAAAAAAAATTATATAAAAAAAATTAATTCACAAAAGTAATAAAAAAATTATTAAAAAAATTGTTTTTTTTTTTTTTTTTTTTTTTTTGTCCTTTTTTGACCAGATTTTTTAGATTTGTACTTCTTTTTAATTAGATTTAATTTTAGTTTCTTTTTAATGTCTACAACTTAACTTAGAATGTGCCTAATATTAATTTTACTGATACAAATATGAATGGTGGGAATAGTAGTTGAAAAAGAATAGTGGTTATGTTAAAAAATAGCATTTTGTGTGAAATGTACCATTAGAGCAGAATTGCTAAAATGTAACATCTTGGCACTGTCGCACCTGTCAAAATATAAATTTGGCATGCAAAAATAGGTTTTAGCATTGGAGATGCTCTAAGTTGTAATTATTACTCGTTTGGGACCAAATTCGTATGGGATTTGGAATTGAAAAATAAATTGGATCTTAATTAAAATACTCCGTAGGATTTTATTTTTATGTTTAGAGTAAACTGAAATTTGTAAAAAGATATCGACAAAAATCAATTTTGTATCATTTTAAGATAAGAGTAGGACGGCGATGGAGCGGGACGAGATAGGATCTCATTCCCCATTCCAGCGAATTTTTTCATCCTCATACCCACTCCCATTCCCATTTAAAATTTCACCCCCACCCCCATAACCGATTAATACACATTATAATTTTTCTTAACACATAATTTTTCTTATTCTCAAATTCCAAGACTTGACACAACCAAGTCATAATTTTTCCAAGTGTGTTTCAGAAGTGTGTTTATATATACTTAATCTAATTCATTAATATATCATAATAAATAAGTGTATTTTAGTAAACGTACACCTTAAATCGGGGCGGTTTACCCTATCACTGCCCCCTTCAGGTTTTCAAAAACTACCCCCATCCCCATTTTCATTTACACAAAAGGATCCTCAAACCCGCCCTAAACGGAGCGAGGACCTGTCGGATTTGAGGATTTTGCCATCCCTAGCGAAGAGACTATAAAGATGTGTAAGAGATGGTTATATGACGCGAAACATTAAATAGGTTTGTATAAGGGTGTTTTGATAAGTTAGTAGTTATTTATGAAGCACGAACACTTCTACAAAAGAGTCGTAATCGTAAACAGTCGTCGGACACGTGTCCGGCACTTCATACATGTGTCCGTAAATAAAAATACAATTTTATTATTTTGGACACTTCCGGATACTTCCCCGACGCTTCTTGGACACTTAAACCAATACTTTCAAACTTTTCTCATACAAACCCACCCGACAATTTTGAAAATAATATGAACATATTCTATTATAAAGTGTTATAACTATTTTCTTTAATATAATTTGACATTATACGCATATGATCACAAACTAAACATTAAATGATGGTTGTTCATTTAAAATAAAATTACTATTGTAATAAAGTAGTGAAAAAGTGTATATATGATATAAAAGTCATTACAACTATAGTATAAAAATTAGAAATGAATTAAAATTTCATAATACTATTTCTCAATACATATATATAAATAATTTTTTTTATTTATATGGCCTTGTCAGAGTCGTACACGTATCTTACTTTTTAAAAATTTGACGCGTCGACATATCCGTATCGTGTCGTATTCGTATCCCGTATCCGTGTCCATGCTACATAAATAGTTAGTTAACAAGTTTTTTCATTTTTTCCTGAATTTTTCAACTTAAAAATTTTCATTTGAAATTCCTTCAAATTTAATTTTTTTTTTTGTTTTTTAAACTCCCCTAAAACAAATGAAATTCCTTTTGAAATTTAATTCCCATAAAATCATGGGATTCCAGAGGCATCCACACAGTGTGCCATTGTTTGCATTTTTAACTTGAAGGGACAAAAAAAATTATTGGGTAAATTTCACTTATTGTCAATATTTCACATAAACTCTATTTATGTTTTATAATTTCATTTAGCTCCCACAAAGTTCTAATTTATGTAACTAATTCCCTCCTGCCATTAGGGCACTGGCATAATCAATAGCATAAAATGATTAGAATGTCCATTTTGTCCTTCATTCAAAATGACATCTTTAATGTCATTGGACAAAACGGTAAAATAACACACTATCGTTATCAAATTGGACGACGCCCTGTCACAACCCGAAAATTGTACTCATTAAATCCCTAAATTATAATGACATATTCAAAACTCACAATGCAATTAGGAACAATAAATATACAAAAATTTAATGGTAACAATTATAAGTCTACACATGAAATTTCAAATTCTACAAAGTACAACTATAATTATACAAGTGAGTAGACACATAAAAGTCTTGTGTAAAATGACACCCTAGGTTATATACAATCAAAATATATATAATACAATCATAGAATATCAGTTTACATGCATAAAATATATATCACAACAAGGAAAACAAGAAACCAAAGCAAGAGTATAAACATAGTATAACCCTTACCTCACTGGGGGATTGTTCTTCTAGAATTCGAGGCAAACAAGCTCAAAATGAAAAACTGAGAAACGGTCATCTAGATCATGAAGAGAGGAAGCTATGATCTTCAATGTTGGAGACCCAATTCCTCAAACAAAGAGATTGAATTTAAAAAATAGCGAAGTAGCTCCCAGGATTCCTCAAACTGGCAACCCGAGATTCAACCCTTTGGAATCCCATGCAAACAAGGTCATTTAAGCCCTCGAAATAGTATTTAAAGTACAAAAATCAATGCAGGCCCTTGCGGCTGCTATCAAGGGCTTCGGCTACACACGCGTGCGCGGTGTGCCTCTTGGGCGCCCTGAGGGTTTTGGCAGCCTTGACACCGATTCTTGTTTTGACCATAACTGTTTCGTCCGGACTCCGAATAAAGTGATTATTGAGTCTGACTTCGTTGATTTTTCGTTATCTATCCAATGGTGTGCTCGGAAGCACCTGTTCTTGTTTTAAAATGACTATTTTGCCCCTAGGGCTAAACTTGTCAGTTTTTAAAACGTCGCTTCCGCGTCTTACTATCTTTCGAGTTCTATAGTTTCATGGGAAGTTACGTTGATGTCTTAGGGATGACATACATCCCTAGAGACTTTGTTTTTGGGTGAAAAGACCATTTTGCGCTTGGGGCCACACTTGGTCTATTTTCAACCTTAGCATATGCTTTCGTTCCCGTTGAGTTCTGTGACCTCGTGGAAGGTCACTTTGACTTCTTAGAGATGTGTTATTTCTCAATAGACCTTAGTTTTGTCTTTCGCTTTCGCATTCGAGATCCGTTATCGGATCAACTTTCGGGTCATCACAAGACGCATTAACTTGTAAAACTAAGGCCGTCGCACATTTACTTACAAGAGGGTTAAGTGAGATTATGAAATGAAGAGGGATAGGTTAAGGATGTCATTGTAGGCATTAGAATGACAAGATTGACCTTTTATCCATTTTCTACTTCTGTTATCAACATATTTTGTTTGTTTCCGTTAGATGTCGTCAAGAAGAATCTGTTCCATAATATGCAACTTGTTGATGGGCTTGGTTGGCACGTGTTTTGTTTTAACCTGAGTGTTTTGTTATAGAGTATTTTTAATAGCAATAGGAAGCATGTTTTGTAACGTCAATTTGTTACAATATTTTTGGAAACAAAAACATGAAAACATATTTAGTAAAAAATAATGTTGTAAATTTAAAAAATATAATGATTAGTTTAAAAATGTCATTTAAGAGTTTTTATTTTATTTTATTTTTTTTATAAAAAAATTTATTGTTATGGTTTTTTATTTTTATTTTTTATTATGACGTGGAACCCTCGCAACTATCTTCTCTTTGAACTTGTAACTACCGGGTAAACTCCTGGTTATACTTTTTACCAAAGATATATTCTTCATTATTCAATGTACACTACCCAAAAAAAACATGTAAGTAAAATTATGAAAATAATAGTGTGTCTCAGATATTGACAAATTTATCCTAAACACCAAAAAAAAAAAAAAAAAAAAAAAAGGAGGTTTATAATTGTTTGTTTCGGTGGGTTGTAGTCAAGAATAATCTATTTCATAAAAAAGCAACTATAAAATTAAGAGAGTCTATTTCACAAAAATTTATAATAATTTTATAAGTGAAATTATAAAATTAAGAGAGTCTGCTGGGATATTGACAAATCTCATAAGTGAAATTTGCCCTTGAAAAAAAAAATAAAAATTTATAATGTGCCAAAATCTCTATGAATTTTTATTATTATTATTTTTTTTGCAAAATCCATATGAATTAAAAACGTCTTCTAGTTGCCAAATATTTATAAAACAAAATTTCAAATTTAAAGTCTATTTTAATCTCTAGAAAGACGCCTCAAGGGCATTCTTGTGTTGAAGAGGAAAAGAGGCCAAAACTTAAAAAGAAGTGGGGAGCGGCAGAGGAGAGGAAAGGAGGTTTCTGCTCTGGAATTTTTTTCCTTGGTTTCTGCTTTGGATCGCCAATAATAATTCCTAAACCTTTGTATAAAAGGCGAAACCCTAATACTAGTATATCTTCTTGACCTCTGCCGAAGAAATACAAGTAGTGTGCGAGGAAGAAGAGAGAAGCATGAAATTTCGATACGCCATGGTGTGTTCATCGAATCAGAACCGTAGCATGGAGGCTCACTCTCTCCTCAAGAGGGAGGGCTTCGATGTATGCTCGTACGGTACAGGGGCACACGTTAAGCTTCCTGGACCTTCCCTCAGAGAACCCAATGTCTACGACTTCGGCACTCCCTACAAGCACATGTTCGATGAGCTCAGACGCAAAGACCCTGAACTGTATCTTTCTATCACCTCTCACTATTCTAATTTATACCCATTTTGCTTTAAATCAATTTGGTTACATTTCTGAGAAATTAAAATTTAACTTTGAATCTCTCTCACACACACATATTGTTGGTTTTGTTTATTGGAATTGAAAAGTTCTATAACCTTTCACTATTCTAATGTATACCCATTTGCATTATACATTTATATATTTTCTTTGCTACCCCATTTGGTTATATTTCTCATGGTCTCCATGTGGGTTATATTTTTTGGGAAATTAGGGGGAAGGAAAAGAAAATTAACTTTCTATCACAGATATTATTGGTTTGGTTTATTGGAATTGATTGTTAACATTGCTTATTTTAGTATTTAAAATGCACTGATTAAAATTTGGGGTCATGTCTCGAAAGTAATTATATATTAGATATATAAATTACCAAAGTTGTATCAAGATGGGAATAGAAGGCAAAACCTTGTTTAATTAACAGAATCTGAAGGCAACTTTTATTTCTTATTTTATTGCAACCTTAGTTTTCTGCCTGAATTTTAATGCTTGCTTGCTCATGTGTGTACCTATACATGATAAAAGCTAAGTGAAGCCTTAACAATGGTATAGGTACAAGCGTAATGGTATATTGCCAATGCTCAAGAGGAATTCAGCTGTCAAAACTGCGCCTCAACGTTGGCAAGAGAATGCCGCAGATGGTTCCTTTGATGTGGTATTCTCATTTGAAGAAAAGGTTTTCGACATGGTTCTCGAAGGTTGGTTTCTTTAAAGGTCACATTTTTTTTTTGCATTTTGTTTTTATCATTTGCCACTATAACTCCAATTATATATAAATGATTAAATGGTACTTCTTTATTTTGGTTTATACATATCTTTGCTGCATGGAATTTCATTCCAAATGAAAATATTTTTTTATAAAATTGCTAATGACATTCTTTTAAATCCTAGGCCGAATATGGTTAAAAGGATGCCAACAGTGGCTTGACTTCTGAAAATTGTTCGATATTTGCCATAATAATATTTGGAAAGGAAGAAACTTTAGAATGCGTAGGGTTTGGGTATACATGCAACAGAACAGGTAGCTGAAGAATTTGAACATTAGTTAAGCTTGCTGAATGGTATGTCTAGCATGTGATACAAATGTCTCTATATTCCCTTTAAACTATCACCGTCCGGCACTTCTATAAAATATAGTCATATGGATGTATTTAGTTGATTTTTTTTGGCCCTTCTAAACTGCTGAAAGGGTTGCAATCAAGAAAAGGTGTAAGTATGTTTGACATTCTCATGATATGTAAATTAACTTTAAGTGCTCCTCACAAAACTACATGTCTTGATTATCCTTGACTTAGTTGTCAAAACCTTAAAATCGATAGATGTTATATTCTATTCATAAGCTAGTGTATTCACTTAGTTTGAAAATTCATCCACCAACGAGAAAATCTAGAATTTAAAATTTTCACCAGTGGATATTAGGAGTTTGAGATGTGCTATGAATGTTCTAGAAGTAAATTTTAGAATTTTATTGGTTTGAAATTTAATTCAGATAACTTTCCTCATAATACTGAAAAACTCAGTTAACATGGTCATTTATTCTCAAATTTCAGTAAAACTTTTGTTGCTACTGATCACTAAAATATCAAAATTTTAGTTTTATGAAACAGCTCCTATGTATGTGATTTTTAGAATTGAAACAAGGTTAAATGCCACAAGATACGCTATTGCATTAGTCACTTGGCTCCATCTCCAAATTCCAAGGTCACTAATTCACTCTCAAGAATTAAAAGCTTGTCTTGGGATCTTACAGTTTCCTCTCAAACTTATGAAATCTTGACTCTATTAAATTATTTATTTATTTATTTTTTGACATGACTCTATTAAATGTTTAAGCAGCGTATTTTGGGTTTTGGAACCACAGTTTTTATTTTTAGTACAGTACCCTATCTTGGGTTTGTAGGCTCATCTTTAACTCCTGAACCTTAGTTCATCCATCAATCAATCGTTATTGTTTCTTCAAGGCTATTGCCACACATTAACCCACTTTCAAAGGTTATCAAACATTTATATTTCCTTTTGATGATAACGTGGAACTATATTCACAATAATAGGGAACATAATCTTACGATATATTTGCAATAAGAGATAACATAATCTTATGATAGAAAATAGCTATATCAAAAGGAAAGATGAACATTTGATAACCTTTAAAAGTGGGTTAGGTAGAGAAGCAACTTTTATTTATTTTGTTTATTTTTAATCTATCTATATAGACCAATTTCCAAGTTTGTAAGGTTATTTTAGGATAGAGCTTATTGTTGCAATTTAGATTGGTAGTTTTATGTGTTTGTTGAAAGAAAATCAAGGAAGAGAAAGGAGATTACAAGCTCAAGAGTCAAGTGGTGTAATTAAAATGGAAGATAATGTAGTTTTTTAGAAACAAGATGCTAAAGAAGTATAATGAAGTTTAGAAGATGAAATTAATATGCTGTGGAATGTGTTAAAAGAATATCAAGAGAGGTTCTCAGAATCAAAATGAATATGAGACTTGGTGGTGGAATGAAGATGTCGATGTTGCACAATTAAACAGAAAATAGATCAAACACAGATTTTTTTACGTGGTTCATTCGAAGAACTAGGGTTACGTCCATGGGTAGCTGGGATTTAAGATGCTCTCCAAAAAGGGCACACAATACAGAGACTTTAGAATGAAATAAATACCTCGCACTAGGGCAACATAATAGGTGCGGAATATACCAAAATACCCCCCAAGCTCCATAGTATATATCTGGCTTCAAACTACTCATCAGTTGGATCCGTGAAGTTGGGCCTTGGCGTAGAGTATTTATCGTGTTCCACACTACCCATCAGTCCAAACCATCATGTAAAAAAAAATTGCAATAGATTTGGCTAAAATTAGAGAATCAACTTTTGAAAGATAGAAATATGCCAAAGAGGAAATTAGAAAAACTAGCTAAAGAACCTACATATGTTGCATACTATGTTATTTTTTCTAAATTAGATACAAAGGAAAGGAGAAGATCCATATAAATTTGCCTAGTTATGATGGAAGGTAGAGGTTTTAATGATATTAATTCATAAAGAACGATGGCTTAAGGGTCTTAGAAAGCAATAATGAAACTAAAAAACTGTGAAAATATTACTTTGCTAGGTTGAAATGAAAATTATATAGAATGTCTATGTCATGAAAATATGGTACCCTAGGAGAAAAAAAAGATTTGCAAGATCATGATTAGGCTTGCAAATGAACTGTGTTGTTCACGAACAACTCGATGTCAACTTAACATGGAACTCGTTCTGGCGCATTCATTTATTAATTGAACCAATCTCAAGCCTAATTTGAAGTTTGTTTGTTAAAAGAGCTGAGCAGACTAAGACAGAGCTTGGCTCATCTAGGCTTAACTTGTTTAACCAAACAAACATGCCCTTAAGTTTTGTCTAACCAAACACCCCCTTAAGTTTTGTCTAACCAAACACCCCCTTATAATTTTAACTAAATAAGTGACCAACTATGAAGCACCGACACGGCTCTAAGGGTCTACGTACCAGTGTCGGACACGTGTCCCAGGCTTGGACACATGTCCAACACACTCTAACCGTATCCTGCATTTTTTAATATATTCGATGCTACTGGACACTGATTGGACATGGTCGGACACCAATCGGACATGCACTGATCTGATTCCCATGTATTGAGGTATGTCATTCTCATCTCGGGACTAAGCTATTTCACCGTGCCTCTTTTGCCTGAAGTAGTGAAGGAAGAAGATGAATAGAGCCAAAGAGGGAAGAAGTTGGGAAGGGAGCCAAACCAGTGTAACATGGTATCATATATATATATATAATTAATTAATCGAAATCGAAATTGGTTTGATGGATCTATAGATGTAAAAATTGTGAAGATAGAGAGAAGTAAGAGAATGACCGGAAATGATTGGGCACGAAGGCGTAAAATTGATTTGTTTTTGTGTTTATAGATCTCAAATTGTGAAGATAGAGGGGGATCAGATAGAATGGCTGGTAGGAGCAGAGACATGGGTTATTGAAAAAAGAGTTGACTGGGGTGAGAAAGAAGGGGTTAGGTAAGATTCCATCTTATCTGTGTTATTTTATATACATATACATATATTTCATTTTATAAATAGAGCTCTATATATATTTGTTGTTTTTTTTTAATGGAATATGTACTATTGACTTTATGTTTTTGAAAAAAAAAAAGAAAGATGATTGGCCTAATTTAAATGAGTTGTAATTTATTAATATATATAAGAAATTAAGTAAAAGTGAATATTTTTTTATATATAATAAAAATTATTTTATTATTTTATTGCCGTATTCTTGCCGTGTCCTATTTTTTTTAAATTTGCCGTATCGCCGTATCCATGTCGTATCGTACCCCTGTTTCGTGTCCGTGCTTCATAGCTGACCAAACATGACCTTAAATTTTATCGAACCAAATATTCCTCTTCTGCTCATTTTAGTCAAACACTCTGATTTTTCCCCATATCCAAACATGCTTAAAATGGGATAAAAATTTCTCTCTCCTCTCTCTCTCTATCTCCCTCCCTCTCCTTCGTAATATTATCATCTCAATCTCTCTCGCATTTGCATTGCTGAAGAATCGCAGTTGGTAAACAACACCTTGATCATTAGTGATTTCCTCAGTCACAACCAACGGGCCAGTGACCTAGCGGTATCTGTGATACCCCTCGATTCTAGAGCCACGGGTGATCAAGTCCGAGCATAGATCCGAAGGATATCAAACAATTAATATTTAATCGAATACAGATGACAAAATGAATTTAATAAATAAAGTTTAAGCTGGAAGAAACTAAAAGTAAAATCCTTTATAATTAAATACTTAGAATCTGATAATCCAAAACTCCATCAGTTTAACAACTCGGGAATCCATCTTTAGTGGACCCTTAATAAAAATCCCAAACTAAATGAAAGTAAAAACTGAAAATAAAATCCAAATCTAATATTTGGAAAGAAGTCCTACGTCGTCGGTAGAATGGAAGATCGTCTCTGCTCAGCACGAACAAGCTCTAGACTGGAAATGTCCGATACCTGAAAAATGATGAGTGGGTCAGGCCCACATGCAAGTTCTATACTACTACTACCCAAGCAGAGACCCGATACGCATGTACATCCTAACCAATCCAACAATAGCTAATAGTCCGTAGATAAATATATATATATATAATCACACTACAGGACTCTCACTGGACTACAGGCCTGTCTCAACCTGACTAGTAGGCACCATGCGAAAACGCACCCAAAGGTGGGCATGACTACCTAGCCCTAGCAGGGTACACATCCAACCATCATAGCCAGCTATGCATCCCAATGCATATACGCTCCCTAACCAACGACTCTGAGTCTCAGGCTCATATCGTGGCATCATAAAAATATATTTAAATTTCATTCCAAACCAAAGTGCCACTCAATTATTTATTGATCTGACACAAAATATAGGTAGGACTTAACTTTTGTAGTTAATCCGTCCCTTAATCCAGAGTAGGTAGGACTTAACATTTTTGAGCTAATCCCCCTAGTATGACACCGTCCCATACCGGTGCATACAAGCCATCCATCCAGTATTGATAATATATATATGATAGCATAACATATCAATATCAACATATCCAATCATAAGCATAACAAGAATGTTTAATTAGCATGCTTGTTCAATACATCCAGTACCTGGTTCTCTGACAAAATTTTAAGTGCAGAGAAGAAATATAACCATCCTGTAACTCACAATAAGCATAATAATAATAACAATAGTATATACATGCTTACTTGTAATTATTCCACAACATCCCACAAGTTGACATAAACAAATTCTTGGTAACATCAACTAGATCCTTATTAAGTATTAACTGAATTTATATTAGTTAATAGGCTTAATCCCATACCCCTGTTATATGATTTACATATCAAACTCCTAATTCAGTTGCTAATTTAAAATTAATCAACTTGAATCATCTGCAAAATTTCAACCATGTAAACTTCCTTAAAAGTGTCTTACTGTCACTTATGAATATATATAATCATTCTGTAATCTAATAAACTTAACTTAAATTACAGAAAGATGATTTAACAATATTACCATTCCCAGATAAATTGTAACTCATAGGGTTATGCACTTAAAATCCTCTGCCTCCAAGAACAGTCCACAAGTTCACCTGAAACTATAACAGTTTAAATCTACCGATTTCTTTGTAATTTATTATGTATCATCACACCTTCAGAATTTCTAATAGGACTTAGATGCTACTGAAACATCCCTGCATAGCTCCTAATAGCATCTGAAAACACCAAATTCTGAAACCCGCAGCCAAAACCATCATTGAAAAGGCGAAAAACTGAAACCTGTTGAAGGAGCCGGCTCCACACAAAGTGGAGCCGCCTCCACTACCAAGTAGAGCCGGCTCTACTACAAAGTAGAGCCTGCTCCACTTTTTAATTGAGCCTGCTCTACTTGAAATAGAGCAGGCTCCTTCCCCTGTGCGTCGTTTTTCCAATTCCGGCGGTGTCCAGCTGTGTTGATCCTCCAAACCCAATTTCTTGCTGATTAAAATTAAGTCCTTGGGTGTTCAAAAGTTAATTAACTTCCTTGATTAATAATCACATTCAGTGGGAACAAGAATTAAACAAAATAATTTAAAAACGGTTAACATGCACCTACAAGGAAACATGCTGTTCAACTTCTTCTCCAACTCCGGCAACTTTGTTCCGCCAACCTAAGTTTCCTATGGATTAAAACTAAGTCCCAAAATGCTCCAAAGTTATCTAAGTTCATTACTTGTTAATCAAATTCAATTAAAACAAGAACAAGCACAAACAGTTTCATCACGAACGGAAAAATACATACAAGAACCCATACTGTTTAAAACAAATAATTACAACCAAATTAATTTAGCTTTATTTCTTCCTGGAACTGAATTGGAGATGCAAAGAACACAGGCCAAAGAGATAGAGTTAGTAATAAAACTTGCCTGTGAGATTCGGTTCAAAAATCTCAACGTCTTTCTTCTAAGTTTTCCGGCGAACTACCTTCTCCTAACTCCCCTGATACTTCTGCCTCCAATACGTGTGGTTAGGGTTCTAAACCCTTGGCAGTCTTATACAGATATATATATAGGCCAACTAAACCTAGGTGCAATTAAACCCTAATCCTATTACTAGACAGAAAAAAAATAAGTCGGCTAAATACGTGGCTGATAAAACCCTAATTTAATAAATAAAACATTTAACTTAATTCAAATAAATACTAACTAACATAAACAACCAATTTAAAATAAAACAATTTAAAATAAAACAAATAATCAATTTAAGCAATTAAAGCAAAACAAAAATTTAACTAAATAACAATTTAAATAAACAAACAAACACAACAACTACAAATAACCAACTAAATAAACTAAAAACACAATTAAACATTTAAATAAATTCCAGAACTATCCTTTTAAAATTAGGGGTATTACAGTATCAGCCTCTTACTTTTCAAAGGAAAGTCAGAGGTTCAAGTCTTAAAAGAAACATGTGTGTGTGAGTACCAATTAAGAAGAAAAAAAATGCTTCAAAGCATCTCTGCCAGCAACTTCAACAAAAATCAACACTGCTATTAAGCGCAAAAATAGATCTATGCACACCGTTCACAGGCACTTTCATGATTACACCATCTCCTCCATCAAACACATGGATCTACCAAGGGCCCACGCAACCACTGTCGCCACTGTCACTAGCAGGCATGGATCTACCAAGGGCCCAGTGGGGGCATCTGCCCCCACTAAATTAACTTCCTATAGTTTTTGTTAAAATCTTAGTATGCCCCCACTAAATTATTTATTTATTTATTATTTACATTACTTCCTATAGTTTTTGTTAAAATCTTAGCAATTTCACCACTCAATTTTTTAAAATACCCAACTTTATATTCTTGGGCCTACTGATATTCTTGAGTCTAAATAAAGTAAAGTAGCTCTATCTCTTGTTTCTTCACTCTCTACTGGCCCACATCCATTGTCCTTTACAAGTTTGAAGGATTAAAAGTAATTGGCGATCTTGCAAAAAAAATGGTTGAAACCATAAAAGACAAGGTGTATTCATTATTGTATTTACTTGTGACATTGGCATTGATCTTATCAGTTGCGACTGCCCCTGTATAGAGAGCATTTTTAGCTATGAATATTGTGAAGAATCGATTGTGCAATTGGATGAGAGATCAATGGATGAGTCATGAGTGATGGTTTGATTGTATATGTTGAAAAAGAAATATTTGATCGCATAGATGATGAAGCTATATATGGCGTTTAACAAAATACGAAAACCCGTCGAGGACAATTCTAAATGTATTCAAGGATAATATTAATTTAATGCTAACTTTTGTTTGTTATGATAGTTTGGGAAAAATTTATCTTGTTTTTGTTCAAGGCCCCCTCCCCCCATATAATTTTCTGGCTATGTCACTGGCCGCCAGTGAGTAGTTTTATGGATGGTCCTCATCTTGTTCTCTATCATTGCTGGATAAATTTCCCTTTTTTTTTTGGGCATATTACTTTGTGAATCTCCAAGACTCCATCTGTTTAAAGAATACAGATTGAAAAAAAAAAGAAAAAAAAGCTTGAGCCGAGCCCAAACATAGTCAAACAGTTCTTAGTCCAGCTTGGCTAGGTCAAGCTCGGTCGAGCACAATTTGAGCGTGACCATTATCTAAGTTTGAAAAGGTGAGCCTGAACATCTCAAAGCTTGGCTTGGCAAATATTGTATGAAGTACCTTGCATGATGAGGTGTGCATGATTAAAATTGTATTTAGGAATGTGAAAACTACAAGAGTTTTAAGACCGGACAGGGTTGTTATAGATGTTTGGAAGTGTTTAGGTATGATAGTATATCTTGGATATCAAAATTATTTAATAGAATAATAAGAAAATACTCAGTGAGCAATATGAAGTATTTACTAATTATGTATAATATATATATATATATATATATATATATATATATATACATACACATACACATATATACTAGGAAGCACGGACACTCCGAAATAGGCAAAGAATCCGTGTCGGACACGGACACGCGTCGGACACGGCCCGACACGTGTCGGACAAGGCAAAAAGCGTGTTTGGAATTTTTTATTTTTTTAAAATTTTCGGACACGGATTGGACACGGCACGGACACGCGTCCGACATGCCAGGGTGTGTGTCTGACACGCGTGTCTTATTTTTGGGGGTTTAAAAGATAATTTTTAAAAGAAAGTTGGGTTAAAGTACAAATATATAAAGTTATTTACTTACTTATGTGGTCAGAACATAATAATTTTAAACTTTCAAGGTTAATATGTAATTTTAAACAAAAGAGATAGATATTTGAGGCAGTCATTACACTATTACAAGATCAGATTCAAAGGACGGGGGTTGTGCTCTCTCAAACTGACAACGAAGCTCTGCAACTTCCTGCTGCAGATCAAAGCGACTCCTTCCAGCCTCCAGGTCAGTCTCTCTCTCTCTCCTCTCTTTTCTTCCTCCTCCTTCCTCTTTTCTTTCTTTTTCTTCACAAACCCTAGTTTCTTTATTTCTTCTTCATTTTTTTTTTTCTTTTTCCTTTTTCACAAACCCAGATTCTTTCTTTCTTCTTCATCTATTTTTTTTTTTGTTTTTTTTTCATTTTCCTTTTTCAAAACCCCAGTTTCTTTCTTTTTCTTTTCTCTCTCCTTTTTTTTTTTCCCCCCGTTTTTCACTAACCCCAGTTTCTTTCTTCTTCATCTATTTTTTATTTTTTGTTTTTTGTTTTCCTTTTTCAAAACCCCAAATTCTTTCTTTTTCTTTTCTCTCTCTCCTCCCCCCCTCCACTAACCCCAGTTCACAAACCCGTCTTCTTCTTTTCTGGTATTTTTCCTTTTTTACAGACCTTAATTTCTTTCCTAATTTCTTTCTTCTTCTTCTTCTTCTTCTTCTTCTTCTTCTTCTCTGTTGTCTTTATTCTTGCTTTAAATTTTAGCTTGTGTGAGTCGTGACTTATTGACCTGTAAATGAATTGGATTTCATCTTTGATTTAATTTCAACTATTGCATATGACTTATGAATTTGTAGCAAATAGGAATTTATTTTTTCTTTGCTGACTGTTCTTTCTTTGCTGACTGCTGTAAGTATGGATTTTTTTTCTTTTCTTTTTATGTCTAGGGAATTAGACATGTCATTGTCTACATCAGTTGCTAGTTGTACTCCTCAATTCGAACAAGATGATAACAAACCACTTTGGAACTATGTCACACAATTAGAAAAAATTGGTGGTGGAGGAGGAAATTTTTTATTCAAATGCCACTTTTGTAATAACGAATTCAGGGGGTCTTGTACAAGAGTTAAAGCCCACTTGTTGCAGAACACTGGTATGGGTATTCGTATATGTCCAAAAGTCACATATCAGAATATTGCAGAAATGCAAAAAGCAATTGAAGAAGCCGAATTGAGAATTAAAAATTCTAAACCAAAAAAAGTTCCTTTGCCGCCGTCTAGTGCATCATTGGGTGGTACTACTAGTCTCACTCAGGAGGCTTATGTACCAAAGAAAAGAAAGGCAAGTGGGGGTGCCATTGGGAAGGCATTTAATAATGATGCTTGGGAACAATTGCACTCAGAGATTGCTAGGATGTTTTATTCCGCAGGATTGCCGTTTCATCTAGCAAGAAACCCGTATTATGTGAGTTCATACAACTATGCTGCAAATAATCCTCTGTCAGGTTATTTGCCTCCGGGTTATAATCTATTGAGAACCACTCTACTTCAAAAAGAAAAGGCAAATATTGATAGATTATTGCAACCAATTAGGAGTACATGGAAGGCAAAGGGTGTTAGCATTGCAAGTGATGGTTGGAGTGATCCACAAAGGCGGCCTTTAATTAATTTTATGGCTATGACAGAAGGAGGTCCCATGTTTTTGAAAGCTGTTGATTGTTCCGGTGGAATTAAAGACAAGTTTTTCATTTCCAATTTGTTGAAGGAAGTCATAAATGAGGTTGGCCCCCAAAATGTGATCCAAGTAATTACAGACAATACCCCAAATTGCAAGGCTGCTGGACAACTAATTGAAGGGCAATTCCCTCACATTGTTTGGACACCTTGTGTGGTCCATACTCTTAATCTTGCCCTCAAAAATATTTGTGCTGCAAAAAATGTGGAAAAGAATGAAATTGCATATGCAGAGTGTGGTTGGATTCTTGATTATGCTGATGAGGTTACAATAATAAAGAATTTCATCATGAACCATTCAATGAGATTAGCTATTTTCAATGAGTTTGTCAGCTTGAAGTTGCTTTCAGTTGCAAAGACACGCTTTGCTTCTGTTATTGTGATGATGAAAAGATTTAAACTTATAAAAGGTGGTCTCCAAGCAATGGTCATAAGTGACAAGTGGACTTGCTATAAGGAGGATGATGTAGGAAAGGCCGATTATGTGAGAGAGAAGCTGTTGGATGAACAATGGTGGGGAAAGATTGATTATATCCTTTCCTTTACTTCACCTATTTATGACATGCCAAGGGCTCGTGATACCGATAAGCCTTGTCTTCACTTAGTTTATGATATGTGGGATGCAATGATTGAAAAAGTGAAGATGGCAATATATAGGTATGAAAGAAAGCGACAAAGTGAAAGTTCTTCCTTTTATGAAGTGGTGCATGGGATACTTGTAGCTCGTTGGAACAAGAACAATACTCCGCTTCATTGCTTGGCAGATTCACTAAATCCAAGGTAAATCATTAGATATTAATTTGTAAGCTAAAGAAGTTTTAATCTTAGTTTAGAATTAAGGAAATTAAATTATGAATTAAATGCATTCTCTTATTTATTGTAGGTACTATAGTGATGTGTGGCTTAGTGAAGACCAAAGTCGAGTTCCACCACACAAGGATTTAGAGGTCTCAAGAGAGAGAACAAGGTGCCTTAAAAAATACTTTAGTGACCCACAAGAGCGTTCAAAAGTCCAATTGGAGTACGCTAACTTTTCATCAAACTCGGGGGAATTTGGGGAGAGTGATTCTATATGTGATAGATATACCATGGATCCTAAAAGTTGGTGGGTTGTACATGGTTCATATGGTCCCTTACTTCAAGAGTTAGCTTTGAAGTTGCTTGTCCAGCCTTCTTCCTCCTCATGTTGTGAGAGGAACTGGAGTACTTATTCTTTTATTCACTCATTGAGAAGGAACAAGATGGTGCCACAACGGGCTGAAGATTTGGTTTTCATTCATAGTAATCTCCGTCTTCTGTCAAGGAGAACCCCACAGTACAATGAAGGACGAATTAAGATGTGGGATATTGCAGGAGATGCATTTGATTCATTTGGTGATGTTGGGGTGCTTGAGGTTGCAAACCTCTCACTTGATGAGCCAGAATTAGAGGCGGTATTATTTACCGATGATGGAAGTGTTAATGATGATGAGATTCATGAGACAATTGATGATGAACTACAATAGATGAATGCTGATATGTTCTTTTTTTTTTGTTTTGGACTACCCTTTTGGTATTGTAAATGGTAAAGTCCTAGGTCAAATGATGGATGGGAATAGATGATAGTACACTGACTTGTTTTTGTATCTTTTTTGGGGACTAGCCTTTAGGTTTTTGTGAATGTTAAGTGCTAACAGTACAGTCCTGAATGTTAAACAATCATGAATGTTAATAGTCCTTTCAGTCTATGCTTTTGTATTTGGAGTAAAGTTGCAATGATGATTAAATGATACTAGTTATTATTCTAATATCTTGTTTTTTATTTGGTTTTATAACTCTGCAACATTGTTCTTTTATAGTTTATTAGTTATAAGTTATGATTTGTATATATTTTCCATTATGAGGTTGATGAAAAATAGTAACACTCGGTAATTTTTAAAGTACTACATCATATATATATATATATATATATATATATATATATACACTATTCGCCGTGTCCGTGTCCTAATTTTTTTGGATTTGCCGTGTCGCCGTGTCCGTGTCGTGTCGTGTCGTATCCGTGTACCGTATCCGTGTCCGTGCTTCTTAGCATATATATGTTTAAAAAAGCGCACACTTACACACGGGGAGATCAAAGTTGTACAAATTATTGTGGTTGGGCATTAAATTGATAGGCTGTATTAAGATTCATGAAACTTTAGGATAGAGTGATTGAATAGCTGATACATTACACTATAGTATTAGAAAATCAATTTCATGTATGTTTTATATGTCAACAATGGTAGCTATTTAGAGGAGACTAAAGGAGGGATTTAGACTGTTGTGAGATTTATATGTACCACTCGCAAGTGTACGAATCTTTTTAGATAGGGTTTACTTGGAAGGGTGTCGTACCTAAGGAACTTGTCTAAAGTAAGTTTGCCAACAGATTTCTTAAATTCTAAATTAACTTGAAAGTAGGATAATCGAATTGTGATGATTAATTCTAAATTAACTAAGTAGAAAAATAAAATAAACTAAAGAACAATGATTAAATAGGATGTAGAAAATAGAGAGAAAGGACTAGGGGTATGATTTCACCACTAACATCGCACCACCAGTCAATTGCATCAATTTATTGGAGATATATTATATAACATGCACAGGGAATTAATCATGGCTACAAGCACATATTAATTCAGCTAGAAAATAATATAATTTAAAGTTAAGCATGGACTATCTTCGATTGGCATAAACCATCTACCTATCTACTTTACTCTAGGGTGTAACATGGTCTATCTTTTCTAGGCATAATACATCAAATCTCTAACATTATATTCAGATAAAAACCATTGTATAATCATCTCATTCACAACTACAAGAAGTGAATGAGTTGTGTTCAATTACAAGATTAAAATATCTAAGACAAGATAGAAAAATATTTGTAATTGAATTAAAACTCTAAAACTGATTCTTATTGAAAAGTCAATTAAAATTCCTATAGATTACACAATCATGCATGATAAAAATTGTTCTTCAATAATTAAATACAATCAAACCAGTGTGCTAAGTTAGGGCTACATCACAAACTAGCAAAGCGTTTAGCCAAGCATGACCGGAGTGGAATTCTTCATGGTTGAGGAAGACATCTTCACTGCCATGGATCGATCTCATCTTTCTTCTGAATGCTCTTCTCTAATCTCAGCCTTAAGCTCCTCTGTGTAATGATTCAATGCTATAGATGACTCCCTTTAAATAATAAAAGATCAGCCCTAAAGTTCCCTTTTTCTTATAGAAGACATACATAGAAATTCTGTCAAATAAGGACTCTAAAATTCGTATAGACTTCCAGGCCAATTTTGACAAGGTAAACAGCTGTTTTAGGGAATCCTCGTGAAATACAAAATTGTAGCTCTTCGAATTTCCTTTCAACCCCGCGTGGAAATTTAGCTGTTTTGACGCTCGAGGAGAGAGATACAGCCAGGTTACCAAAACGGGTTCAAGTTACCAACTTCGGCGAAAGTTTCCTTTCTGGAGAAGGAGTTTTCCTTTTCTTCTTTTTTCCATTCTCATCAACTTGTTGCTTCTTTTGAAATATTTTCTAAGTATAATTAGACTTGGATCTTCAACATTGCTCGGTCCCACGGAATGTCATCTTTTAAAGCTCAGGATCACTGGTCTTGGCTAATTTTACAATTAAAGTCCTGAAATAAATAGAAACAATAAAATAATGTAAAATTACAAATAAACTATTATTAAGAGAATAAAACATGCAAGTAAAGGGGCTAAAATGTGTAACATTCAGCGCCTAACACAGACTATACATTTGGAGAAAGCATATGATAAGGTCGCTAGAAATATAATATGATGGATCCAGAAAAGAAATGGGTCAGAGATGGATATCAACATAATAGAGGACATGTATAGATTATTACAGAATTGGAATTATATAGATAGAAGAATTGTGGGAGGCACAAGTCAGTTATTAAATAATATAGGCTTACATCATGGATCAACATTCATCTTATGTCTTATTGTCTCATTTATAAATGGATTTACAAAATAAATTCGGGATGTGGTTCAATGGTGTATGCTATTTGTTAAATAACTGTGTTTTTCTTGATGAAACTATAGCAGGGGAAAATGTTAACTTAGAGGTAGGAAATGAAGTTCTAGAATCAAGAGGGTTTCAGTGGGATTAAAATTGAATCTATGGAATGTAACTTTTGTAGAATTAGAAATGCAAGTGAAGATTTAGCAAAGATGGTCGAGAGATACAAAAAAGCATTTCACTACTTAGGCTCATGGATATATTGGTTTTTATTTTTTGGTAAGTGAGCAACAGACACCCACTTTGCCCCACTTGGGCCTTGAACCTTAACCTTCTCTTTGAGGATGCAGAGGTAGTTTTCCCTCTTTGTTAATAAACAAGCCTAAACAAAGATAAAATTTAGGCTTGATTGTTTACAAAGAGAGGGAAAACTTGAGACGGTCTTAATCATAGAATTATTTCAGGAACTAGAGGCACAATTCTCTACTTCGAGACATCTTTTACCTCATTTAAAACTAATCTTATGTTTCTTTTCCATGATCATTGTGTAACGTTGTGCAGATCTCCACAATCGGAATCATGTTTTTATGAAGCCTGTACTGGTGATCAACTTGGAGGTAAAAGATAACCACGAGGAGGCGGCCATTGGAGCTCGGCTTGCTCTAGTATTGTGCCAAGAGGTCTACATTGTTATGTTTTTATGTATGATTATAGATTTTCTATTAATTCCTATGTTGCTAACCTTTCTTTGCACGGTGCTGTGAACAGCTTGAAACAACTGAATTTTGGGAGGATTCAATTGATGAGATTGTGGGCAACTTTGAGAGACAGCATCGGCGGAAACTTTTATACAGCATCTCCTTCTACTGAAGATGCCATAAATAGTGAAAGAACAGCTTCTTAGCTCATATTTTTGAAAATCCTACTCTAGTCTTGTTGATATGCTTGAGATAAAATTACCTTATTTTTCGTTTTTTCAGTGTAAGATTAGTGTCATGCCTCTGAAAATGGTTAGGGAGATATCATTGAAAAGTCTTCTAACTCTGCCCTGTTATATGTGACTATTATAAGGAGGCATGATTTAAAATTTAACAAAAAAAGAAAAGAAAAAAGTCTGCTCTTTATTTATGTGTTTTTTTCTTTTTCTAATTCATGGAAAAACAAAGTTTTAATTATGCAGTTAATATTCCTTTACACATGTAAGTTAATGTATTTGATTAGTTTAATTAGCGTGCAGATGCTTTTTGCTCTGGTGGAAAAAAAACCGAAATGTTGAATGGAATTGTTTGTATTGGATCAATTAAGAGCATTTCCAACGGCCCAGTTTTTAGAAATTCTGGGCCTTTTCTAGCTATTGGGTCAGTCCAATCCAGTCTCCAAAAAATGGGCCCCAATTTTTGGGTTGCCCAAAACGACGACCCAGTTAGTGATTGCAGGCTGCCTTGTGTGGGCTCATCCATTTTTTTGAATTTTAACTTCTGTGGCCCAGCAACACTGTAGCCCAGAATAACTTTAAGGGCGTGTTTGGTTATGAAAAAAATACCAAAAACGAGGTTTTTTTTTTGCATTTTTTGGCCTTTTTTTTTTTTTTTCCTTCTATTTTCCCTCAACATAATTAAACCAAAAAGTTGTTAAGGCACTGTTTGGCTGACACAATTAGTGCCTAAGGCTTTTTTGGGCAAAAAAAATTAAAAAAAATTGGAGAAAATTGATTTTTTTTTTTTGCCCTTTTTAAAGTTTTCAATATTCCTATCGACATTATAGCCGGTTTAGGCGTGCACAAACAGTGTCTTAACAGTTATATTGGCACAATGCATATTTTTTAAATATATATATATATGTATTTTTAATAATTATATATATATATATATATAGAAAAAATGTCTTTTATTTTTCCTCTGTAATTAAATACATCAACCCTTACTATCATTCACTTCACATTCAACCCATCTATATTCTCTACTCTTTAACCTACAACTACAATGATTGTTGTGTTTTTCTAGTTGATTTTAATAATGATATTTTACTATTATTATTTTTTAATTCATATTGTATTGTAAGTTTTAATTTTTATAATTTATAATAAATATTGTATTGTTTAAATTTTTTGTATGATATAGTAATTAGAAATATAGTCGTTAGAAAAAAGTTAAAAAAATAAAATTTATTAAATAATTAAAAAATATTAAAATTTTTGAGGAGCGAAAATACATCATTAGAGTACATGCGATAACTAAAATTTGGAAACATTAAAATGCTGACGTGACTCTTGAAAAATGCAGATGTGGCAAATTCGGAGAGCCAATTTTTAGAGACTCTATTGGAGTTGCTCTAAGTAGGGGTGCACATGGTTCGATTCGGTACGGTTCCACTAGGAATCGGAACCGGTCACAACGGTTCCTTAAAAATGGAACCGGAACCAAAACTGTGTGTATATGGAACTGAATCGGCATTTACTGTTCGGTTTCGATTCAGTTCCACGGAACCATTGACTGAGGAAGATGAGCTGTGTTGCACTATTCCTGACTTCAAGATATGCAAATCTCTTTTGAGGATGTTGACAGAAAATAAACAAATAAGATAATATCATCATAATATGTTGGTAATATAGTCTTGATAAAACGTGGTAGATACCAAAAAGCAGTACACAAAAATAATATTTTAGTATATGATCATATTATGGCAGGATTTGTACGGTTAAAAAATGAAAAATAAGATAGATAAAGAAAACATTATACTTTATTTAATATAATATAAATACCAAAATATATTTTAAATGCAGACTGTTCGGGTAAATTGCATTCCCTCTAAAAGTAGAGGTTTTATTTGACTTGATAGTACAGGGCTATACTTACTAATTACTATATAATTAAATATAAATATATAATACAATCAAATATATATATATATATATATATATATATATATATATACACATACGATTTCGGTTTGGTTCGGTTCCCACATATTTGGAATCGGAATCGAACTGTAAATACACAATTTTTAATTTTTAAATCAGGATCGAACTAGAACTATGAGAACCAAAACTGAAACCCAATTCAGTCCGTTTTGATTCAATTTCACGATTTTTTTATGCACCCCTGAGTCCGAGTGTACCTGCAGGGAAGTAACAGTGATAGTGGTGTTCTGAAGTACCTGCATTTTTTTTTTTTTTTTTTTTTAATTCACCAGGATATGGGCATAGTAAGCCATGAAAAGCTTTGACTTTTGGTTTAAAAGGTGGACCCTGCAAGACAGGTTGTACAATTTGAATTAGAAGGCAAAAAGAAAAGGCAGAACAAACTTTTTGGCCATAAATGTGGATTAGTAAACTTAGCTTTTTTTTGGGCCCCTAAAATGCAAACAATAAGGAAAGGTCAAAGCTGGATTGGGTGGGCAGACTTTTTGGTTTAGCATTCTAAAATGCTAAGCATGCTAAACCAAGAGAAGACCAAAACTTAGATATTTCACAAGGAGCTCAATTTTCTCTTCTTTTATGTTTTATTTTATTTTTTTAATGTAAAAAGAGTTAAATGTTAGTTTAATAGATATAGAAAATTCGATAATCCAATAAATTAATACTTTTTTGTATACCTTGAAATACTAAAATTTGACTTTCTTTATCAAAATTTCATGTTTAATTTTTTTCATTAAAATGAAATGCAGGGAATTGGAGTATCTTCAATGGTAATTGCAAGAGTTTAATTTTTTCATTTCTTTTTTTCTTTTTCATTATAAAATAACAATAATAAAGTCAATTTAATCATACTTCATTAATATGGAAAGAAATTAATAATATAAATTTAATACGTGTTTCAATACGTTACTCTAAATTTGTATAGCACGCTGCGGAACCGGACTACAGAGTCCCTCACGGATCCCCCAAGTTAAACTGAATAATACACGTCACACCTTGCTGAGAATTCGTAGGAAGTTTCTGTACCACCACAGCATTCAAACATTATAAATTTGTCAAATCAAACCACGACTCTATTGTCTTTTTATCTCCTTCGATACAATCCATTTTATTTGCATCATCCACACGCGATCTCTATATTTTATTACATGTGTTTGAATATATACATATATATATATATACATGTATTTAATTCAAAACGTTGAATGATAGAGGAGAGGAGTGAGTCATCTACAATCAAATGCAAAAGACAGATAAGAAGATTCCCCTGTCTCTTCAATCCCTAACCTCAATTTTATATTCACCATCTTGATTCCAAATTACTCATCAATTCCATTATCTTCATCTTCTTCACACGGTACCAATTATAGATCTTGAATACGGCCATGGCGTCGCTCAGCTTCAGTCAGATCATCGGAGCCAAAACCTCCGCGGTTGAGTATCCACGAAGACGGCAGAGTTTTGGTCGTCGGTGTGGTAGCAGAGTTGGAGTGTTGAAGGTTTCTGCTTCGGGGGAGAGTCGATCAGAGCCCGATCTTAGTGTGACCGTCAATGGTCTCCAAATGCCCAATCCGTTTGTCATCGGGTCGGGTCCTCCGGGGACCAATTATACGGTCATGAAGAGGGCTTTCGATGAAGGTTGGGGTGCTGTCATTGCCAAAACAGTATGATTCCTATTTTATCTTAAACCATCATTTTCGATTGTGTTGAGTTGACTCGGTTGAGTATTATTACTATATAGTACAAGCTTGAAAGTGCAGTAATGTCTTGACAATTTTGGTATAAAAAATAAGATGAAACTTTCCCGCCCCTTAATGAGGTGGGGACACTGAAACACCCTAAAAATGGAACAAAATTAGGTCTAGGAAGATAGATATATACATTTCGTTTGGAGGACTTGGGTTGGGGCATTATTGTAAAAGGGTTTGATAGCCTGTGTTTGAAAGAAAATATGACCTAAACAGAGTGGGTCAGAGATGTAGTTTTTGTGTTGCATTGCCGATCAGGGCTTTATATTCTCATACAATTCATTATCTTATTGTCCTTCTTTTGAAGGAGGCACGACAAGCCGATGCCGAAATTTTGGTAGCATTTTTAGGGCTATCAAGATTGCACCAGAAATTCATTGCTGTTCCTTTTGTCAACAGGACATGTGTTCTGTTTCTTGTTGAATTAGTAATGGAAAAAAAAATTTCCGTTAAATAAATCAGATACACATACTACATTACTTGTTATATTGACATTGCTGTTGAAAGTTTAGTGTTTGATCTTGTACTATTATTTTGTTAGGTTTCATTGGATGCTGCAAAGGTTGTAAATGTAACTCCTCGATATGCTCGCTTACGGGCAGATGGAAATGGCTCAGCCAAAGGACAGATTATTGGCTGGGAAAATATTGAACTCATAAGTGACCGGCCTCTTGAAACCATGTTGAAAGAGTTCAAGCAATTGAAAGAAGAGTATCCAAATAGGATACTTATTGCTTCAATCATGGAGGAGTATGACAAAGGTGCCTGGGAGGAGCTTATTGACCGAGTGGAGCAAACTGGAGTTGTAAGCAATCATTTTTCTTATTACCTGAGTAATGATCACTATTTTCAACAACTAAATTTTCTATTTAAGAAATGGAGCATTCATCATCTAACAACGCTGAATTTTCTGTTTAGGATGCCATTGAAATCAACTTCTCATGTCCTCATGGTATGCCAGAGCGTAAAATGGGTGCTGCAGTTGGGCAAGATTGTGCATTGTTGGAGGAGGTTTCTGGATGGATCAATGCGAAAGCCACTGTTCCAGTGTGGGCAAAGATGACTCCAAACATCACTGACATTACACAGGTTTTTTTCTTTCATTTATCTTGAACTAGTTTCAATTAACATTCATAATTTCAAGAAAAAGGTAGTACATTATATATGATACATGGGAATGCTTGTTTGTTCGTCATATAACATGGTGACATGAGTAGGGATGTGGAATGGTCAAAGAGAACTATCATTAATGTAAAAAGGGGTCTCAATAATGTTATTAAAAACATCATGCAGATATTGTACCCCATTCATAAACCATATGGTAATCTTCAGTACTGTTGGTTGTAGACAATCAACTTAACCTTATCTTTATCAACCTACTAATCACTTTAAGACTTCTTTTTTAATTTTTGTTTTATGTACAAGTTCAAGAGTTTTAAAAGGAAAAGGTAAAACACCTTTTTAAATGATCCACGTTTTAAGAATTCTCTTGATACTTGTATAGGCATAGGGTAGGGATGGCAACGGGGCGGGTTTGGAGTGGGTTTCCCTAAATCCCGCCCCACCCTGTTTAATTTTTGGCAAGTCCATGCCCGCCCCATGCCCTGCGACGGGTTGAATTTTCATATCCATCCCCACCCCGTTGGGAAATATTGTGCCCCGTGCCCGCCCCACTAACAATTTTTTTTCACAAGTTTCTTGGCTTAGACGAAGAATAGATCAATCCTTATGCTTGAAAAAAATAGATCAAATAAATTACAAAATAAGAGATATATAATATATATATATATATATATATATATATATGTAAGTATAAAAAAGGGAGAAGAAGAACTGAAGAAGAATAAATCTACCTGCGTGAGTGCGTGGATCTACCTGAGAAAGAGAAACAGAGACTGGTGAGGGAGAGAGGGATTGAGGTCGATGGTTTGGTTTTTGAGTTTTGACTCTCTCTGTCTTCCCTTGATGCACCACTCAGTTCACACATAAGGCTTAAGAAATTAGGGTTGTAAGAAATGGGTAACTGGGTAAGGCGGTAAAACAAGTTATTAATATTATATATATATATATATATATTAAATATAGTTATGTGCTTAGCGGGCGGGTATGTATAAGAACCCTTACCTGCCCCGTGACCCGTGATGGTTACAAAATTTGTATTCATGCCCGCCCTAACAGTATAAAAGTTGTTCTCATATCCGTTATTAACGGGGCGGGACAGGGGATGGTGTATGAGTTCTCTCTACATAAACAGAATTCCTATCATGGAAAGAAATTATGTGCAAAATTTTGTGTGGTGCTCAATTATGGGATTGTTTCAGAGGAAAAACATGAAATTGTTAATTATATATTATGTTTGATGGACATACATATGTTGGGGAACCAGTGAAGAAGTAAATGAAATATGTTGGGGAACGAGTCGATATTTCATTTAAACGACAAAAAGGATGTCTTGCCTTTTCTTTTTTTAAGCAGAAATAAAAAGAAAATGCCTTTCACATTATTGACGGTGACTTAGGTAGTCCATAGTTGTTAAAGGCTCAAGGCGCACAAAAGCACAAATGCCTCCTGGAGCCTGAGGCGCAAGGCGAGGCGCGCGCCCGACTGAAGCGAGGCGCACGTTGAAAAAAAATAAAAATAAAACCCACCCAATAAATTCAACATTCAAAATTATAATTTTTCACACTAAAACATTATTTAAAAGGTGGATTGTGCATTTAAATTGAAGCAAATTGTAAAATTTGCCGTCAAGGTTTGACAGAATTATAATTTTTATATAGAAGATATATATATATATATATGGGTGTGTGTGTTTATTATATATATGCGTGTGTCAGCGTGTAGAAAAGACTAATTAAGGAAAACGTGCAACCTAATACAAGATTACAGAAATGCACAAACTCACTCAATGACTTTTTTTTATCAGTGTCAAACAATTAAAAAGAATAGACATTTCTGGACTATCACAATAAAACTGTTTGGATTAATTAATTACTGTAAAACAAAGAATATAAAAACAGAGACAAGCATAAAAACAGAAACAGATTGATCATCAAAGTTCAAACACATGCAAGGCACTATTCTAGACAAGCATAAAAATAAAAATAAAAAAAACAGAGGACCAGAATAAATAAATAAAAAATAAAAAAATAAAAGTAGAGCAGAGAGAGCTGAGAGAAGAAGAATAGAGAAAAATAAAATAAAAAAATAAGAAAACAAAAGAAGAGCCGAGAGAGGCGAGAGAAGAAGAAGAATAAAATTAAAAAATTAAAAAATAGAGATAAATAAATAAATAAATAAAAGAATAAAAGAAGAGCAAGAGCCGAGAGAGGCTGAGAGCCGAGAGAAGAAGAAGAACTGAAGAAAAGAAGAAGAAGAATAGAGAAAAAAAAAAAAAAAAAAAATCTGAGAGATCCGGGCCTCCGGCAGATCTGAGAAGAGAAGAAGCAAGAAGGAGAGAAGAAGAAGAGAGGGAAGGAGAACTTACCTGCAGACGCAGATCCGAGAGTCTCAGTCCAGGCTTCGCAGATCAGGCTCTTCACTCTTGTCTTGTACTTCTCCGTCTCTTCTTTCTTCGCTTTTTGGTTCTCTTTTCTTTTTCTTTTTTTTTTGTTTTGTAACTTGTAAGTCTTGTATAGGTTTTGTAATAAACAAATAAAAACTAAGAATAAACAAATAATAAACCATACACATCCAAAATAATAACAAAATAATTTAAAAAAAACTATTTTTCAAGCAGGCGCGCCTTTAGCGCGCCTGTAACCTTGCGCCTTTCTCTTAGAGGCGCTCGCCTACTACAACAGAGTCGCCTTAAGCCTTTCAAGGCGCCAGGGTGGCGCCTGGAGGCGCCTTGCGCCTCAGGCGCGCGCCTTCGGCGCCTTTAACAACTATGAGGTAGTCTGGACCAACCCTGACCATGGTGTGATGATTAATAAATGTTGAATGTTTCCAAACTCAATTCGTAGTTTAATTCGATATATTTTTAGTTGGAAGTGAACTTGCTACTGGATTACCAAGGAGCCAAAATTGTAAGCACTTTCACCCGTCTAAATGAGTTTTGTCAAAATTGTATTGAAAAACCAGAGTGGACTTGCACCACTGGAACTTATCCACTTGCACCAGTTGAACTTCCAGCGACCATATGCACCGATTGAATGATCCGTTTGCACCGGTTCAACTTATCAATAATCTAGATTCTTCAAAGATTTTGATTACGTATCAACTAGGAAAAAAGAAAAGAAAAAGAAAGATATAAAATGTTTGCCATCATTTCACTACACTTCTCAATTACCTAACTGATCATTATAATTGTTTTTTTCTCAATTCACTTTGATTTAGATCTGTTTTATGAACTGGGGGTGTGAAGCTTCAGCATCAACCCCTCAGAGTTAGTTCCTCATTCTCTGGAGTTTAACGTGCATCTGGTTGATGAAATTCCTTCCTAGAATGCACCAAGCATGAAACAACTAAGTACATACTATTAAGCACAGTTCTCCCTTATCTTCTTTGCTCTCTCTCTAAATAAATGCATTACAAAATGTGTATCTCTCAGTGTCATGTACAAATATGTTTTAATTTCTTTTCTTACTCATAAATAATATCAATTTTTCTTTTGTTATAGCCAGCTAGAGTGTCCCTGAGATCAGGATGTGAGGGAATAGCTGCTATTAACACAATCATGAGTGTCATGGGGATCAATCTCAAATCCTTACGTCCGGAGCCCTGTGTTGAAGGGTTAGTGTTTCTCATTTGGTAGTACATTTTTATTTATTATTATTATTTGGGTGATATATTAATCTTAGAAAAATTTATTTCCTAAAATTTAATATCAGATACTCAACTCCTGGGGGCTATTCATGCAAGGCAGTCCATCCTATTGCACTTGGTAAAGTGATGAGTATTGCGCAAATGATGAAGTCAGAATTTAATGATAAGGACTACTCTCTTTCTGGTATTGGAGGTGTTGAGACAGGAGGTGATGGTGCTGAATTTATCCTTCTCGGAGCAAATACAGTTCAGGTTGGTACAGTTTATGACTGTTCTATTACCATTAATTTATAAGATACCTTCTCGTCAGATTCATGTTTAACTTATGAATCTCAGCTTCATTTAGGACTTGCATTGTATATTTGCATGGTTTCGTTTTTTGTTTTTCCACAAATCTCAATCACTTATATACATGCTTTGGATTTCAGTAAACCAATTACCAAACATACAGTCATTTATTTGTTGCACTTGAATGTATAAAACATGACATGGATGAATGAAATAATTTCACTCTGTAAGCTTTTGTTAAAATATCTAATTCGTGTTCTTCAAAGTTTCATGGCTTTTCTCTATACAAAAATTACTCAGTTGCCACAATATATTTGTGGTTAGAAATTCAAATAGGCACCATAGAGTAACCATGCGATGAGCGAGATGGCAAAAGAGGGCAAAAAAAAAAAAAAAAAACCCTCAAACTTGACATCATGATGTGATGTTACACCCACATGTGATATCCTATAGACAAATATGCATTAGAATTTTTCTTTCTAAAATTTTTTAAATGAATTCTTTGGAATCTTAACAGATTTCTCTTCTATAGGGTAACTCTTTATGTTTCTGCTGCCTTGCCTTGTTTCTGCTATTAGTTAGTGTTAGCAAGGAGATGAATTAATGGTTTTGCTTCTTCATAGGCTTTCAAAAGGTTAAGACTGATGATGATGATGGATAAATAGAAATTGCGTGATTGGTTTTCAGTTATAGGTGTATAAAAAAGCTTTTTACTTTGATTATGTTTTGAGCTTATTCACTAGACCTGTTGTTTTTAATTTAACAAGTTCTATCGTGTACCTTGTGACATGGCAGAGAACTGTTTCTGCAAGTAATTTTTTCATTAAAATAATTAATAATTCATTAAATGAAATAATATGTTGTGCTAGAGACATGCTTGCCTTCTACGTATTTATAAGAACAGGAAATAATGCTATAAGAGAAGTATACAAATTGCTCGACCTTTACAGCCTAAGTAGCATACATACAAACTTGCAATTTAATGCATTTGATTACATCTACTCAACCTTTGGTGCTAAATATAGATGCCTCCCTCTCCTCCTCTTCCCCACCCCCCGCCCCCCCAACCCCCTCTCTATTTCCTTTTTCCATGTAGCATGGCGTGGTATCTTACATGGAATTATAAAAAAATCAGGCTCCAGTTGTTTTCACATTTTCTGGATCCATTTCCAAATAATGACTTGTAACATGGGCCGAGTGTTGAATAATCATATCTTGGCGACACATCAGTATTTATATATGAAAGTAACTTTTGGTAGGGCAACTAGGTTTGACCAAAAAAGGAAAAGGTTTGGACAGACTATTCATGTTAAAGATTTGGCCTTTAAGTTAGTCCGACTTAAAAAGACAAGGATTGGATGGTACGTCTCTATCTTCTTTTTTTCCCCTTTCTCACCTGAGCTTGGTCACAGTTCAGAGTCTTAAGACCTAGCTGACTGTTTAATGCTAGCATCTTAAGTGACCCTGACTATAATTATTCTTTTTCCATTTTTCATTGCTCTTCAATTTCTTTGCCGTGCAGCTGTTCCCCACAGTCTAAGCCTGTAAACTGACCTTAGGTTTGATCAGTACCTAGGTTCTGGACAGGTCTGAAGTTCTGAACAAGGCAAAATAATAGTAAAGGTTGGACATGATAATTTGTTATTTCTGTGTAAGATCCCGTTATGTTTGTACTGCCATTTTATAGTTTGGAACATGTCAAAGGATTTTTGAGTGGCATAATTACTGCCAGACAAAATATGTGTAACACAAAGTTAAAATTTCTTCTCTCCGACTATTTTTTATATAATGGCGAAGATGATGAGCCTATGGTTGTGGATGAGGATTTTGTAGGCATTTGACACACTGTATATAGCTGGGGTGGTGGACTAGGCAATTACCTTACTTTCTTTGGGTAGGAAACTCTGTTGTTACCTTTGGCAAGGAGATAATTTCTTATAAAGTGCTAGCTGAAGAAATTGTCACAAGGGAGAAGCCAAAGCCATGACCGTGACAACAAAATTTAATGAATTTACCAGATAAAATTTCCACAGGAGTGTACCTAATAGTATAATCTCGGAAGCACAATGTAATGATAAAGTTTTCATGCACGTCCAAAATCACTATTTATTTTTAATGATATTTAAATTTGTTATGATCTCTTTTTGATTATCATAATAGAAAAGATGGTATCTTAACTTAAAATTTCTTTGTTCTCTTCCAAGTATATAATGTCATCGATTTTTCTTGCAGGTCTGCACAGGTGTTATGATGCATGGTTATGGTCTCGTGAAGAAACTATGCTCTGAGCTGAAGGATTTCATGAAAATGCACAATTTTTCATCAATAGAAGATTTCAGAGGGTATTTTACACTTTATTTTAGTAGTAGCTTCTTACCATGGAAATTATAAACCAATTGAGGATTGCTGGATCGAAGTATTTGATTTTATTCTATTTTGATCCCCAGGATTTCTCTTCCGTACTTCACAACTCACACAGATTTGGTACAAAGGCAGCAAGAAGCGATCTGGCAGAGGAAAGCTGCCAGGAAAGGATTGCAGTCTGACAAAGACTGGACAGGAGATGGCTTTGTGAAAGAAACTGAAAGCATGGTTTCTAACTGACGTTGTATTGCAATAAGCATTTTTCCTTTTATTATTGAAAATAAATTTGGCTTTCGAACTCTGTATTCGGGTCTAGGATAGAGTCTTCTTTCCTTCAAATTTGGGTGCAGGGTTGAAGTCCTTGTAGATTGAATTGTTGGATGGACTCACTTTTGTGAGGCTTGTTCTGGTAATAATGAATGAAGAACAGTTTAGGATTTCATGGCGTAATGAGGCTTTATACCAGATCAGGGATGAACTGTTTTTTTTATGGTGAATTTGATTTCGTTGTGGTGGTAATGGTTTGAACCATTCATTGCTGCTTCAAGTAACAATTAATTTCCTGCGAAAGCTTTATAACAATTTCATTATCTATATGAGCTTGTTAAAAAAATCAGTTTCGGAAAGAAAGAAATTAATTTTAAAACGGGGGTTTAATTTTTACATTTAAGAAATCCAATAACCCTCTCTCTCTTCTTTGGCGTAATTCCTACATCTTGTTTCAAAATAGTTACAAGACTGGGGAAAAAGAAAATCGAAAAAAAAAAAAAAAAATCAGTGAAAAATCATCATAAAAAACTGTTGCAATCAAATATTAAAACTGAAAAAAGTGTAACTTCGTGTTAAGTTGGTTTTGGAATTTGAAATATGTGGTTCTATCTTAATGTTCCAAAGTTCCAAACCATATTAGTATGTGAAATTCAAACATTAAATTTGGAATTGGAGCATCCAACTTCAATTTCAAAGTTACTTGAATCTATTTCAATACAAATGAAAAAACTGAAGAAAAAAAATTGTTACCAATCATTTTTAATATTTTAATAAGTCAGAAAACCCCTCCAATCACTTTCAATCTGGTGCTCCTGTTTGTTTGAGCTTAAAATATTTTTAATTTTTGATTGTCATAAAATATTTACCAAAAAAAATATTAAAATCTAATAAAAATAACTGATTCAATCAATTTTTCATATGTTATTTTACATAAGCTCCACCTAAACCTTGAAAATAATAATAATAATAATAATAATAACCTAATTTTTTTTTATATTTTTGGAGGAAAATATTTACATTGAAGGAACCATAAACGTAAGATTTTGTTGTTATTATTGGTCCTTGTGACCGAAGAAGCGAAATTGTTCCCAATATTTAACAGTATCCAAGCAACAACCTTAACTGACCATGATATGGTAGTGTGAGTGTGTGTCAGTACTATGCTCTTCTCCTCTCTGCCTTGTTCAAAACCAACCCAATCACCACCTGTACTCAACCTCTTTTTCTCTACAGCAGCAACAGTATTGAAACAATGCAAGTCCCTCGCCGACGCCAAGCGAATCCACCACCATATTCTAGTACGAGGCCTCGCCGGAGACCTCGCGATGGCTATCGATGTCGTGTCCATGTACATTGCCTGCGACGCGCCGTCGCACGCTCTCACCGTTCTCGAACGCATTCCTCCTTGTTCCTACACCGTGTTCTGGTGGAACACCCTCATACGCCGCAGTGTGCGTCTTGGGTTTCTCAATGACGTGCTCCATCTTTATCGTCGGATGCAGAGACTCGGTTGGAGGCCCGATGGCTACACTTTCCCCTTCGTTCTCAAAGCTTGTGGTGAGCTTCCTTCGTTCCGGAGAGGGTCTTCCGTTCACGCCGCAGTTTGCGTTGATGGGTTTGAGTCCAATGCCTTTGTTTGCAATGCTGTTATTGCCATGTATGGTCGGTGTGGTAGTTTGGATGATGCGCGCCAGATGTTTGATGAATTGCTTCAACGAGGGATTGATGACGTGGTTTCGTGGAACTCAATTGTGGCTGCTTACGTGCAGAGTTGTGACCGGAGAATGGCGCTGAAGATGTTTAATGGGATGACGGCCAAGGGTGATAATGAGCTACGTCCGGATGCTGTTAGCCTTGTTAATATCCTTCCGGCTTGTGCTTCAGTTGGGACGTGGTTGCAAGGCAAGCAGGTTCATGGTTATGCAATTCGGCGTGGCCTAGTCGAGAACTTGTTCGTGGATAATGCTATAGTGGACATGTATGCAAAGTGTGGATTGATGGATGTAGCGAGCAAGGTTTTTGAACGTATGGAAAACAAGGATGTGGTTTCTTGGAACGCTATGGTTACTGGGTATTCTCAAATTGGTAGATGCGATGATGCGCTCAGCTTGTTTCAGAAAATGCGGGAGGAGAACGTTGAGTTGAATGTAGTGACGTGGAGTGCTGTGATTGCAGGGTATGCTCAGAGGGGCAATGGCTATGAAGCACTCAATGTGTTTCGGGATATGCAGCTTTGTGGGTCAGAGCCAAATGTTGTTACGCTCGTGTCCCTTCTCTCAGGTTGTGCTTCTGTGGGAGCACTCCTTCAGGGTAAGGAGATTCATTCTTACGCTATCAAATGGATACTGAATTTAGCGGAGCGCAATCCTGGGGATGATCTTATGGTGATCAATGGTCTGATTGACATGTATTCTAAGTGTAAAAGTTCCAAATCAGCTCGCACTATGTTTAATTCAATAGCGAAAAAAGATAGGAATGTGGTGACTTGGACTGCCATGATAGGTGGGTATGCTCAGCATGGGGAAGCAAATGATGCATTAGAGCTTTTCTCTCAGATGCTAAAACCATGTAACAATGTAATGCCAAATGCGTTTACCATATCTTGTGTTCTGATGGCTTGTGCTCGTCTGGGTGCACTAAGGCTCGGCAGACAAATTCATGCTTATATATTACGCAATCGCCATGAGTCTCCGATGCTGTTCCAGTCCAACTGCCTCATAGACATGTATGCCAAATCTGGAGATATTGATGCAGCTCGAATTGTGTTTGATAACATGTATCGTAGGAATGAAGTCTCTTGGACATCCCTATTGACAGGATACGGCATGCACGGTCGTGGTGAAGAAGCTCTCCAGCTTTTTAATGAGATGAGGATGGTAGGTCTGGTGCCCGACAGTGTAACCTTTGTTGTCGTGCTCTATGCTTGTAGTCACTCAGGACTGGTTGATCAGGGAATTGATTACTTTAACAGCATGACAAGGGAGTTTGGGGTTGTTCCAGAGGTGGAACATTATGCTTGCATGGTGGATCTCTTGGGCCGTGCTGGTCGCTTGAATGAAGCCATGGAACTCATTGAAAGCATGCCCATGGAACCAAGCCCAGTAGCTTGGGTGGCATTGCTAAGTGCTTGCAGGACCCATACAAATGTGGAACTCGGGGAATATGCTTCGAAACGATTGTCAGAGCTGGAGTCAGATAATGATGGGTCATATACACTACTTTCAAACATATATGCCAATTCCAGGCGTTGGAAGGATGTGGCCAGGATCAGATCCTTGATGAAACATTCGGGGATCAAGAAGAGACCTGGCTGCAGTTGGGTCCAAGTAAAGAAGGAAACGGCAACTTTTTTAGTGGGCGACAGATCTCATCCTTTGTCTCAAGAAATTTATGATTTCCTTGCAGACCTGATTCATCGCATCAAAGCTATTGGCTATGTTCCTGAGACAAGCTTTGCTCTCCATGATGTAGATGATGAGGAGAAAGGCGATCTTCTATTTGAACATAGTGAGAAGTTGGCTCTTGCCTATGGCATCCTCATGTCATCTCCAGGGGTGCCCATTAGGATCACTAAAAATTTGCGCGTCTGTGGTGATTGCCACAGTGCTATGATCTATATTTCCAAGATAATCGAACATGAAATTATACTGAGAGACTCAAGTCGCTTCCATCATTTCAAGAATGGATCTTGCTCCTGCGGAGGGTATTGGTGAAGATGGAATTATGCAAGTCTGCCTAAGTAATCGGCCTATCTGCAAGAAACACACCGAGATCACCATGCAGTAGTAAACTGAACAATTAGAGTTCCAGTTTCAATTATACAAGAGTGGAGGCTCATAGTAGTCAAAAAATTAAAGAGAAAGTTCTGCTGAAGACTTTTTACTGGTCACAATAGGTAAGGTTTATGACAGATGGAATTAGACCTTTTATTGGTTATTCCTAAGAGTAAATTCATGGTATGTGGTTTACTGTTACTTCTGACAAAGGTTTTGCAAATAGGTCAATCATAGTGTTGTGCCTCACTATTATTTCCTCGTGGTATATAGAGATCACCATTCATGAATGCCATAAAGAGTATTTTGAATTATTTTTTACGAATGGTTCTTGTACATCATTTGGATCATGTTGGATTATTAAAGGATTTTTCTTTGAAGTGTGTTATATTTTATGCAGTATACTATTTGAAAGAGTGGTGTTGCTGCAGCACAAATGGATGATGCAATGGGTGTGTGACAAAATTATCTCCTTTGATAAAGGGAAGGGATCAAGGAGGAAATTATATCTCCTAATATGAGGCAGGGTCAGGGATTGAACAACCGATTGCGTTGTGGGGAAAAGATTGTATTCATATCCACTTCAGTGTATTCCTAAGAGGTCATGATTCATGACATACGCCTTAAACATGGTTGAGAGTGCTCTTGGTAGCGTGGCCTCCGGTTTAATTCTCAAAGTGGGTCAGTGCTGCCCTGGGGGCTCCAATCCGTATCAGCATGTTGTGACATGGTCCTATGCAGGAGTTTGGGTTTGTCAAGGCATGGAGGCTTGGGGTAAGGCCAGTTAAGGCACACAAGTAAGCGAGTAAATGTTGCGACTCTGATGCTCGCCATGCAGAATGCAGCAGCAATGCCAGCAAATGTAGTGCATTATATGAAGCTACTGATGCTAATGCACTGCAAAAGATACAAACCAGAATGGATGGTGCAAGAAAGAATTCCATGTAATAGAATATGATGGGAGCGTGAAGTAGGGGTTTCGGATGGTATGGCAGGATAATTCACTGTAAATAGAATGTGCTGGCCAGGGAGCGTCCAATAGGCGTATAAAATGGGTTCGGATGGAGTGGCAGGAAGTCTGAAATGGGAAGTGTAGTAACAGTTGTGATAAGGATCCATCACAAACAAGATGAAGTTAACAAGTTCATATGCTATGTCAGCTACTTGGAGACCCCATAAATTGAGGAATGGTGGATGTCGAAGTATTTGATTTTTATTTTATATTATTCCCTAGTTTTTCTCTTCAGTATTTCACAACTTATACAGATTTGGTATGCGGCAAGGAGCAATTAGGCAGAGGAAAGCTGCCCAGGAAGATTTTGTAGTCTGACAAAAACTGGACAGGAGATGGTTTTGTGAAAGAAACTGAAATAAATAGACTTTTGAACCCTGTAATCAGGTCTGGGGGGTACAATGCTAAGGTCTTTGTAGATTGAATTCTTGATGGACTCAGCTTTGTTAGATTGTGTAATTCTTTAAAAAGCAGCTAATAGTAAACAACCAACGTTACGATTTTCTATAGCACCATTAGGGTTTAAGGCATATCAAGGTACGTAAAATGAGAGAGAAATCCCATCACAAAAATTTACATAAAAAATTTGATTATACATTGTTTGTCTATTTTACAGAAGATAAGGGGTGACACGGATACAAGAAAGAAGACATGCTATAGATATCTTTTATTGTCATCCTTGACCTCATAACTTGAGTACACTACAATTAACAAACCTCTAATATATTATACTCCTTGCTTTCCAGTTTCCACCAAAAATAACTGACTCAGGCCACACTGATTTTTCTTGATCTCTGTTGTCCCACGAAAATGGTTCTGAAACTCGTGAATCAAACGAAATATTGGATATAGTCAAGCCATTTTACTTTGAATCTGCCGATGGATGTGTACTAGGAACTCCACATAGGAGGCACCATTCTGAGTCTTGTCTTCTACCATATATGAGAAGAATGCCATTCCTGGAAAATGGAAACAAAAAAAAAAAAAAAAAAAAAAAAAAAGAAAAAAAACAGAAGCAAAATTATTCAAAATTATGCAATGCAGATTTTCTAACAGACACTTGAGGTTGATGCTTGAAGCATATAAAAATTTGTACAGAAGATTGAATGAGAAAAATCAATTTATCACTCAAAATTTGTCCATGATATGAAGCAAAATTATTCAAAAATATGCAATGCAGATTTTCTGACAGACTTTCTTCCTTGGGAACAATTGTTTAAGGGTTGATGCTTGAACTATACAAACAATTGTACCGAGAAAAATCTATTTACCACTCAAATTTGTCCAGGATATGATTAGGTTGTATGAAAAGGAGATGCATTTAATCTCAAGAATATCATGCTGTAGCAGTTTCAATTCTCATATTACCATCAAATGAAATTCCAAACACTAGACTGGGGGATAAACAATGCAATACTACTCCCACCACCTTAGTGGCACAGACACAACAGAAGCCATAACATGTCCAACACATCCAGACTAACATGCCTAGACAGGCTTTGTACAAATCCCAAACATGTCCAAAAGTATCACAAAGTAGGCCTTCTTGAAATTAAGCTTTTGTTAGCTAGAACTTGTAAACTTGATAACTTCTCGAAGAACCACATTTACCCCTGGAAATTATAGAAAATAATCTCTAATTTTAAATAACTAATGAAGATAAAGATAGTTTACAGTTTGATGACTCCAAAGAAACCAAAGAATTAATTGTAAAATGAAAAAAGAAAAAAGAAAATGTTAGTAATTATACAGATAATGGTCTAGTAATTAGTAGGGTTCTTGCAGTATAGATAACTGACAAAAAACATTACAAGACGCTAGCATTCAGTTTTCATTTAAGTGTGCTTTGACACAAACTTTAGTAAATAAGCAAATACTCCACTGAAACACCCTTCCATATTATAGCATTAAAAATAAACAATGAAAATAAGAAGTTTGGGATAATTTGCTTCCTTTATGGGCACCCTGAAGTGGTCAAGAATCAGATGTTACTGAAACACCCTTCCATATTATAGCATTAAAAATAACCGATGAAAATAAGAAGTTTGGGATAATTTGCTTCCTTTATGGGCACCCTGAAGTGGTCTAGAATCAGATGTGTGGAAGATGTAAGATCATGGTCTGTCGATTTGACAAGCCATGGCTGCTGATGGGTCACTTCAATCAAATCACTCACACAGAAGAAAATACTAGCAAAAGTAAAATAATTATTCGCAGGATGTACTTGAATACCGAAGACTAAGGAAATATCTGGACAATCCACTGCATAAGGAAGGACTTTATTGGGCGTAATGGGCCAAAACAGGATAACATGACATGGACAACACAGAAACAGTATATTTGTGACGTGGTGGCATCAACAAAAGAAATTGCATAACACGATCTAGACCAACAGAAAGGCTATCGGAATATAGTTATAAGAAGAATTGAAGTTCTAAGTCATTTAGACAGTAATTTGTTGATCCTCCTACTGACAAGCCTCTTCCTATTGCTCAGAGCACACTGCAGGAATGCAATCTCAAACAAAAATTCTAAATTGCCTTTTGATGAATATATTAGATGGCTTAACAAGCCTTTTTTGTAAGAGGAGATCAAGAAAACGGTCTTTCATATTATAGACTTGAAGGCTCCTAGCACCGTTTGGTATCTCAGCAATTTTTTACAGCAGAATTGGTACTTTACTGGAACTTCAATTATAGTTTCATTTCTGAACTGTGACTTTGTGCTCAGAGAAATCAATAACATCGACTTTGTCTTAATCCAAAAAAAGGAAAAGAAACAGGTTGAGAATTCTGTAACTGTTACAGAAAATCATCACAATGGTCTTGGTTAATAGAATTAGACAGCTCACTGACAGTTTCATCCGTGCATAGCGAAAAGGTTTTGTCCAGGGCCACCGTAAATTAGATAATACATCTTCATGCACTGAATTAGTATAATAGACTGGGAATATCAAGCTATTTTATGATTAAACAGATTGGGGCTTCCTGTACTGATAAAGTCAATTTTTCAGACAAATGGCTCCATTTTGTTTCTATTCGCATCCATATTCTATTATTTAGTGTTGGTTAACGGCTGTCGTACTACCCCGTTCATCCTAACATGGGGTCTTCAACAAGACCCAATTTCCTCTGTTAGCCACCATCTATTCTAAAAGCTCAATTTGTTAGAGAGAACATAACTTAATTGTTTATATCCTCTATCACGTCCCCTCACGTGTGTCCCTTATACTATGTGATGGTGAGGTTTGAACTATAGAACTTGCCTGCTCTGATACCATGGGTCTATGTTAACTACCATCCATTCCAAATGCATAAGTTGTTAGAGAGAGTGTAACTTAATAATTACTTATATCCTTTAATGCACTCCACTTATTTCTCCTCTATGCAATGTTTTATCGAACTTAGTAAGAAACAAATAACAATGAACCAAGGGCTGTAGTCTAGTGGTACTTCCTCACCTTCTAAAGTAGAAGATCGAGAGTTCAAGTCTAAATAGGGTAACTTGGTTGTGCGAATCCCAACTAGGAATTAACAATGAAATGAAGAAGGGCATTCATCGCTATGAATGGGACCCATATTTCTCACATATTGCTTACCAATAATAGCTTCACTGGGTTCACATCTCAGGGATGTCTTGTGCTCCATGCTCTTGGAAAAAAAATGTACAATCTCAGATCAAAAGATCAGCACAACAAAATAAGAGTTATTCCTCACCCCAAACCCCAACCCAACACCACACCCCGCACCCCCCCCCCCCCCCCCCCCTCAAGCCATCTTAATGTCAAGCACTGTGTGAAGAAGACTTTGAAAATGAACTGGCTCCAGTAGTGGGAAGTATCTAGGAATCCCCTCCATCTTTTTAAAGCAGAAGGGTGAACTTTTCAAAGTAGGGAAACGTGACAAATTTGAAGATATTTTTAGAAGTTCAAGTTCTTCCATTGTGTGATCTATTGCATTTGGGAAGTTATCACCAATAACATTGTAGTATGGCAGTGGTGTTCAACTGTTCTCAAAATCCTAAAATCTCTTTGTTTATTTTTTTTTTTTTGGGGGGGGGGGGGGGGGGAGAACAGATCAACAAGGCTTCTTAAGCCATGAGCATAGATAATTTGGTGTTTCAGTTCAGCTGATATAAGTGGTTGTCAGTTGCCTTGCATCAATATCACAAAGCAATGTCTGCTTGAAATGTTTTTAACTACACTGACCTGATGAAGCTCCTCTCCAACAACAATACTCTTACTACATTACTAAGAAAAGAAAAGGTACTGGTTAAAGTGGTAGAGGAAACACAATGTTTCATATAGAAAACAACTGAGGTTCAATCTCACCTGGACATCCAAACACCCTTTAGTTTTTGTCACAAATAGTGGTTCTAAAGACGATGAACAAGATTGGTGGATAAAGTAAGTTAACTGATATCATCATATTATGGTTCATTTATCATATAGATTCGCTGTCCAGGATTTTCTTTGTTTGAGCTGCTTAAGTTGTTTTAAAACGGTTGTTCTGAGGCACTAACCTGATGGATCTCCTTTCTTGCACAACTTTAAGCTGCAAGAAAAAAGAAAAAGAAAAAGAAATTAATTTTTTAAAAAATAGAACAATATCAAAACTGAATAAGAAAATATCTTATCAAAAGAAGCAGTAGCTTTTCTTGAAAGCAAGAGGAGAAGAAAAACTCCCGAAAATGTCAGTCATACCGCAGATAGGAACATCTTTGGCGCCTTATTTCATTTACAACATCATTTAGCTTCTTCGATAAAGGATTGTCATATTGCTGCAATACAAACTGAGGGGAAAAAGGTTAATTGTAGATTAAAAAATTACACCATAGTAAACGTATCCAAGCAAACGAACTATGTTGACAACTAAATCAGTTAAAAGCCATCTTTTGTACAAAACAAAAGATTTCACAAACATACTATGATCAAACTGAAAAGAGGGGGACAGGAACCCAAGTCTCACACTTTCGGTCATTATAATTAAGAAAGTGTTCAAGACTTTTGCGTTTGAAGACCAATGCTCCAGATAAGTTTTGGAAAGCAAGCGGTATTATGGGTAGGATAAAAGTGATCTTCACTTGTTTTGAATGTACGATTACGGGCTAAGTGGCTAACACAATGCACGAGGCTCCCGCCATTGTGGAGCCCGGGAAGGGTCGGATGTAAGCAGCCTTAACTCTGCATATGTAGAGGCTGTTTTGAATGCAAGATTCGATGTTGAAATGGGGAAAAGATCACAATATTTTTTAAAGCGCTTCTGCACTTCACACTTTTCCTTCATTAGGTTTGGATGTTCAATAATATGCATTATGTACTTGCAATAATAAAAAGATGAATATAAAACTACCTGAGTAGGAATGTCATGAACTGAAGAAATGCCAAACAATTGTCGCATGGTATCAGGATCTGCTGAGTTCCCAATATAAATTAAACAATCCTCACCATTCTCAAGAAGATATATTCCATTATCAGTCACGTGTTCACAGGAAAGTGGAATTGTAAGAGGTATAATAGATTCGTCCATCTCCTGTCAACGTGGCATTATTACCAACAGTGTAAGAGGTGACAGAAAACGACACTAAATATATCATTGCAACAATATCCAAACCTTCGAGTTAAGGTTATGAATAGCCATCATCCTGGGGTAGACCAACGGAACTGCTAGAGTAGTAGAAAGTGAGGAAACATAATGGATCCAAAAGGACCTGTCATCTATTCGCCCATCAGTTCGCAATCCAATGCTCTTAACCATTGCTGAAAGGAAACAAAAATAAATAAATAAACGTATAAACACAAACGAATTATCATGTGCAAAATCATTCCTGAGGGCACAAATATATAATTCCTTAGAGGTAACTTAGATTTCGCCTTAAGAAAGCATGGATTTATAAGCAACAAGAAACATACCAAGGGTGTATAAAGGCAAAAGTTTAAGTGCCTCAGGAAGAATAAGTTGTCCGGATGATGATACTGTAGCACAGTATTTGCGATATGAATGCAGAATGTTGATGCAAAGGTTTGTCGCTTGTTCCCTGACTTGAAAGAGGGGACTGGAAGGAATTTCACTTGCCACTACAGGTAAGGTAAAATTAAGTAGTATCATTAGCATTATACCCTGAGAGATAATGGCAGATGCAGTTAAACTGCTATAAGATACATCATCATTGATTGAGAAGAGACAGTAAACAACTCGGGAGAGGGGGGACAAAAAGAATCAAAAGATTTCAGCAGAAAGTATGTCATAGGGGAACAACATTAACAATTTTATGCTGTCTGATGAGACAGAGATTGTCAGACACCAGGTGGATGCACAAAATATGAAGCAAAATTAGAGAAGAAAGAGAAACAAATAAGTAAAAAATAAATAAAAATCTGACAACCTTGCTTCAAAGAACAAGTGAATTGGGTGTCTAAATCAGCCAAGCGGAACAGACTATTTAGCATACTAGTGCATGGCAATGATAAGGTAGAAACTCGAATTCTTCTTTGGCCATACACAGTGGTGTAAAGAAGAGCACACTGCACAGCAAAATGAAAATAAGTAACAACGATAATAATTAAATGGTCAAGAGCAGTGGTTTCTGACAAGTTCACAACAAATAATGAATTAAGAAGCTCAAAATAAATAAATAAATAAGAAGGAAATATGAGAAATTGCAAACTAAATCTAGATCGCCAAAAGATGTAGTCATACCTGGAAGGCACATTCTGAGCCATCTTGCAGTTTATCATCGTGTTTTAAAGTTACCATTATAGTTTTGTCACTGTCGATCTGTACAATGGCGAGGCTTTATTAGGAAGAAATCACGTTCATACTATTAAATGAACCAAAATCAACTAAATAAAAGTGGAGTAGCAAAAAAAGAGAAAACAGAGGTGAAGAAGATAGCTAGGTTGAAACAGCAATAATAAAGTCAAATTAACTTTGGGCGAGATCTGGTTGACACCAAATACTGGAATGACACTTTCTCACACAACATCTTTTCAATATACAACACAACAATAAAAAGTGTGCATTACACCAAAACATATTGAATCTGATCTGCTCATTATTGTTCATTGAATTTCTTCTTTTAGTTACTGAATTTTCTGCCTAAACCATAACCCTCTTTAAAGCATGGTATTGAAAGCACTTAAAATGCCATTAGATGGGATGAATTAACCAGAATGGAAAATCAACTCAATTAAATGACATAAAAACAAAGGATTCACACTTCAGATGTATCATAAAACATCGAAATAAATCTAATCCTTGCAAAATATCATTAAAAAAGACCAACCACATACTACCATCCTATTATGATACACTTAGTGGATTACCTATATAATGTGAAAAAATGTAAATACAAAAAAAGAAGAAATAGTAGACCACTATCCTAATACATTTTCTTAAGCAGTACGATAACAGAAAAACTAGAAAATGATTAAATAAATAGAGAATAAGACTTTTGCCCAACCACTAGTATTTTGCAGTGCAATTCTTTCATATATATAAACACATTTGCAATCCTATTGATCTAAAATAAAAAATCAACCATGGCACAAGGAGGAGTTAACAGCAATCCAATATTGCTGAAGTTTAACCAAGTGCCTCTTCTAAGTCGAACACAAAAGTGTGAACATAGGATAAAATGAGGATATGTTTAAGAAAACATAGAACTTTTTATATCATACAGTGCCAGCATCACATAGAAAACCTCTAGAATATGATTTACTTCAACAAAAATTTCAGAACTCAGCTCATGTCATTTTTCTCATGGTTTAACAATTTTCATTATTAAAGGGCGAGAATGTTGAAAAACATCAATTAGCAACACATGAATAATCAATTATCTCGGAAAAGTTATACTAACCGCAGGTAGGTCAACATCTGTCGGAATGCGTTTACAAAAGTTTCCAGAATATTCTTGAATTTGAAGACCCTACGAAGCCGGAAAAGTTAATTAAATTTGAATGTAGTTCTTTTATCAATTATTAGGCAATTTTATAAGAATTTAGAAGAACGATACTTTATCTTTTTAATGGACCAAAGGCAAGAAAAAATCAGTATTATGAGAAACTAACCTGGCTACATCTTACACGCATCACTGCCTCAAAACCTTGAGGCCTAGTAATGTTCCAACGTAGATCATTATAAAGCTTGGCAGGATCAGAAAGAGCAGAGAAAGGGTAATAATAATACACCTGCAAGGGAGGGTGAGATATTTAAGATCCATACTTTAATATATCTATATAAAAGGGGCTAGCCCAGTGCATGAGGCTCCCACCAATGTGGGGTCTATATGAAGAGGGGAAATAAAAATTAGTTTGGGTAAACATCCATCTCAAAAGCACCAAATAGGAGGAAAAAGTACCAGGGAGCAACAATTAGTCAACCATGGATAGATATAAGTTAATTTTTGTGTGATGATTTAATGTATCCTCGTGTATAGTGGAGATGTCTGAAAAACTAAATGAACAAATAAGACACTAGAAGTCATGAATCAAATTAAGTCAAGTTGCAGGTAGTTTACCAGTGGACCATTAGTGGGCATTAGTGGGTGGGTGTGAGTATTTACCTGACCCCAAACTAAAAAATAATAACAAATAAATAAACAAAAATGGTAGTTCACCAGAGCCTAGAGAAACTTTAATACTTGACCTTTTTTTCCCCAAAAAAACATTTCACAAAAAATGGCCGTAACATTCTTAAATAATATCAGAATAGGGAAATCCTAATAGACAAATGAGAATATACACACAAAGTAGAGCATTCGCTCTTCAACAAATTGATAATTTACAGCATTAATTCAACATGCAAAAAAACTACAAATATGCATTTAAATTCTGCAGTTCCACTTCCGGCTGGCTGGTTCTCTTGAAGTAAGGATGGCATAAACATGAAACAAACTTAAAGCAACAAATTTTGTCATTGTAGATAGTCTCGCCAAGGATCATGCAAAAGGAACAAAAGATGCAAAAGTTAATGCGTTTCAACAACAGTTGTTAGGACAAAGTGTGTGGACAAACAATTTACAACAGATGTGACAACCAAAGCAAGAGCAATATACATATTAGTCAAGAGTACCTGGCCTCCAGTAGTCCTTGGGATGACAGAGAGAGAAGCAATGTCTACATAAGTTTGGGTAGTAATAAATACATCAACACAGACCTGAAATTTCCACCGCAGATCTGAACAATCAATCACGGGTAGAACTGAGCCCCATATGGATTCAGAAAAAAGCAAAATAGTCAAACTTCACCTGGTATTCAGCAAGTTCAACAGCCATTGTTGTTAAAGTTTTGTCTTCAGGTTGGAGTAATTTATGGATCTCCTGAAATTCAATAGTAAACAAGCACTTTACTACAAAACCAAAGTACCAGTCTTGTGTTAAACTATAGTAAAATATTACACTTCACCATAAAAGATATAGAAGTGCTTATGGACCAAAAAAAAAAAAAAAAAAGGAAGAAGAAGATATACCAAAATAATGAAGAAGAAACTCTAAATACTAATGGAAAAGGTAGACTAGTTCAAAGAAGAGAACAAGAGAGAAAAGAAAGCCGGGCAAACAATTGTAAATACCAATAATACTAGCCTACCTTTATCCTAGTGGCGTTGGGTCTTAACTTCCGAGCCCTAGGTCAAGGTTTCAATACTAGTAGAGAGATAAGAAAGAAAGAAGAAATACCAATAATTTTTATTGACAAGTAGTGGATACCTACAATTTAAGATCTTAATGTAAGAGTAAGTCATCAATTTATTGGCTATTCAAAAATTTTAAAATGAAATATCCCTTTATTTGTTCTTCAGAATAATGCATATCCAACAGAAATTATGAGGATGATGTCCTTAAAAGCTTAAACTGGTAATCAAACTGACAGGAAACTAGAAACCCCATAAAATGAGGTCAATTGCTAAAGCTGCAAATTACAGAAGAAGATACGTAAAGCAGAACATAGTCATGAAGGCAAAATACATGAAATTCAGAAATAGTTGCTGAATCTGGAACAGAAGCAAACATCCAAGATAGGCAGCAGGAGTCTCAACTTATCCATTTGGAAGCATCAAGAATTCACACTAGATCTGGTTAGACATCCTCATGCTCCCAAACTAGACCTTTTCCACTTTTTGGAGGTGTAAAGCACAAAAGGTTCTATTGTTTGTATGTAATGAAATAAGACAGGTGTAGCTTAGAGGACTTCAAAAATAGGAACAATCTAATGAAAAGGTCTACCACCTTTACTTTGGAACAGTGAGAAAACATCACCTGTCATTATCTAATTAACCAATTATCACAAGTTGGTAAACAAAGACAAATGTAAGCAACTCCAAAGAAACCAAAGAATGAATATTTATGAATATGTATACCTTTTCCCCAGCAGAGATATTTGTTCTTCCTTCAGCCTCTCTAGCAGAAAGGGCTCCAATGCCAACTGATGGCAAAACTGTAAACAACATGGTACAATAGTCAGAATACTCGGATCCATTAACTCTGTCAGTCCATATTCCAATAGGTTGAAAATAATCTAAAAGATCCCATTAAATAAAATAACCTAGTAGCTCATATAATTGCTTTACATGCAACGTGAATGGTATGAGGAGAAGTCAAGGAAATTGCCAATGCAAGGTATAAAGGAGAGAAATTAAGTTGTCAGCTCCCAGATCACTATCTCATCAACCTAGTTTGATCGTCGTTCCATAACAGGCCACATTATGTTCTAGTGCTAATGCTCAGATTGGCTCCCCCCCAAAATAAATAATAGATAAATGACGTACGGACACAACCTCTATAACCTTGTACATCCTACAAATGGCTACATTACGCTGAGGTACATATGATGAATGTTAATGATGCCACTCTTTACCTTCAATTTAACTTAATAGCATCATAATACATAATTCCTCCTACCCTTTTTCCCCATCTTTCCTTCTAGCCATGTCCTAAAATAGTTGTCCACTTAAAAAATACAATATATGAAGAATTTTTTTTTTTTTGATAAGTAAAATTTATAAAAACAGCTCCAAAGGGGAGTGGATCCCAAACATACAAAAAAGCCAAAAAAACAACTCAAGCCTTCAAAGAGGCTAAAAAGAGAACAATCTCCTCAATAGATCTATAATCTCTCCCCGAAACCCAACAAAAAAGAGTGGAAATAATGGAGAACTTAAGCATAGAACAATATATGAAGAATTTCAATTCTCAGAAACTGATTAAGTAGTTTTCATAACTTACCTGACAAGTTATCAATGTGAATCTTTATGGAGGATTAGTGTTGAAAATGCATTAAATGCATGTCCTACTAAAATTTAGAATTTTGTAAGATGGACAAACAGTTCGGATTATGGTGTCATGATTTGGATTCTCAAGTTTCAACAAAACCTAAATGATTATACTAGTGGAGCTTTATAAATGCTACAACGACGCTTCGACCCTAGGCGTGACAATAACACAAAATATGACTCAGATGCATCTGTTCTTAGTCATTTACAGCTATTTGTAAAGATGGCAAAAATGAAAAGAAAATTTTTGTCATGTTCAGTTGTTCTTTATTCAAGTAATTGAAAAGTGACTGAATGGAGGGGAAATTAATGATATATTTTGCATGGTGAACAAGTTGCAAGCTAGATACCGTTGGGCAGATATTTGCAGCCCTGCAACCATGTGCATAAAGTTTTTTTGTTTTTTCAGGATTCTTTGAAAGCATGTTGGATGACCAGCAAAATTTGGTGGACTTTTCAAACCAAAAGGTAATTTTATTTTTTAAGTTTGTTCTGACAGCTGGTCCATGTGTCACTGGTGGATATGTTGCATGTGACACACAAGTTCTCCAGAACCTTTCAATAACATTTCATGCAGCTTTTTGTGCTATGGATCAGGCCCGCAATTTGTCCCTCTCTTTTTTTTCTTTTCTGTTTTTTTTTCTTTTGCAATTTTACCAGGTTTACAGTCCTCGCAAATGAGTCAATTTCTTTAAAAAAATAGAATTTCAAATCAAATAAATTATTCAATTAATTTATTTTCTTTTCTGTGATTTCTTTTATATAATGGAGATTTTTTTTTTTTTTTTAATGGAATTATGGTCAAATAGTTTTCTATGAAACCCTACATTCATGATGCAGCTATATTCATAAAGAGTCCAAGTATCCATATATAGTTTTTGGACACTTTTTAGCCAATTCCACATATCCTATAAATTATGGACAAATCCAACCTCTGGGTACACAATACCTGACACTCTGTGGTGACCTTGTGGGCGGGTATGTGTGGGAGGGTGCGAGGCACTGGCAGGCTACGGGTGCACGATGCCACATCGCCTAGGTAAGGTGAAGTCCTATAAATTATATGTGCTAGTACTGTCTCCAAATGGTAGGAGGCCTTTTGGGGTAAAACTAACAAAACTGTGCAAGCTCGGGCTGAAAGCGGACAATATCATACCATACCATGTGGTGGAGTTGGGCTGTTACACACTCATAACACACTGAGGGAAAGATGGTTCTACATACTCAAAATTCACCCTAGCAATGCAAAAATAAATAAATAAGCATATAGTTTTATACACCAGCAACCAATAGGTTATTTTCACTTCAGTTATTGAGATGCTTCCTTTTACTTTTAGGCTTCCAGTGATAGATGCTACCCCATTAGAGACCTCTTTTCATTGGGAACACGCATCTGAGAACATCTCATGTAACGACATTTAAATTATACCTTACAGCACAAACTTCTATACTGTCAGCAACGATTTAAACTGTGAATGCAATCAAGGTGTAGGAGTAGATTATGTAACAGTATTGAAAACTGCAACTGTGTTTGCCATGATTTTTGGTAAATTTAATATATTTAAATGTGATTTGATATGCGATTTAGCAATACATAGCAAGAAGCTTCTGCAGCGGCGCAGCAATCAAAGACAACGTGGAGAGCTTGTGGAGATGGCTCATTCCCAGATGGTGCAACTCCTGCAATGTAGTGATCATTACTCTTAGAAGGTTGTTGATGTTCAAGAATTGCCTTAATTCACAAATTTAGAACACCATGCCTTTCAGTGATCCTTCTGTCAGACAAAAATTGCATTCGTCAATACCAACACTAGCACGCTGCCTGCTATATGTACTAGAATGAGGCTTCTGTGGCACAGCCAAGACAGTCCGATTAGGTAAAGGGAAAAGTCCTTTTTCTCAGACAGCTTTGAGATGAACTTTTTCAGCTAACAGTTCATTAACCACTCAATCAACAGAAGAAAGCAGAATCCTATGAACAATAGAACCACGAAGACCCTCAAAATCATCTCTAAGAGCCATCAAAAACTGAACTAATCTCTGCTATTCTCTATATGTACGATACAGCTAACTGGAACTTAGTCCTGCAGCTTAGAATTCTTGTATACTCTTGTCACCTTATCTAGCAAATCATATTTCATTTCTAACTGATGTTGTTTGGCAAAAATGGAATGCACATATGACTCAGACAAAAAATCTTAAAATTTCTTTGGATGCAGAGAACTTTAGCCAAATGCACACCAACATACTGATCCGCAAAATTATATACCTAAGTGTGTGTGTGTGTGTGTGTGTGTGTGTACCATCAGAATAGGATATTAATTAATGAGAATTGTTCCATGTGGCATAATTTCTGAAATAATGCTTCTCCTAAGACGGATTCAATATCCAAATTCACCCTCAAACCTTTTTGAGCTCTACATGAAATGTTTCGCACAGAACCCACAAGTTTGTACCATTCCATCCATTTGTCAATCTAGACATCTTACGGCATGACCATACGATTTGTGCCATAAACCCTAGAAAGCACTGTTCTATATTTTGTGTTTGTATCTTTATTCATCGCTTTCATTCCTCAAGGGATCCTACTTATTCTTTTCTTGGTAAGGACGAGATACTACTTTAAGCTTGGATATGAAGAAATATTCAATCCTCGGCTACCAAGTAAAACAAATTCATTAACATCAAACTGATTGAACATGTATGATGTATCCCTTTTACAATTTGCATATGATAGCATGAATAAATATTTTAGAGTAAACAATTTTGTTAAAGTTATATGCCTCAGAAATTACAAAGAAACCAAGAAAGAACCAGAATACAACTGATAAAAACTTCCCAGCGTAACACGAGTATGGTTCAATAATTTCATAGCCTTTTTCCAGCGAAAGCACTCAAATTAGATGAAAATCATGAAACTTAATGCACTTACCTGACTGAAACACTAGAAGTTTGCCTCCAGTATTCTTCATTGCCAAAAACGCAGCCTGAAATAATAACAATATAATATAAACATCAATGTATACACTATGATTGAATCAATATCCATCCATTGATACCCATGTGTATGCATCGATGAACCATTATACTCTCCTTATTAGCTTACGTCAACAGACTGTCAAGCAAAAAAATAATTACAAAAGTAAAATCAGTGCAAAGATGTGTTTTACTACATGAAGACCATTGTTATTTGAATATAATAATGTAAAGAACAATGCGACTTTAGCATTACTAGCTGTGGCAGTATGTGCCCCAATTAGTTGATCCTCAACCCCACAATTAATTTAGGGCATCAACAACAGTGCTAGCTCCTTCTCAATATAGTGTAAAGTTATTAAGTTGACCTGTTCGTTGCCTCAAAAAACACACACACAATCACTTGTGTTTTGAAAATTTTGAACCATCACTTGTGTTTTGAAAATTTTGAACCATCAACTCTGAACTAATTGTAAAATAGATATATTTTCCGTTATTTGTATCTAGACCCAGAAAGACAGTGGCAGTTGATTCCTTTAGATGTATTGACTCCACACTCACAAAGTGACCATATCTTTACCCTACCAATCTGCAATATCTTTCAAGACAGTGAAACTACAATATCCTGGCTCAATCTCCATCTCTCCACTTCCACTCTCCATTCTGCCCCCAGCCGAACCCTAGGCCCTAAATACAATCTCTTCTCCCAATCCGCTCTCATGAGTTCCAGTTTCTTCCTCTGGTTCTGTTTCAATAAAAACCAAGTATTTTTTGTGTGCCATGTAAGTTTTTTCCAGAAAAGTTTGATAAATTCCTTTTCAATTTAATTGGATTAAAAAATGTTCACACCTGTCCAACGAGTTCTAATATTTCTTCTATTCTGCAATTTCCTATTTGTTCCACAAATAATCCAATTAATTCAAAAATGAACCACCTGCTACAGTTTTTGACTTAATATTTAATATCTAATCAAATTTTGGATTTAATTACTCAACCATAAACAATATGGTGAACTTTTAGAATGAGGATACGCTTTAAAATAGAGCCAAATGGCTCAAAAAACTCTGTAAGCTACCCCCAGCAGGTGGGTTTTAGCCTCACCTGAATTCATTATGTGTTACTGTGTATGTGCACAAAACTATTTAATCATCAGGTATACACCAACAATACAGTTATAAGTTGTCTCTCGTTCTTAACATGCATAGGTTGGATCTTGTGCTACTACTATATGATCAAACCATCAATATCACGTAATTAAACGATTGAATCCAACAAGTTTTTTGAGAAAATGAATTGCATCAGTGTTCAATATTACCATATTTAATAATTAATCATTTCTTAAAATATCATTATTTACTGAATAGAAAAATATATTAGAAAATATATGTGAGTGTCTTGGACGATTGAAAGTTTCCAGTCATTTAACATTTCCAATCACTGAATCAGAAAGACGTTAAAAGACCTTTATGCCAGGAGTATATAATATGCCTTCTACCATTGTGAAAAGTTCAAAAATATTCTTTGAAATATGTAAGCAATATCTTCTTTTTCATGGAAGGGTGTATACTAACAATTTTTTGGTTATTAAAATTCGATGAAAATTAATTAAAATTTGGATCAAAATGGGAAACAATCTCCCAGGAGGTAAGGCTGCATACATCTGACTCTCCCTAGAGTCCATACCCTATACTGGTGGGAGCCTCGTACACTGAGCTAGCATTTTATGTGACTTGCAAAATTATGAATTTTAAAAGTTAGACTCTATATAATCAGTATAAAGAAAATTCCATACCTTGATTGCTGCACCAAAGGCTGAATCAGCAGTTTGGTTATTCTGAAACATGGTTGGGATATTTTCCAACAGGAGTTCTAGATGTTGTCGGCACTGATTCCTCAAAACAAACAACTAACTCACTCAATTACTTGAAAATTACTTAAGGGAACAAAAAAAAAAACTACCTTGAGGGAAAAAATAATTAATCTAAAAGAAAGTGTTAAAATAATGCTCTGGAACAGATCTAAACCAACCCAAATTAAAAGAATGAAAAACTGAAAACCCAAAAGTTCACAAAGCTGACCTCAAATAGTGGAACGATAACATCGGTTTCGAGAGGAGTGTAAACATCTAGCACATCAGGAATTATGAGCATCAATGGCTGTGAACATAGATGGAACATCAAAAATGGGCATCCATGAAAAATTGTGCTCAAGTAAAATTATAAGTCATAGTTTTCAATTTATTTCCCACTCTTGTGAGATGAACCCCATTTTAGGTCAGCAATCAGCATATAATCCTCAATATTTTAAAGATAACACGATGAAACATAATACCCAAAAAGGAACTTTCATATAAGAAATCAGGAAAGAAGGGGAAAATGCAAATTATTCGTAACAGCATAAGAGGATGTGAATGAGCACTCAAAACAGACCAGCAGACACAGCAGAATAATAGTTTTACGAATTATCAATTCTTTTTGATAAATTATCTATTCTTAATCCCAAATATATATAAATCTAAATCAGAAAAGAAGCGGCTATAGAAGGTACAAGCACAAAAACACTTTCAACAAAAAAATCTGAATATTTTGGAATGAAAATATTGCAAGTGAAAATTGACCTGCTGTAATGCACGCTTCAGATTGTAAAAATGGATGGTTGAGTCAAATGTGGCAACACCTACCATTGTCCGAGGGCCCTCCTGCAACAAAAAAATCATAATTTCATCAGTGACTGAAATGCTTTCTTGTACAAGTGCATAAGAGTGCATATATGGCCTCAGGACTATTACAAAACTGAAGAAGAAGGATCCAAGGAAGAGCTACCACCTTCAATTAACTAGGTAAGATCATAGTGAGTTGAACAGATCCAACATGTTAGAAGTATTCCAATTTGATTACCTAAGATATAAAAAAGTAAATTCTAGTACATACATGTATACAACAACAACAATAACCAAGCCTTTTCCCAATTAGTTGGGGTCGGCTACATGAATCCTATGTTTCCATTCCGCTCTATTTAAGGCCATAGCCTCAGTCTATACACATGTTATTATATCTTTCTTTACCAACTCTACCAACGTTAACTTTGGTCTTCCTCTTCCCTTAGTATTACCCTCAATGTGGACTATGTTACTTTCCAAAATTCCTACTTTTCTGAGAGATCTGGATCAGGGAAGACAGTGAATAGTGGATGGACAGTTAGTAATCCCATCTTTCTCCAGACAAAGTGTTGCGCATCAAGTGAGGCAAGGGCCGGCAAAAGGGAGGTTCATCCAAGCAAGCCATTTGACCAAAGCAGGTTTATCTTTTTTCTCAAATAGAATTTCATTTCTCCATGTGGCATCATAAGAGCCAGTTTCTTCTTCATTTATCAAGTGGAGAATATATGTCATCATGTTCATTCTTATATTAGTGAATTCGGTTAGAAACTGTCTTGGGCCTGATCTTCACGCGCACTTAAAGGTTTTCACCATCTTAACTTATTTTCTCTCGTTTTTATCTCCAATTGGTGCTACTCCAACCATCTCCCGAATGAGATCAATCTAATTCTCTCATTTTTTTCTTACCGCACATACATGTATACATAATACAAAATAAAATAAAGGGGCCATTACTCAATGGGAATTATTATCTTTCAGATCTCCCTCCTCCATTCTTTATTAAATCAATCCAAAGATCCATGAAACTCTCCACCAATTACATCACCCAACCCCTTCACAAGTTTCTGAAGATACCAAAAATGGCCTGGGCCGGGTACGACCCATATAACTAAAGATTGGACCAGGAAAGAACATTTAGCCTGATCGGATGACCACCCATCAGGCCCAATATCCATTGGGACAATCTCCAAGCCCAATCTCAAAGTAAAGGAAATGAGCCGGTGTCCGAGAGGAGCCTAAAGGATCGGCCCAACATGGAAGATTAAAGAAAAAGCTTCTAAAATAATTGTAAGAATCTATAAATAGAATGGAAAGAGAGGGGAAAGGGGTTGAGATATTTTGAAGTGTAAGGAATTAGTTTTCCAAATAGAGAGAACATTTTTCATTGCATCTTCAACGGCGCCGTCTGTGGGAAACGAAGGAAAGATCCAATCGATCCTCAAGCACGCTGCGAGCAGATTGATCATTCTTTCGGAGGATTAGGATTGATCTGCGAAGTTGAAGCTTGATCTCTGGAAATTGGACTCCGACCTGAGGAGACCGTGATCTGTTTTGCGGAGATTTGATCTTGATTGACAAAGGCGAGATCCGATGAATTCACGGCAGAAAAGATTCAGATCTAGCCGGCGAAGATTGGAATTCGGCGAGGCAAAGGCCAAATCTAGTACACTCACGATAGCAAAGTCCAAGATCTGACCAAGATTTCTCGGTTGATGACTCTACTCCGATCAGGAACGATGATCGGAGGTGGGAGTTCTTATCCACAAGAATGAACAACACGCAAAGCTTGACGAATTGATGAGCCTGATTGAGGCTCTAAGGAGAGAAAATGCGAAACTGAGAGCCGGAATGGAGTGACGAGATGCTCCGACACCTCCACGACCACCTCCAACAGGAGAAAGAATCCTGCTGCCAAACAATGTTCGCCAAGATGAACAAGAAGGAAACGTTCCCCTGGATCCGCGCCGTGAAAATTTCAGGCCGGATGATTTTCCACCGAAAAACCATCATCTGGAAGATCGGGAAGGATCTGTCCATCTGGATCCACATTGCAAAAGGATCAGGCGAGAAGAAACCATGGAGTTCGATCCGCATCGCGAAAGGATCAAGCGAGAAGAAGCCATGGAGTTCGGTCACAATAAGGCTGTGCCATCGTGGCAAAGGGAATTAACTGAAGAAAAGGACGTTCGATCCAGTCTACCGTCCGTCAATGGCCACGTATGACTACAGGAGTTCAAGCAAGAGATCTGTTGAGCAAAAGATGCTCCTGAAGGAAAATGAAGCCCTCTGTACGGCAGCTCGGACTGTTGATTCACCGTTTACAGATGAGATCTTGAATGCTCCAAATCCAAGAAAATTCTCCATGCCAGTTTTTACTTTGTTCGATGGAACGAGCGATCCGATTGAACATGTTTATCACATTCAGCTAAAGAAGGCTCTGAATACAGAAAATGATGCTCTGATGTGCAAAGTTTTCCCTACGAGCCTTACTGGACCGGCGCTTAACTGGTTCAAGAACTTGGCAAGGGGATCGGTGGAAAGCTTCCGGAACCTATGCGACAGATTCATAAGCCAATATTATAGAAACAAGCGGCCGACCAAGGACATACCTAGTTTGTTTACAATGAAACAGCTAGAAGGCGAAAGTCTTCAAACTTTTCTCACTAGATTAACCTAGAAAAGAGAATGGTAATAGAGTGCCGTCCATCCACGGCGATTCAAGCGTTCAACCTGGCCATGAACCGAGAAACACCGTTCCACACAAATCTAGTAGTGAATACGCTGAAGACCATGGATGAGCTGAACCAGAGAGCTGGTGGTTTTGTGCGCTTAGAGGAAGAGGAAGCAGCCAACGCAAGGAAGACATCAATGGTCGCAGTGGAAGAAAAGACCAGAACAAAGACCAGACAAAAGCAAGTTGCACCACAGCGTCCGACCCCCTAGAAAGCAGAAAAGAGGCCTAGGGAGGAAGAATCGATCACTCCACTCAAAGTCAGCCTGGCAAGGTTATTCTAAGAAAATAAAGGAATTTAAGAAGACAAGTAAAGATGTTGATAACAAAGGGAGAGTTCGCTGGTTACATTCAAGGACCAGCAATAGAGCAAAACCGACCGGCAGAGCAAGTGAAGAGAAATCAGAAACCAAACTACCATAACGCTCAACCTGTTCGCATAATAAATGCAATTCATGGCCGGTCTGGGCCGACCGAAGAGTCAGAAGAGCTACTCCGAACACGTCTCGCCAAGCACAAATGAAGAAAAGGAAAGGCAGTGTAAACGTTCTGCACCAACAAAGCATTTCAGTTCAGATAAGGTTTGACAGAATGGATCTATTGCGAATTCAAGTCCCTCATGAAGATCCCCTGGTCATTAGCCTAATGGTAGCAAAATGCTTAGTTCGAAGAGTCTTGATTAATCCAGGGAGCAGCGCAAACGTCATGACAAGAGTAGCGTTCGACCGGCTCAGGATTGAACCAGAAAAGCTCAAACCCACAGGAAGTCCACTGTTAGGATTCGATGGGAAGCGGGTGGAGCCTATCGGTATAGTCGAGTTGCCAGTACTTGCTGTCAAGAGAGAACTGATAGGATGCTTTGTGGTCGTTGAGATTCACCCGTCTTATAATCTCTTGATGGGAAGAGTGTGGATTCACAGAGTCCAAGGTGTCCCCTCAACTTTGCACCAAGTAATGAGATGCTTAAGTCCAGATGGGAGCAAAGTGATCGATATCCATGGAGACCAGGTAGCAGCCAAAGAGTGTTATTCTGTAACCTTGGAAGCCGGCGGGAAAGGAAAAGCACCCGTCCGATCTGGGAGCCCGAGATAGCAATTACAGGGGCCTCCACCCAAAGAGTTTGGGGAGGAGGAATAGCCTTTGATCCTTATTGAAAAGCCCCTCGTGGATGTGCAGATTGATCCTCTGAGACCAGACACAACCACAAGAGTAAGGTCAAGGCTTGCAGAGGAGGAGAAACGGCAGTTAGTTGATTTTTTGTCTGAGAGCGCGGATGTGTTTGCTTGGAGCCATTCGGACATGCCAGAAATCAATCCTTTTGTGTCTTGCCATTCTCTCAATGTAGATCCGAACGTCAAGCTTGTAAGACAAAAGCAAAGGAGGTTCGCTCTAAAGCGCAATCAAATCATAGCTGATGAAATTGATAGATTGCTGGAGGCAGGGTTCATCAGAGAGGTTCAATACCCATCCTGGCTCTCAAACGTAGTAGTAATGCAGAAGAAGAATGAGAAATGGAGAGTTTGTATTGATTTCACTAACCTGAACAAAGTTTGTCTGAAGGATAGTTTCCCTTTACCAAAAATAGATCAAATGGTGGATGTCATTACTGCGTATGAACGGCTAACTTTTCTGGATACTTACTCAGGTTATAATCAAATTCCTATGGATCCGAACGATGAAGAAAAAACTTCTTTTGTCACCGAACGAGGGATCTATTGCTACAAGGTCATGCCGTTCGGACTGGAAGAATGCTGGAGCCACTTACCAAAGGTTGGTTAACAAGATTTTCAAAAGTCAAATGGGTAAAACCGTAGAAGCCTATATCGATGACATGGTAATAAAAAGTAAAAAGAAGGACTAGCATTTGCAACACTTGCAAGATGTGTTTGAGGTGTTGAGGAAGTATGGCATGAAGCTTAACCCAACCAAACGCTCGTTCGGCATGGGTTTTGGGCAATTCATGGGGCACGTGGTCAATAGCAGAGGGATTGAAGCTAGCCCAGTCCAAGCCGAGGCTCTGATAAAAAATGCAGAACCGAGAATCGTTAAGGAGGTTCAGGCGCTCACCGAACAGATAGCAGCACTAAGTCGATTTATTTCTAAGTTATCAGATCGTTGCAAACCATTCTTCGACACAAAAAGAGGCCACGGGAGACAAGCCTGGGGGGATGAGCAACGACAGGCACTGACCAGGTTGAAAGAGTATATGCAAAACCCTCCAATCTTATCTGCCCCAAAACCAGGTGAGAAGTTTTTCATGTATCTTAGCGTATCGAGCATTGTAACAAGTGCCCTACTGGTGCGGAAC